AACGCGTTTTCTGCAACGCGTTCCGAATTAAAAAAAATAATTTTAAACTCTGGCGGTTGCCTCCGGCAACGCGTTTTCGCACAAATATTTTCGAAGATATATTAAAATTTAAAATTTTTATGAAAATTTGCAGTCCGAGACTGAAAGTTATAAACGAGACTCAAGTGTCCTTTTCATTAAAAATCCATATTTTAATATTCCCATTAATTTTTATAATTTTTAAAATTTATTTCCACTGATTTTACCCTTCAGACTCAAATATTCTACCCTCAGACTCAAGTGACCCCTTCAAAAATATTTTCAAAAAATTCGCTTTATTTTTACGAGTCGAATGACACCAAAATCATATTTTTCTGATAACTACTTCAAAAGTTACAAAAAACGCCTCAACGTTGCTTAACTTTCCAGATCGGACAGTCTAGATCGTCAAAATTAAAAAATTTTCCAAAAATTTTAATTTATTAAAAAATTCATAACTTTTTCAAAAAAAGTTGAAAAAGCATAAAACAAAGCTTATTCGATGCAGAATTTAATTCTCTATCTTTCATCTTCGAACACTTTTCAGCTATCTTCAAAATAAAATATAGTTAAAGTCAACTTTATACTTTCTCCTCAAAAACACGATTTTTACTCCATATCTTTTTTTCTGTTAATCCAATCAACTTTAAACCAACTTTTTTCTTAAGAAACCCATCACGCTCTAAAACTTTTCTCCCAACAACTCTTTTCTATCTCGTCGATAAACACCTTAAATCCAAAGTTACCACTTTGACATAAAAGTTTGTAAACAGCATATCTACCCTTCCCGTTGTCAGAACGACTTCAACTCTTTTTCTATCATATTAGAAATATGCTCTAGATGATACCTTGTAACTGACCCAACTTCCCCCGACTTCATCTTTACATTCAAATTTCACTTCAAAGTTTCGAAAAAACACGTTTTTTCAAAATATCTAAAAAACTCGCCCCTTTCCCCCAACTTTTGGAGGTTTTCCTGAAAACTACATAGTATTGCGCATCTATAGCAAAAAACCCCACCCCTCTACGACCTCTCAAACTTCCGGAGGACTTTTTTTTAGCTGAGTGCCTTGTTACTATTATATATAGATAACCAGCGTTCGGCGCGAATTGCTGACATGTAAATAAGCTTTTTGAGTATAAAGGCTGACTCCAGCGTTATTACAACTGATTTAAATTAATTTGGATCAATTTCCCAGTGTTTTGTATTTTCAGACTCAAATGTCCATTCTCAGACTCAAGTGACACCTTTGAAAATATTTTCATTCAACTCCTCATTCAATTCCCCATCGAATGACACCTCAATCATCTTTCTATGTCTAATACTTCAAAAGTTATAAATTTTTACATTTAAGTCATAAAAAACATGCGGGCCTTCGGCCCGCATGTTTTCCTGCCTCCGGCAACGCGTTCCGAATTTAAAAAATATTTTTAATTTCTTGCGGTTGCCTCCGGCAACGCGTTTTCTGCAACGCGTTCCGAATTTTTAAAAATAATTTTTAAATTCTGGCGGTTGCCTCCGGCAACGCGTTTTATGCAACGCGTTCCGAATTTTTAAAAATAATTTTTAAATTCTGGCGGTTGCCTCCGGCAACGCGTTTTATTCAACGCGTTCCGAATTTTTAAAAATAATTTTTAAATTATGGCGGTTGCCTCCGGCAACGCGTTTTATGCAACGCGTTCCGAATTTTTAAAAATAATTTTTAAATTATGGCGGTTGCCTCCGGCAACGCGTTTTATGCAACGCGTTCCGAATTTTTAAAAATAATTTTTAAATTATGGCGGTTGCCTCCGGCAACGCGTTTTATGCAACGCGTTCCGAATTTTTAAAAAAATAATTTTAATCTGTGGCGGTTGCCTCCGGCAACGCGTCTTCTGCAACGCGTATGAATTTTTGAAATATAATTTTTAATTTTGCGGTTGCCTCCGGCAACGCGTCTTCTGCAGCGCGTTCCAAATTTTTCAAAAAATAATTTTAATCTGTGGCGGTTGCCTCCGGCAACGCGTCTTCTGCAACGCGTATGAATTTTTCAAAAAATAATTTATATTTCCGGCGGTTACCTCCGGCATTTCAGTCCCAGACTCAAATTTAAAAATGAGACTCAAATGTCCTTTTTCTTAAAAATTTATTTTTTAATATTCCCATTAATTTTTAGAATTTTTTAAATTCATTTCCACTGATTTTAGCCTTCAGACTCAAATGTACCACACTCAGACTCAAGTGACCCCTTCGAAAATATTTTTAAAAAATTCGCCTGATTTTTCCGCGTCGAATGACACCTCATTCATATTTTTCCGATAACTACTTCAAAAGTTACAAAATACGTCTCACCGTTGCTTAACTTTCCAAATCGGACGGTCTAGATCGTCAAATTTAAAAATTTTTTCCAAAAATTTTAATTTCTTAAAAAATTCATAACTCGGTCCAAAAAACTCATTTGAACATAAAACAAAGCTTATTCGATGCAGAATTTAATTCTCTATCTTTCATCTCCCGACACTTTTCTTCTAACTTCAAAACAAAATATAGTTAAGGTCACTTTTATGAAATATACTCAAAAATGCACTTTTTACTCCATATCTTTTTTCTGTTAATCCATTCAACTTGAAACCAACTTTTTTCTTAAGAAACCCACCATGCTCTACAACTTTTCTCCCAACCACTTTTTGCTCAGACCCTTCTAAACACCTTAAATCCAAAGTTACCACTTTGACAAAAAAGTTGTCAACAGGCACATCTACCCTCCCCGATGTCAGAACGACTTCAACTCTTTTTCTATCATATTCTCCATGTTGTGGTGCTTCAACCTTGTAACTGACCCAACTTTCCCCGACTTCATCTTTCATCTCAAATTTCACTTCAAAGATTCGAAAATTCATGTTTTTTCGAAATATCTAAAAAACTCGCCCCTTTCCCCCCACTTTTTGGATTTTTCCTGAAAACTACATAGTATTGCGCATCTATAGCTTTTTTCCCCACCCCTCTACGACTTCTCAAAAGTCTGAAGGACTTTTTTTTAGCTGACTGCCCTTTTACTATTTTACTATTATATATAGATAAAAAGAAACTATTAAAAAATTACAAGCAAAAAGAGGCGCTTTTTATTACAAATTATTTAAAAAAAGAATTCTTTCAAAAAATATTTTATATATTTAAATAGAAGGGGACAGAAATGTAGTAAATTATAAATATAAAATATTTTTTGGAAAAAAAAATTCCAAAATGAAAGAAGAAAGAGAGGGAGATGCGCGTCGAGAAATAAAAAAAGAAGGGAATTCTAAATAGATTAGTCCGTTTCGATTAGATAATGAATATTAAATAAATTATGAGGATTGCGCAAGGAAAAGGAATTTTTTAAAAAGGTATTAGTTGATTATCCCCTCACAAGTCATTTCCTTTTGACTTTATATCAGAGGTGTCGGAAATCGGAAGAGCCGGAAATCGGAACTGGCTCAAAAGTCGGAACTCGGAAATCGGATATCAAAATTTTTTCGGAACTCGGAAATCGGAATTCCGACCCACCTCTGCTTTATATGAATCAAGCTCGAAATTGTGGGGGGTCATTTTATTCTTTGAACTGATCGAAGAAATTCTTCTTTGCAAAACTATCATTTTTATAATCGAACTTTTAGTCCCAAAAGAGAGGGGAGGAAAAAAGAAATATTGGAGGGGATAAACGTAACCTTTTTCTGAATTTTGGGAACTATCCAACTCTTCTCAAACCAGCTCACCGTAGAACTATAAATCCATTTAAGACTATTGAATCTCGGATATTGATGATATGGCGAAATTCAGCTCGTCGGAAATCGGAAGAGCCGGAAATTGGAACTGGCTCAAAAGTCGGAACTCGGAAATCAAGATTTTTTTCGAAAAGGAAAAAAACGTCGGAAATCGGAATTCCGACCCACCTCTGCTAGATGCATCGAAAATATTCGCTATTCGAAATTCTATACCAAGATATTCGAGATTTGTGGTTAAAAATGTTTTAGGGTTTCAGCGAGTTTGGCAAGCGGTGCGGTGTACCCCCGCTCTTAGACAAATTCTTTAGATTCTTTTATCATTCAAACGGGATCAAAAAATGCTTATAAAATATTTTCAAAAGATTTAAAAAATCGATAACCGATATAGGCTCTTTCTCACCTCTTTTTTTTCTTCATAAATTCTCGGCCGGTTATGGGTGGATACACGCATTTTAATATACATATAAAAAATTTTCCAACTCGTTTTATGTGCGTATTTATTTATTTTTATGTATATAAATGTGTGCAACAGCAGAAAAGCACAAAAATTTTTGGGTAGGGCAATCACTTTATTTATTTTTTCCTTTTAAGCGGTAAATGAAGGGAAGAGAGAAAAGGAAGGAGAGAAAAGTCGCTACTTTAAGCGATTCGCTGAATTGGTTAAAACGCGAAACATTTTTGATAGAAGGGAGTGGATATATAAATATTTAGATATTTCCGTTTTAATAAAATATGTATAATTATTTTAATAAATTCTTGTTAAAAAATTGAAGGTATTTTAAGTAAAATACTGCCAAACAATTGTTATAGGATACCTCCAATTTTTTGAGGAGGGGGGGAGGGGGTATAAGAAAACCTCTTTTTAACCCAAAACCTCTATTTAAGAGACGTTTTTTAAAAATTGGTTGGCTACTGGATGACGAGTTGCCTAAACGATACCCTCTATTTAAGGGACACTTCATTATAAGAGACCATTCTATTTAAGGTACCCTCATTATAAGAGACCATTCTTCATCTTCAAGAGGAGTATCATAAAAAGAGGTTTGACTCTTGATAGGATATATAAAAAACATTTTTTAAAAGAGAAAACAACCCTTGGTATCATAAATTTAGGCTGAGGGTTATCAATTTATTTTTTCTCTTAAGAGGTAGATGAAGAAAGGAACGATTAGATTTGAGTTTAATTATGAGAGCAGTTTCCCTATTTCTATTTTTTTCTTGGTGAACTAATTGAGCTAACCCTCAATTAAATGGAGGAGGCGTCTGGAGGAGGATGGAGGAGGAGGAGTACCTGGAGGCATGGAGAAGTACCTGAAGGCATGGAGGAGCATGGAGGAGCACCCTGGAGGCATCCCGATCAGAGACGAGCGCAAGAGACTGAAAAAAAAACGCAGAACGAATGAATATCATAAAAAGAGGGTTGAAAAGAGGGTTCTGATCCCATTATTGACACGGATATCTTCCACGAAAAATTTTTTGCCAAAAATTGACAAATTTTGAATAAAAAGGGGGAAAAATCAATCTACAAAATAAATAAATATTTATTAAATTTTTTCTAATTAAAAATGATTAAAAGAAAAATTAAAAGGGAAAGTGTAACGATATAAATTCCACGCTTCATTGAATAAACCTCCAAGTATTTTTACCTTTTTTTACAACTTTGGTGGGCTAAGCGCGAAGGTGAGACTGTTGCTGGGGAAGAAGAGAAAAATTTATTGAATTACCAAAAAATATATTTTGTGGGTGCTAATTGGTAAAAATTGAGGGAAAATGAAGGGAGAATGTGGGGAGAATGAAGGGGGAGAATTTAAAAAAGAAGAAGCAACTAAAAATAAAAATCAGCGTGGAACAAAAAATAAAAATACGCGCAAAATGGCGGAAGGAAAGGGGGGAAGGAAGAAAAAAATTAAGAGAAAAAAAACTATTTGTTGTCTATAAACATTTTTGATCGGCGGAAACCACTCCACTATAAAATAAATAGTTTTTTGGGAGGAAATTAAAATAGAAAAGAAGTTGAGTATTTAAAGAGTTGGGGGGATTAAAATTGAGGAAATAAATAAAAAGACTATTTAAAAAAAACTACAAAATAAATACTTGTACTGAAAAAATAGGGGGGAAAGGAACTGGGAGAGGAACAGGAAATTTAAGAAGAGGGGAATGGTTGCCTCTAAAAATGGTTGCCTCTAAAAAGGTACTAAATATTTTAAATAAAAGGAACAATAGATTTGTCCAAATTTGAACAAAAATCTTTATAATAGTAAGAAAGACCTTGTTTTATAAAATCCCTATTAAATTAGGATAGAATTCTTTTAATCTTTCGCCAATTCCCCCGATAGATCCCACTAATATAGAAAAGTTACAATTTTCATTAGGTACCCCTCTAACATTAAATTCTTAAAAAATTAAAAAAATTCCTATGTCCTTCTTATTTATTCAATTTATTAATTCGAACTTCTTTATAATATTAGAGTTGGCCGGGATCGGGATCCCGGTCGGGATCGGGAGGGATTATCCCGGGTTTTTCAAATCCCGATACCGGCCAACTCTATATAATATATGTCCGGCTGGCCGAAACTTGCGGACCGACTTTTCCGCAAGTTTCGCACTACCATATGCCCTTGGGGTTGAAAAATTATAGACTAAAATGAGTTGGTCACTAATGTGGATGTATCATTAATCCGTCTCCCTTCTATCAATGACAAACAAATCAAAAAAATCGCACACTGATACATTGGTAGGGTATAGGATTGAAGGGTCCGAATATCCAAAATAAAGTCCGGATATACGGAAATTTTTGGTTCGAATATCCAATCCGGATATCCGGAGATTTCATAGCATCTGCCACCCTTAGTGGGTTGGCAGATAACTAGTTGACTTAAAAATAAATTTATTTATTTACTGGTTTATCAAAAAATAAATATAAAAATTAAAGTACTCCATTTAATTATTTATCCTTTTTTATTATCATTTATCTTTTAATCTCTTAAAAGACCAGATTTATTTATTTTATTAAAAAAATAAAAACAAGTTTATAAATGATTTTTGATTTTATAATTAATTAATTATATATAATTTTTATTATTATTAATTATCGAAGTCAATAACCAGGTGCCGTTCGAGGTGGTGGGCAATGATCCTTAAATTATTAAAATAAAATAATTAAATTAATCTCAACTTAAGGTCGGATTTTCCAATTTAGGATACCTCAGACCTTAATGTATGATTTTTTTCTAATTTTTATTCCACTTCCCCAAAGGCTCATATCAAATGCGCATACACAATTCTAAACCCAGACAAGTCTTCGACTCGAAATTCTGGTCCAAGAAAGATAATCCCTGTCCGATACCCTACCCAAGGAATCTTCGAAAACCTGATCAAAAATATATACTAATACATAGTATGGAAGACTTTGTTCTATAAAATCCCTACTAATTATTATCCTAATAATATATACTAATAAATAGTATGGAAGACTTTGTTTTATAAAATCCCTATTAAATCTGGATAGAACTCCCTTAATTTTTCGTTAATCCCACAATAGATCCCACTAATAAATTAAAGGTACATTCCCGATACAGGTATATTTTTTTATTTAAACTCACACATCCACCAGGTATCCCAGGCAATCCTTTCGGTCCTTGAGGACCTTGTTTTCCAACTCTTCCATTTCTGCCATTTTTTCCTTGATCCCCTGGAGGGCCACATATTCCTGGAGGACCGCTAATACCAACAAAACCAGGATTTCCTTTAAATTTCAGTTAAAATGTAAATATTTTTAACTAAAGTTCACCAGGTAATCCTTGAGGTCCAGGCAATCCAGGTCTGCCAGGAGGGCCTGGAGGAACTGAAAAAATAATGAAGATTATGTATAATTATATACCTTCCAGTTGATAAAGTTCGCCTGGAATTCCTGGCAATCCAGGCTGAAATATAAGATTTTAAATACTTAACTAAGTCTTTTCCAGGAACAAAAAGTTCCCTTATAATTCACTACAATTATCAAATACCTGTCCAGGTATTCCCATCAATCCTGGAGGCCCTCTTTCACCAATTGTCCCTCTCTGTCCAGGTTGACCATTCAATCCATCTTGACCTTTTATACCAGGTAATCCATAACTGCCTGGAGGGCCAGAAGGACCAGGAGGGCCCGGAAGGGCCGGTAAACATTCAAAACAAAAATCAATCATTATCTGCTCATTTTGTGCATCCTCTCCAGGAATGCCATCGTTTCCGTTATCTCCATCTTTACCTTTAATTTAAGAATTAAAAAATATTTTTTATAATACAGTCGTATTTCACTATTAAGATACTCCTTTTGGGACTGAAAACTCGTTATAGAGGTGTATCTTAAACAGAAGGGATCGTGTAGGTGTAGGCAGCTCCCCGCATCCAGTAGCCAACCAAATTGAAAAAGTCTCTTAAATAGAGGGGGATCTATTATAGGGAGCATCTAATATTAAATGTATCTTATAGTGAGGTGCGACTTTATTATCAAAAAATGCCTGGATATCCGTCCCTTCCTGGCGGCCCTGGAAGGCCTGGATTAGACTTCTCACAACTTTGAGTATTTATTTTTAATTCATAAGCTGGATATGTTTGGGAAGGAGTCATTACATAACTAGAAGAATAACTACTGCTGCTAATATCATTGGAAGAATATTTTGCTGTTCTTTTCTGTGTATTTGTTGGTCTTTAAAATTTGAAAATAATTTTTTTAAACATAAATTCAACCTCATTTTTAGATACACCAATTTTTATCCTCATAGGCTCTATATTGGGATGTTTCTTAAATAGAGGGTATCGCTTAGATAACTCCTTCACTCAATAACTAAATTGTTGAAGAACTTCTCTTAGATAGAGGTGTATCTTCTATTGGTGTATATTATAGAGAGGGTATCTTATAATGAAGTGTATCTTAAATAGAGGGTATCGCTTAGATACTCTTTCACTCAGTAACCGGATTTTTTAAAGATCGTCTTTTAAATAGAGGTGAATTTACAATTGGGGGTCTTATGGATATGGTATCTTATAATGAGATGTTTCTTAAATAGAAAGTATCACTTAAATAGTTGCCCCGCCCAGTGGGCGAACAAATAGGTCTCTTAAAAAGAGGTATCTAATATTGGAGGTATCTAAAAACGAGGGTTAATTCAAGAAACCTTTTTCGTAAAGAAGTCCCTTGATGCCTTAGAGGAGTAATTGTATTAGAATTTTCCTCTTTTAATTTACCAACAGTTCCACTTCCTTTAAGTAATTGAGTAAATCGACGCCTTCGACGTTTAATCAGAAATAAATCGGTTTGCATTTCAGGAGTAATTAACGAAAATTTTTTAACTAAAATTTCTGTTTGTTCTGAACAAAAGTCCAATTCAATCTTTGAAAGAAAATAAATTAATTAGGAAGAATTTTAATATTACAGTCGAACCTCCACCAAATATTAGATACTTGTGATGATGGTGAGTTAAAAGGAGCCGAGAGTCGAAACCGAGAAGCAACCCCGAGACCAAGAGCTCAAAAACCCTGAGAAATTTCCCGACTCAGGAATCGAGACTGTCAGCTCGACCATCATTATTGTTTTGTGTAGGGTTCAGCGGTATCGGGATCCCGACCGGTATCGGGCGGTATTATACCGGTCTCTTTGAATACCGATAGCGATTTTACTGATACCGATACCGAAAGACAAATCCCGATACCGTTTTTGCTGATACCGAGGCCGGTATCGGTATCGGTATCGGGATTAGCGTTGGATACCGACAAAATACCGATTTTGTAAATATTTATTTTTACTATTTTTATTGACTATTTTATTCTATATTTTTCAAAATTTTCGCCTGCGGCGCAAAAAAATGGAAGAAATCTGACAATGTGTCTTCCAAAATTCTCAAAATTTTCGCCTGCGGCGCAGAAAGGGATTTGATGGTAGAAGAGGGATTCGGGTCGGGGTTTGAAAAATTCACAAATAGGGGGTTCGGGTTGAAAAATAGACCAATCTTAGTTAGAAATATTGTCCTTGGACATCAAAATGCTCAAAATTTTCGCCTGCGGCGCAAGGAATGGAAATAACAGATTTTGGCGCCTTCGGTGAATAAAATTTTTGCATAAAAATTAAGTAATGTTTATTAATGAACAGGTGTTTTGTTAACGAATGAAGCCTAATTAAAAAGTTTTATGCAGGTCTAGTCCCAATATTGAAGGATATCAGTCGATTATCGGAGGTATCCCTAGTACACCCAAAAAGTCTACCGATATCCCTCCTAATTCCCAAAGATGATTTGAGGTATAAAGTTGAATTTGGAGTATAAATTTAGATCAAGATGATATCGAGGATTAAAGTGGATATCGATGGATTTGGAAGGTCTTCTATTGGCTCCTGAGATGTTTTTGTCTTGAAAATAGCTTTATAGTGCTAATTTATCATTTTACTACTGATTAAAACCTTTTTCAAAATGCAGAATGAATTTATTTATTAAAGATTAAAATTAATAAAAAAATTTTTTTAGGAAATACCGATACCGATTTTTAAATCCCGATCCCGAGTCGGTATCGGTACCGGTATCGGTATCAATAACTCAAATCCCGATACCGATTTAGGCTAATCCCGATCCCGAGTCGGTACCGGTATCGGGATCGGTATCATCAATCCGAAATACCGATACCGTTTTTTCTCGGAATACCGGTACCGCTGAACCCTAGTTTTGTGATACCCTTCAAAAATTTTGTGTTCTTTTGTGATACCCTTTAAAAATTACCTAAGCAATAACCCCCCAAATTTAAGACTCACATTTAAAATAGCTACTTTTCCTCCTTATTTAGTCACTCCTTTCTAATTCAACACTCAGTTTTTTAAAAGATACCTCTCATTTTAATGTACGCGCTATTTAAGATACCTTTTTAAAGATTGGCTAGCTATCGGTAAGGCGAAGGGTGAGCAATACTCTCTATTTAATGTACATCCCAGTATAAGAGACTAATTTTGCCCTAAGGGTATATCTTATAAAGAGGTTCGACGGTCATTTAAAGACAACCTGTAATTGTGACTGTATATATTGAATATAACTAAACAAAAAAGGAACAAGAATAACGGCACCAACGGTACACAAAGTTGAAATAATGATTGAGAAAAAGGCTAAACGTTTAAATTGTTTTTCGTGCCAATTTAATTTATTGTCTTTGTTTATTATTATAACCATTCTTGGGATTTTTTGGAGATTTTCTTGGAGCTTAAATAAAAAGCTAAAAATAAATTGGGATGTTTTGTCAGTCAATAAATCTCTCTCTCAGTTGGAAAGTTGCAAAAAGGAAAAAAACAAAATGGATTTTAGTCGGGTTGAGGGATTATGAGTGGAAGAAGCCCCGCGGGGAAATTGTTTTTTCTTCATTTTATTTTTGTGTAGTAGAGTTACTAGTAAGCAGTCGCGGCTTATGATGTACAAAAGACTCAATGTCAGCCTAATTGGATCATACTACCCTAGCCAGTTCTTGCTCTCCTTCGTTTGATCTACCTGCAATTCCTTCTTCGACAAGTTCCCAACTTTTTACTTAAAAGTGTTCTTGTTTATTCTTGTTCTTCGATTTAGGCAAATCTCAGACAGATCCAAGACATAAAAATAAGAGAGAAACTTAAAAAATATACTTATTTATCACAAAACATTTGATGATGATTTTGGGCCAAAATATTTGTTAATAATATAAGAGAGAACATAAAGAGTTTTCTTCTAACAAATAAGGGTTTTTGCTTTAATTGACTCTGGTTGCAAGAGGAAAACAAAATTATTGTAAAGATGGTCCTTTAATTTATAATTCAGAATTGAACCATCAACTTGTGCTAGCTTCTTCAGATTCTGGATTAATTCAATTCCAGCAATATTTGTTTGAAAAAATATGGACGGCTTATCGAGGTTTATCGATACCTTAGTGATGCTAGGGAGACGAAAAAAACCCGGTAATAGGGAAACGGGCCGGGAAATGACCTCGGGAGTAGTGATAAAAACTCGGGAACTTTTCCCGAGTCGGGAGTCGGTATCGGGATACCCAAGCATCACTACTATACCTACCTGTTTATACAAAAGTCTTAATAATATTATAAATAAATATAAATTATTTGTTCCCAATTATTTAATTAAAATAATTTCAAATATGTAATTAAAAACAGATTTACCCCTAAACTAAAATTTATTTAGTTTTATAGATGGTATTTTTTATTTATTTTATTATTTATTTTTAATTGTTTTATTAAATTTACAAATGTTTTTCTAAAAAATAAACTAAAATATTTTTTGTATAATAAAATAAATAAAAAATACCATCTATAAAACTAAATAAATTTTAGTTTAGGGGTAAATTTGTTTTTAATTATTTGAAATTATTTTAATAAATTAAGAATAAATAAGTCGAATTATCTTTCCAAAATTGTTTAATTTATTTTAGGTTTCTCCATTTACTTAAATTTTCCCAAAAATTGTCAAAAAACTAGAGATAAAATTTTAACTAGGAAATCTTACGCCCCCTTTGGTTTTTGACTATTTCAAGCCCTTACCTCGGTCCACAGATATCTCCGGATAAAAGAGTGACTGTTCGACTTAGCACTTTTTTTACCATATATATGACATTTTGAACATTAATTTGAGGGGGGTGTGACAGAACGGAAAAGTACAAAATCGGAATTTTCGGGATTTTGATTCGGAAAATCCGGTCCGGATTAAAAAAATTTTTTTGTAAATCCCGAAACCGTATCCGGCATTTCCCAAATTTTATACTTTAATTTTAATTTTGCTTCAACTTCCATAATAAATTACATTAATTATAACCCTAATTATAAACTTCATTGAAGGACAATTTTAAAAATTAAAGGAAATATTTAAATTAATTTAGCGTTCCACACAAATAGGTATTTATTTTTTAAATTATTTAAAAATTAAAGTTTGGTCTATTCAAAAAAAATATTTTTTTTAATTTTTTAATTTATTTAAGTGACGTCCAAGTGTTTCACGATCTTTGTAAAAAATTTTAAAAATAATTTAATTAATTTTTATTTAATTTTTAAAAGCTAAATAAAAATGATTTTTGATTTTAACTAAATGGCCTTTAAAATTATTTTCTAATTAATTTAACCACACAAACAAACAAAAAATAAATTTTTTGATCATATTACCGTTACTAAAAAATATTTAAAGTAAATAAATATTAAAGTTAATGATCACTCTCTCCTTCAATTTTTTTTATTTTTTTTTTCATTGCAACTTTAAATAAAACTGCTACCACCTTGCTACCTTTTTTCTCATTGTTTGTAGTTTAAAGTGAAAATATATAAATATTTATTTGTGATTAAAAGGCTTTAAAATTAATTTTTATTGTAACAAAGCTAAACTACATAAGCTATTTTTTCGTTAGCTATTTGCAAAACGGGGGAGTGAGATAAGTAGGGGGAGTTAGGAGGGGGAGTTGGGAGCTGGGTTAGCAGTTAGCATCTGGGAGCGTACCAGCATCTTCAGTTGACCGTAATGAGGTGTTATCCCTCTTACTATACATTTAAAAAAGAAAACTTTTTTAAATTTATTTCTCTGTAAGGCAGACAACGTTTCATCTAAATTCCTAGTTGATAAATTAACTGAAAACCAAAAGTCAGTTGGGGGTGGTTGAATGGATAACTGCAACGTTACAACTTTCCCAGAAAAATTTTTAGAATATCAGAAAATATTGATATCTTATTTAATAGCCAAAAGGCTTTGACTAGAAAACGAAGAAAAAAATTGTAAACTACAAAAAAGGAGAGCACATTTATTGTTGTTTGTTTGTGTATTGCATCAGTTGCGGATTGGACAATTGCGGATGGAAGATTTGGCGCGATACTTTTTGGCGTCTTAACTTAAAGTTTTCAACATAAGATACCCTTACTTAGATAAGTCAAACCTTCCCTGATAGGCATTCCTTCCCACATCATTCACCGACATACGCCACTAAATTTGGCCTCAATATTTGGTCTATAGGAGGGGGAGTTGTCTGTAACCTGAGATAATTAAGTTGTTGGTCACTAGGTGGGGGCTGCCTAAGAGATATCCTCTATTTAAAATACCCTCTTTATAAGCCCCAATGAGTGCTCTATAAGAGGGCGTTGCTGTTCTCTGACAAGGTCAAAAAAATGGAGGGTCATGTGTGGTCATCAAAAAATGGGGTCATGTCACAAATGGGGCGGCTGCCTAAGAGATATCTTCTATTTAATAAACCCTCATTATAAGGTATTCAGTCCCAAGAGGTAAAGAATGAAGTATTCCATAGAAAGAACCCCAAAGGGGTATCTAAAAATTGGGTAAATGGACGTGGTTTATAAGCGTACCAATTATAATGTTTGCGCCGATTTTCCCTTCGCAATTGCGTCTGCAAATGTCTGCAAACGTCATTAGTGGGAGTGTGTGTGTGATTGAACCGGTTCAAAAAAAAATAAAAAATAAAATGAAGAGGTCGTGAACCTTTTAATAAATTTCTTCTTTTTCTCCTTTCATTTTCTCCCTTTTGATTATTTTTTATTTACAATTTAAAAAAATTTTTCATTGCGCAGTTTGTGGTTTCTTTTTGGCCAGTAAACCTTTATTTATTTAATTAGTCGAGAAAATAGTTTATTAGGTGGGGGAGAACTTTATATAGGTATTTTAATAAATATTTTGTTTGTTTCAATTTTTTAGTACTTTTATTTTATTGTCATATGATTTTTGTTGATTTAAAATAAAAAATATGTTTACTTGTTTTTTAAATTGTAAATACAGTTTGGACCTCACAGTCATATCTACTAGAGATCGAGCTGGGCTTGGACCAAGGCCTGGGTTTTTCCTGGCCAGAGTCCTGTACCCAGAGGCATTTTTTACCTTCCTGGGTCTTTCCTGGGTTTTTCCTGGGTATGTGTTCCTGGACTACAGGCCCAGGGTCTGTCCCAGGTTAATAAATCAAACCAGGAACCCAGGAACAGGCCCAGGCTTTTCAAAAATCTCGATCTCTAATATCTACCATTGGGACTACCATTGGCATACACCCTTGGACTAGAAAAAATCCTAACTCATAATGAGGTGTGTTTTAAATAAATTAGCGTCCATTGGCGCATCCCCCACCCAATGCCCAACTAATTTTTAAGATAACGTCTCTTAGATAGAGGTGTATTGGGGATATCCCTATAATGATTTCGACTGTATTTAATTTAAAATTTTAGAGAATTTAAAGAAAGATTTTTAAAAATGGTCCAAATGTGGTGTATGGAAGCATATCCAAGTGGAGATCCTCGATTACCTCACCATTGCTTTCCTCCAAAAGTTGTTAATCCTGATGAATTAACTAAAAAGACTGGTGCTCAGTATTATAAGGTGATTATTTTTTTAATTAGAGTAGGGCAGTACATACAAAAGTGTACCTCAGTTAGTATCAGTTGTGAACGCGCGGGACAGAATCCCAAAAGGAATTTTGTGAGATCTATCCCAAAAAAGATTTTTGTATTTTGCCAAATTTTAGTAAATGTTGGCAAAGTGTTTATTTTTAATTTTTTGGCGTTAAAAATCAAACTAAATATTTTGCAATTGGCGCCTGCGGCGCTGTTTTATTTTCCCGTTTATAACCGTTTAAGGTTTCAGCAATGTCAGGGTTCAGGGTCGGGATGTAATCCTATTAAATGTATCGTAGATGGGAATTGTGTCGAATTGGGGTCCCGTTGAAAAATTAATTTAAAATATTGCGAAAACATCCTTTAGGTTAATTTTCGTTGTTGATCACGAATCTGAACTCAGCTTTTGTCTAACAATTGATTTTATCTATGATTTTCGGACCCCAATTCGACACAATTTCCTTGTAGATCATAACCCGCGCCTAAACATTTTAAATAATAAAATTTCGTTTGATTTTTCTAGTTAGATATTGAAGACCAAATTGCATTATCCAAACGTATAGCTATAGTCAAACTTGAACGGAACCTTTCACGTGAGGATACGCTAACTTTGGATGCTCAATCAACCGTTGATTTTGAAGATAAAGTTTTTTGGATCTTTTGAAATTCTTTCTTAACAATTTAATTTTTAAAGATGAAGGAAATGTTTGAAGAAACAGAATGTGAAGAAGACCAAGCTAGAATGGTTATGGATGGCTCTGTTTATTTTGATTTGGAAGCAAATGATGGACAATGGATTCGGGTACTTTGGTAGGTTGGTTTTAGTAGGAAAATTGAAATAAGGAAAAAAAGATTTGTTGATTAGTGAAAGGAAGTTAGTTAAAAATAAGATTTACAATGCATTTTTAAAGTCTAGTTGACTACTAGGTGGGGAGCAGAGGTGGGTCGGAACAGTCAGAGGTGTCGGAAATCGGAAGAGCCGGAAATCGGAACTGGCTCAAAAGTCGGAAATCGAAAATCAAAATTTTTTGGAAATCGAAAGGAAAAAACGTCGGAAATCGGAATTCTGACCCACCTCTGATGGGGAGGCTGCCGAAGAGTAGAAGCTACTTTGGGAAGCTGTCTAGCTTCGTTATAAGATACAACTCACTATGAGATAGACCCTATATTAGATGCACCCCTATTTAGCATACGCTTGTTCCCATTTAGTTGGCTACTGGGTGAAGGGGCTTGTATAAGCGATACCCTCTATTTAATGTACACCTTATTATAAGGTACGATTTTTCAACCCTTGAGAGTGTATGGTTTAAGGAGTTCTGACATTATTTTAATAAATCCTTAAGATTTTATTTTTAGTGAATATGGCGATTTAATTTTAATCAAAGCTGGTACTTGGTATAGAATGGCAACAACACCAAAGGTGTTATTAATTTTAAAGAATACATATTTAAAAAATTTTTTTTTAAGAATTTTGTGAAAATTCGTCGCTTCTTCAAGACAGACGAAAACAAGGAAAATTGAGAGGAAAAGGCAAATTGAGGGGAGACGTTTAAAATGCCAAGCAGAACTGCCCAAGTAAAAATATTTTTTGGACCGAAAAAATTTTCTTTAAATTTTTATATTTAGAATATATTCCTGTTTAGTTGAAGTGTGTATATTCTTTTTCTAGACATAATATTAAGCTTGCAAATTAAATTTTTTGGAAAATGACTGGGATTAAAGGGGCGGAATTTTATAGATTTATGTTAAATTTAAAAATCTGAAAATTCATAATTAATTTTAAAAAAGATTATTGGATGATTTTTAGAAAAAAGAATATACCCACAAAAATGATTTTTTAGTAATAATTTTTTTTGTATTTCAAAATACCTAATTAATAAAATTATTAAATAATAAAAGATTTTTATAAAATATTTTAATTTTTAATAATCTGAAGAGCTCATTCTTTAAAAATGGCTCCTCTTCAAATGAGGCTCCCTCTCTTTTAGATAGTATTGGTGGTCTTAGTTTAGGTCAGGGTTCGCATTCCTACTTTTTTAAAAGTATTCTACTTTTAAATCGACCTCCATGCTTACGAAATTGAATTTATACTTTTTTGAAAGTATCTACTTTTAAATCAACATTTTGGATTGAAAATGAAATTGGGGAAGACATTGGCCAAAAAAGTGAATTTTTTGGCCTACGGCCTTCTAAAATTCTCAAAATTTTCGCCTGCGGCGCAAGAAATGGAAGAAATCTGGCTTAAGGACCCCCAAAATTCTCAAAATTTTTCGCCTGCGGATAAAATTTCGCCTGCGGATAAAATTTCGCCTGCGGATAAATATTTTCTAATTTAATTTTGAGACTACTTTTTTTTGCAAATTTTCTCCCTATATACTTTTTTATCGAGATTTTGATACTTTTGAGTGGCATTTTGTCGATGCGAACCCTGGTTTAGGTTCTGATCTTCGAAAACTCTTCGAATTCCCTTCCAAATATCAAGTGTTTTTAGACGACAGTCAACCTTAGTTTATTGAATGGGCCCATTTTAAGAGGACCTTTTAGAGGCTTTACGAAAAATTATTTAAAAATTATTTTTAAAAGAAATTACTTTTAATAAAAAATATAAATAAAAAAATATCAAATATAGGAGGCAAAAAAATAAATTTTAGTTGAGAAGTAAATTTATTCTTAATTATTTTTAATTTTATTTTAAAAAAATATATTCTTTAATTGATTAAATAAACAAAACCAGCTTTTTTCTATTCATTGCTTTGTCCCAAAAACCTTTTTAAGAAAATTAGTTATAGGTGGGAGGAGGTTAAAAAGTAAGGGGGAAATAATAAAAAGAAATATTTCCCTATTTGATTTTTCTTTTGATTAATCAACAAATATGATCAAAAATATTTTATTTATTTTTTTAATTTTATTTTTTATTCCAAAATGTTTTGCAACATTTTCGTCGTCATTTCGAGAATTTTTAAGAAATTATGGAGGAGAACAACTCGATAGGGAACTTTCACGTGAAGATGTTGGAACTGGGGGAAGTTTTGGTGGTGGAAATCATAAAGTTGGGGAACAGACAAGGCACGTTATTTTATTGTCAGACAGCCGAACCTTACTATAATATACACCCTTAGGTTGAGAAAATGATACCTTATGAAGTGTATGATAAAAAGAAAATATTACGGGGTTTAGCTAGTGTTAGAAGCAGTGTTTGGAAGCTCGTATTAAAATTCGTATAAAACAGGCCAAATACGAGTACGAGTAATTTTCAAGATTCCAAACACTGGCTGGAATTACCTTCTAGTCGTTATGAATGTAATTATGTATAGAATAGTAAAGCTAAATATTAGCTGCTATTGAAACAAAAAACGAAGAATGATGGTTAGGAACCGGTACTAAATGAAACTCGATAAGCAAACCCGACCGATTTGTGCCTAGTGCCCTTCCGAAATTTTTAAAATTTTCGCCTTTAAAATCTCGCCCTTTTAATTTTTAATTAAAATTTGTATTTTTTTTAAGACTTCGTCCAGTAATTATAGTTCATGGCATAACAAACAGTGCCGGACAATTTGAACAAATTAGACAATATTTTTTGGTAATTTAAAATGATTCCTTAAAAAATTATTTTAAATTAGACTCATGGCTATGGAGATGAAGAAGTTTATGCGACAACCTATGGAGATGCTGGAAAAACAAATGTTTTGTTTGTGACAATGCAATGCCATTATGTTAAAATGGTTAATAAATAATTAGGAACCTCACTATAAAATACTCCTAATACAAGATACACCTCTATTTAGGATACGTTTTTCCATTTTGGTTTGTGGGTAAAGCACACAATACCTCTATTTAATGTACAACTCATTATAAGATACCCTCTCTATAAGAGATATCCTACACCTCTATTTAAAAGACGTTTTTTTTTAATTTGGGTGGATACTGGGTGGGGAGAGCTGCTTGAGCAATACCCTCTATATAAGACACACTCCGTTATAAGGTATAATTTTTCAGCCCGAAGTATACGTATTTATAAGGGAGTTTATGTTTTAACTAAAATTATTTAAAAAATTTTTTTATCAAAAAGATTCGTTTAATGATACAAACAGTTGCTCAATATACCACAAGTAAGGTTAACATAATTGGCATTTCTATGGGATCTCCAATTGCAAGAAAAGTAATCTTTAAAAAAATTTTTGAAATTTTTTTAATTTTTCAAGGCAATAATGGGAGGCAATTGTGTAGATACAAACGATCATTTAGGGCCCCCCTTAACCGATTTAATACACACTTTTGTTGGAGTAGCCGGCGCTAATTGGGGCTCATTTCTATGTATTATTCCCATTGGAAGTTGTAATTTAATTAATGGAATGGCTTGCGGCTCGAAATTTTTGAATGATATTAATTCGAGGTTTACATGGGGGAAAAAACTATTTTTTAAATTTAATTTAGACAAAGATATGAGGGCGCCATTATTTTTACAATATTTTCAACGGGTGATGAGAAAGTTGGTTACCAAGCTTGTGGACGTGTAGCCAGCAGTATTGCTGGGGAAAATCAAAACTTTAAGGTAAAAAAAGGAATTTGTACAAAGTCAACCCTCAATATAAGATACACCAAAACTAGATACACCCCTTTTAAGAGACGTTTTTAAACATTGATTGTTCACTGGAGATACTCTCACCTAAGAGATATCCTCGATTTAAGATTTCATTATAAATTACGAGCCAAAAAAAATCCAAAATCTAGGGTTCGAGTGTACACAAAAAATATTATTTAAAAGTTTATAATAGCTTAATGCAAACTTTGTAGGGAATCTTAATTAGAAAATATGTACATATTTTTAAAATCAAAAATTAATCCTACAGTAACCTTTCCGTTTAGAAAATATTAAATTATTTGGCAAAATGTTTTTTTAATTACTGATAAAAAAATTTCCTAATTTTATCAAATTACTCGTTTTTTAATCCTTATAAATTCTCCAGCACGACGGTTTAACTCATGATCAGTTGATATTCAATACGGCTGCAATGCAATACAATTTAGTTACTTATGGGCAACCTCAGAATCCTTAAAGATTGATAAATTATTTTCTAACTTTTATGAGACTCTAGAGTCTCTTCTGTCCTTGAAAATCAAAAAATTTTTTGATTTTCAAGTGTTAGAACAAAATAATGTTAACTATTATTTTTTTTATTTTTTTTAGGCAACACGATCTCAAAAATAATTTTATTGCAACATTCACTCACAAAAATATATACAATTATTTATTTAATAATTATAGAGAACTTTAATGTTCTTCCTTCTCTCAATCCCATCATTGCTAAAAAGGCTACAATTGAATTTCTTTGTAATGTTGTCTGGTACATTTCACCACACGAACGTTGTACGATCAACTTCTGTATCCGTTGTTTGAGGTTCAAAGCTTCCACAAGTTAATGCAATTCTTTTTGCTTCCCCTGGACCAAGAAATCCAACTCCAGGTTTGCCTTTTAAGCGTCTAGTGGTGCACGAAAGTGAAAAACAATGGTGTTTGAAGAAGCATTGACAATCTGCAATGGTTTGATTTTTTATTAACCCGCCGTGTTTACTTGATTAATAATAATGATTTAACTAATTGATTTAACTTTTTTTTCTTAGGAAAAGTCAATATGTCGTTTACAACTTCACCTACGCAATCGTTAGTTTCTGGGTACACCCAGCTTACCGCGAGCCCTACTTACCGCAGTAACTTCGTTCAGAATTGTCGAATCTGGGACGCCCTGGTATGATTCGATTCAGCTCGTCGAGGCGCATCGAAACATGACAGGGCGGCCCGGATTCGACATTTCTGAACGAAGGTATAGCTTCGCGGTAATCTGGCCTGCTCCCTTAGTTTCTATATCAGTGCTGGACGCAATTGAAAACAAATTTTCCGCAACCGCAAGTCAAAAAACACGCAATCCGCAACTGCGTCCAGCCCTGCTCTATATCTACCAATGTGCTTCAACAACAAAAATTGCAGCAGCAAAAACAACAATTAATTGCAGCAGTAGCAACAGTTCCCCTCCAAAAATCTGATTTTTAATGGGCCGTTTGAGGACACAAAAACTTATATTAAAGTTGGTTTTCTTTTTTAAACTGATAATTTTAAACCCACAATTTTTAAAATTGCAGATTGTCAATGCTTCTTCGAACACCATTGTTTTTCACTTTCGTGCACCACTAGACGCTTAAAAGGCAAACCTGGAGTTGGATTTCTTGGTCCAGGGGAAGCAAAAAGAATTGCATTAACTTGTGGAAGCTTTGAACCTCAAACAACGGATACAGAAGTTGATCGTACAACGTTCGTGTGGTGAAATGTACCAGACAACATTACAAAGAAATTCAATTGTAGCCTTTTTAGCAATGATGGGATTGAGAGAAGGAAGAACATTAAAGTTCTCTATAATTATTAAATAAATAAATGTATATATTTTTGTGGGTGAATGCTGAAATAAAATTATTTTTGAGATTGTGTTGCTTAAAAAATTTTGAAAGATGTTATTCTTTAACATTATTATTTTGAAAGATTCTCCTTTAAATTTTTATGTTTTTTTAGAGATGTTTATTGTTAAGTCTAATTTGTCTTCTGTATTTCTTCGTCAGCCTCGTATTTTTTGTTTAAGTGTTGCTAATTATTATGGAGAAGGAGATCGTCCACAATATGATAATCAGCAACGATATCAAAATCGTGAGAATCGTTCTGAGGGATATGGAGATCAACGGCCCTATTATATTCAAAATTTGAGAAATACAAAACGTGTGGGTGGAGATGCTCAATTGTATATTTTTAATTTTTTTTAATTAGATTTTTATTTGATTTTTAAAGTTATCAGAATCGTGGGCCATACAGACCTAATGTTTCTGGATATGGAGGAAATCGAATGACGAAAAATAGTTTTGCAGGTTTTTAAAGACTTACAATATTAAGGTGCATTTGACTCTTCTCCATTTTTCACTTTGAGGTTTTTAGTCTGTGTTTTTGGATTCCATAACATTGTTTCGGCTCGAGACATTTAAAGTTTATCATTAGAGTGTACGGACATTTTTCTATTTGTTATGCATAAACTTTAAAAATACTAGAAATCCAAATAACAACCCAGGAAAAGTTAAAAGGCTGATGAATGATCTCGGACTCGTTTTCCGTCCAAATAATGTCACGGAATCTTAAAGTTGATAGTAACCCCAAAGGCAAACGCAATTGAAAAACTGGGGGTATTAACTTAAGATTTTGTATGAAACCTCTGGGTGCTAACGAGCGTTATCGGAAATCTAGCTTATCGAGATATCTTTTAAGATTATCGTACGATACTCCCAGTCCGGTCTCCACCACTACCTTGATTATTACTAAAACTTTTTTGCAAGTTCTTATAATTTAAAAGGAAGCAACTTACGTCCAGTTGATTGGAATAAACATCAATTGCCTGAAATTAAAAAAGATTTGTATAAAGAACATGAAAATGTTACAAATCGTGAATTGGAAGCAATTAAAGAATGGTTAAAAGAAAATGAATGTATAATTCGAGGACAGGAAGTTCCGCGACCAATTTTTGAATTTATTGAAAGTGGATTTCCAGGTTTTTTTTTACTTTTAATTTTAAATTTAAAAAATATTTTTAGAACCAATAATTGATTTGCTTTTAAAAAATTATGAGTCTCCTATGAGCATTCAGGTTGTTTTTATTTTTTAATTTAATTGCAAAATCATTTTCAGTGTATTTCATGGCCAGTAGCATTAAGTGGTCGAGATATGATTTCTATTTCTAGAACGGGATCAGGGAAAACTCTTGGATTTATTCTGCCGGCAATCATGCATGCAATGAGGTTTTTTGTAGCTTCTATTCTTGGGAATTTTTTAGGAAACTTTTTTCTTATTTTTATATGTTCGCTCCTGACCCACAGCCCTGAAATGGGGAAAAAGAAAAATTTAGGGAGGGCGAAGAAAAAAGTTTATTTTTTGACCTACGACCCTCAAAATTTCTCAAAATTCTCGTCTGTGGGGCAAAAATCATAATTTTAATAGGGGACAAGTTTACTAAAAATTTTGCATTATCAGCACCTCCATTTTTCTAAATTCTAAATCACCTACAAATATTTTTTAAGTCAACCTCCTCGTCGTCACGGTGATGGTCCTTCTGTTTTGGTTCTCTTGCCAACAAGAGAGTTGGCTCTTCAAGTGCAAGAAGTTGCCATTGAATTTTGCAGGATAATGAATTTAACTGCATTTTGTTGTTATGGTGGAGCTTCAAAATTAACTCAAGGAAATATTTTACAACGAGGTTTTTATTTAAAAAAATATTTTTATTTTTAATTAAAGGTGTTGATATTTGCATTGCAACGCCTGGACGTTGTTTAGACTTTTTGGAAGCTAAAGTATTAAATCTGAATAGATGTACTTTTTTGGTTTTGGACGAAGCTGATAGAATGTTAGATATGGGATTTGAACCACAAATACGTTCAATTATTGGCCAACTTCGTGTATGATTTTATCTCAATTTTTCGAACACTTAAGTATGGGGCCATTTCCAGACTTCTGGCCAAAAATTTTTCACACAGAGTTCACTCCGAATTCCGATTTTTTTTACTTACGGTTTTCGAAAATTTACGACGATTTCTTACTTTTGAGCCTTTTCCGACTTTCGGCACCTTTGTCAGTTCCGACTGACCTCTGCCAAAAAAATTGACAAAAGTAATTTTTGATGTTTGAGTGAACCAAAAGCAAATCGGAAAAAAACCCATAAAAACAGTAATTAATAATTTAGAATGATCGTCAAACTTTAATGTTTTCTGCAACTTGGCCTAAAGAAGTTCGTGAATTAGCTAATGATTTCCACAAAGATCCAGTTCACTTAACTGTTGGTTCTCTTGAATTGGCTGCAAATCATAATATTGAGCAATATGTTGAAGTTGTTGATGAACGTGAAAAGGAAGAACGTTTTATGGAATTACTTGGAAAAATTATAAAAGAGGTTATATTTTTAATATCTTATCAGAAAGTTTTGATTGAAAAGGAATTTTAGAAAATATTTTGGTGCTTATAGGATTAGGCTGTTTCAAAAGTCATGTCTCTAAAAGGGTGCCGTCTATCGTGTTTTTTTCTGGATACCGATACAATAACTTAGATGTCATCTAGGTTAACATGATTTTTCTGGTATGGTGTTATCCGAAATAATTTACAAACACAAATTCTTTGGTGGCCTTTAGTGACAGCCAGAGGTGGGGGGATTCAGATTTCCGACGTTTTTTCCTTCCGAGTTCCGACTTTTAAGCCAGTTCCGATTTCCGGCTCTTCCGATTTCCGACACCTCTGACTGTTCCGACCCACCTTTAGTGACACTTCCTATAAAAAAGTTATTTTTATAAAATTGCAGGACGAATACAAAACATTAATTTTTGTTGCAACTAAACGTAAAGCTGATGATTTGACTCGTAATTTGCGCCGTGATGGTTTTTTTTGAGTCTGAAATTTATGTCCTAAATTGTATTTATTATAGGTGTAAAAGCATTGTGCATACACGGAGATAAATCACAAACTGAACGGGAATGGGTTCTTTCAGGTTAATTTGAACTAGATATGTATATTTTATCATTTATATTTTTAGAATTTAAGAGCAATAAAATGCCCATTTTGATTGCAACTGATGTTGCTGCTCGTGGTTTAGGTAATTTTTCTAATAGAGTTTGGATTTTTCCTGAGTGTTGTTCCATATTCTTTTTTTTATGCCTGACTATGAAAAGCTGATCCGAACGAAGGATGGGGATGTCTCGGGCTGAGAAAATGCCTAGTCATTGTTTCAAATTTTCACCATGAAAACCGGGTTGAGAAACGATGTCTCGGGTGGTTTCAAAATTTATTTCATGTCGGGTTTCGGTCAAAAAAAACGTCCGAGCCTCAGGACCCTAAACACCCCTGATCCGAACTCATTAAAAGTAATTTAATAAAAAATATTTTTTAGATGTTGATGATATCAAATACGTAATAAATTATGATTATCCAAATAATTCAAAAGATTATATCCATCGAATTGGCCGTACTGGGCGTAGAAACAAAACAGTTAGTTTTTAAATTATTCTATTTTTTAAATAAACTTTTTTAGGGTGTAAGTTACACTTTCTTTACTCCTGGAGAGTCTGACAAAGCGAAGGATTTGATTGAAGTTTTGGAAGAAGCTAAACAAACCGTTCCAGATAGTCTTCGCAGTTTAGCAGAAAATGGTAACGGAAGAGGTGGGCAAACTAGGGGAGGACGCCCAGAATACCGAACACAAAGAGGTTATTATTGATTTATTTTTGTTTTTTTTGTGTTTTAAGTATTTTGTTATTTAATTAGTATAATCACCAAAAAAAATTAAAATTATTTTAGAAAAAGTATTTTATTTGGTGTCGAATAGATACAAAAAATGTCTAAGAAAAATGGTTAAATTTCTACTAATCGAGTGCACCTCGCTTTAAAGCTTTTCCTATCGACCCTTCCCCTCCATTAGGGTTGTCGGTTCCTGGAAATTCCTTGGATATCCGAAACCGAAACGAAAAATCTTCGGTTCAGTCCAGAACCGACAACCCTATCCTCCCTAATTTAAACTCGTTGTCAGTTTTTCCTATTTCAATCCCTCTCTGATTTAATATAAGTAGTAGAAAGAAGTAGGTGCACCTGATCATAAGGTCAATTTTTATAGTCCAAGGGTTGTAAATGAGGTCAAATTGCAATAAAATTTTCTAATCAGTTTTACCTAAATCGGTCCTTTCCCCACTAGAAACATTATCATCCTCCTTTAAATCCTCTTTTTCAATACTCAATCGCTGACTTTGACTGCACAAAAGTGTAAGTACATCCCCTCTTTCTGTAAGTGTTTTCAATATAAACCCTCGTTGTTCAATTAATTCTTCTAATTGATTAAGTAAATTCATACGTTCATTGTCAATTAAACTAAAGGCTGTCTAAAAAAGTTTTTGAAATTTTCTAAAAAATTTTGGAAAAAAAACCTGAATCCAATTTTGATGAGCACGACAATTTTTATTTTTCTCTTGACAATAACCCCCATCCGCTATCATTGCGTCAGAAGAAATAAAAAGAGATTCAAAATTTAAACAACTTCCATTTTTATACCAAATTAAAGGACATCCACAAATCTAAGAAAATTTTCTGAAAAAATTTTAAAATTAAAAAAAAACCTTCAAATTAAATTCATCTCTGTAATGTTCTGCACATGCATATCTTAATCTTTTACAATAAGTTTTGTTGATTTTGTTATAAGAATCACAATAAAGTTTGTATTGATTATTTGGGATCTTTAAAAAAAAATTTTTTATTTTTAATTATTTGGGTCGGACCTCACTATAAGACAACCTCTCTGGAGCTGGAAAACTCGTACCTTATAATTAGGGGTATCTTGAATAAAATCCAAAAAAAATCCCATGCGCTCGGCAGCTCCCCAACTTCTGCCCCAACAAAATTTAAGTGTCTTAAATAGAGTTGTATCTAATATTGGAAGTATCTTATAAAGAGGTGAGACTATAATAATATAAAGAAAACCGGATAATCAGTTCCATAAGTTGTTTGTTTCTCAGATCGCGTATAACAAGATTGAATGTGTTTAGTACTTTCACGCATGGGAAATTCTCCTCCACAAACAGGACATCCCACTACCTTAAAAATAATTAAAATTAGAAAGCATTTTTATCCAAAAAAAGCAAAAAATCTAAATAACAATCAAAAAATTAAAATATTTTCTTTACAAAATTATCGTCTCCACTCTTTGGCCGTTCCGCAGTTGGCTGTGCATTTTTAATTGCAGCTAAAAAATTTTCAACATTATCTTTCCATTCTCCAAATTTTTTCAATTTTTGATGAATTTGTGTAATTTGTCCTTCGACGTTGTTAAGTTTTTTGTTGTCCTCAATTTGTTTAGAAGGAACTTTGGCAAAGAAATCATTAAATCTTTGGGGCAAAATTGTTTTGAGTCTAATCTGAAAAATTAAAAAAATGATTTTATATTAGCACGGGGCCTTGACACCCCCCCTCCTCTTTAGCAATCTGACCAGATGGGTCTGGACTCACATCAGTCTGGGCCACCCCCTCCCTCTAACAATCTGACCCACCCTTCACATCAATAGGTCTGACTCAAATCTGGGATTAGGGCCTGATTCTGACATTCCAAAGAAAATTATTGTTCCGATTTTTTTCAAACGGCCGAAACTCTAAACCCAGACGCCAATTCAGATAAAAATAAACCATAAATCAAAATCCGAAAAAAACCTGTGCAAGTGCCAATCCACAACGTTCAGAACAATATTTAGATCCTTGCCTCACCTAAAAATAAATTTAAAAATATTTCTAAAAATTAAAAAGACCGAATTGGTACATTCAGGTCCAATACATTGTTTTTCTTCATGTTCAATTGGAAGCTTTAAAAATAAATTTAATTATTAAATTTTTGAATAATTTTTAATGGATATTACAAAAAACCGCTACTAGACACCCTGTAGAAAGATTTACTCTAATATCTTTTTAACAACTCTACAAACTAAATTGAAGCATAATAAAGGGATTCTAAAATATTAACTGAAGCTAATTGTGTTAAAGTGGGCTTCATGTGAATCGAGGTGGGTAATACCAAGGCTGGTCCCCCTTTTTTCTGTTCCCCAGACCATTTTTATAATTTACAATATATCATTTGAAAGAGCTGTTCGAGCTGAGTAGAATGATACTATGGTCGGTTGAATTTGGCGATTCTGAACAGAATTGTGTAGCTAAATCCTCGATGGAATTACCTTGAGGTGTACCAACCAGGGATTCTGGGGTCAGAAAAAAGTCAGTTTGGAGTTTCGTGCCGAAAAAAGTTAGGGGTTTGGGTTACTCGGCTAATCCTTGGTCCTTTAAACATTCTTGAAAATAAAAAAACCTCATTATTATTCCTAGCTTTTGTCCTTTTACGCATTAAATTGTTATAAAATTTATTAAGTTGTAAAGCCAAATCCTCATTTTCTTTTGGTTTTTCTGACATTCCAACACTTCGACGATGTTTAGTCATAGTCTCATCGTTTAATTGTTGTTTTGGTTTTCGTCCTCTTGTGCTAACATGAACTTCACAATCAATACTTGATGTTTCAGACAAAGCTTTTTCTGACTTTTTTAACTAAAAAATTTTTTTTAATAAGAGAATTGAATTTCTCTTGAAGTTAATTAATTAATTAAATCGGTTTTCTCACGCAAAAATAAACAGTTTTTTTTGCAATAATTTAGTTTGTGCCCAACCTTCGTTCTCCCAGAATTTCTCCCAACCGTCGTTCACCCAGATTTTCTCCCAAATTCTTTCCAGAATTTAATTTGAGAAAAATTCCTCCCAAATCTCAACAATCCAAAAAGGATAAAAAATCGTTTCCGTTACATAATTGAAGGAAAAAAACTGTGAAAGTTTATGTCCTGTCCCAGTCTAATGCCTAGTTTATCTACACACCCATAACGAGTTATTTTTGCAAAAACAAAACTCAAAACGTATTTTAGAAAAAAAGGAAGGAGGGAAGGGCACAACCAAGGGAAGGGAATAAAATACAAATTAAATAAAAATTAAAAAATCATAAGGGAAGGGCACAATCCGAACACATTTAATCATCCCTAAATTCTCCCCAAATTTTTCAAAAAAAATTAATTTCAAAAAAACCTTCTTCTTAAAAAGCTCTTCCACTTGAACACAAATTCTTTGCATACAAAGTTTGCCTTTATTTTGTGATTGCATACAAACAACACATTTACCACAATCCTCATCCCTAAAACAACCAATACAATTCTCACATCTCAATTCTGGATTTTCCTCTTGAATTTTTTGTTGTTTTAAAATTGTTGGAGGAATTAATTGAATTGGAGCTGGGGAAGATTGAGGAGGTTTAATTACATCAATAATTGTTATTGGTGGAGGAAGAGGCTTTTGGTGGTCATTTATTGGAATATTTGATGAAGAAATATTTGAAGAAGGCTCTTCTTTGATTTTTATTGCCAGTAAAGAATTGCTGATTTCTTTTGGTTCAATATTGGTAATTTCAACTTTTACTTTAGCTAATGCTGAAAATTTTTGGAAAAAAAATAATTTAATTTTGAAATTACTCAAATCCCCTAGCCCAACAGATTTACCGATCATTACACGGAAAATAATTGTTCCAGAAACGAGGAAAAGTGATTCTGATACATCGATATATTCCCTACACCATCTTGAGCATTTTTAAAAGCATTTTAGTGAAAATATTGATAAAAATTGTTCATTAGGTAATAACCAAAATTTTGTGAATAAAAAATACAAAAAATCCATAAACAACCAATTTTACAAAAATTCCAAAAAGAAAACTCGGTAATACCTTGGTTTAGACCCCCCCCCCCCATTCACATAATTTCCTGCTTTCTTTTCATGGCAAATCATATATGTATCATTCGAAAAAGCTCTTTGAGTGATATTATTCACCACAGACTGAAGAGCTGGGTCGAATGGTATAGAATAAATTGCAGCTCAAGCTAAAGAGCTCAAATGACCAGGGAAACAGGAAAAATTGGGGGAAGGTCTAAACCAAAGCATCCCGGAAACTCTCCCAAAAATAAAAAAAAATTTACTTGAATTTGCCAAGCTTGGACTTCTCGCCAATGTTCGAACAGTTGATTCCTCTTTCTTAATAATCTTTGCAGGTTTAATTTCTACAAAAAATTTAAATCTTTTATTTAATAAATAATTTCAAAAATTTAAACCAATTTTTGATTTTTTGTTGTTTTCTTGTTGCTCTGTCGATTCTTTCCTCTTTTTTGTAGTTTTGACATTTTCTTTTTTATAAACAATTTCATTTCCTTTTTTCTTGCAAGAACGACAAGCAAATTTTTCAATTTTCTCAACATCCTTTTTCTTTATACCAACACATTTTGTATGGTACCAAATTGAACAATAATCACAACAAATCATCAAAGTTGAATAATCCCTTTTTAAAAAAATATTTATGTTAGAAAAATAGTCAAGCCTCGTTATAAGATAGACCCAGAATTTTGAGGGTATCTCAATAAAGGACACCTTCAAAAATTTCCAAAAATTTGATTGGATACTGACATATCTAGGGGAGAGCTGCCTAATCACTCCACAAATATAACCCAAAACTATTAGAAAACCTCTCAGTCTGAGATACTTTCCTTAAGGATTTTGTTTGGATATAAGGTATAGAGATCGAGATTTTTGAAAAGCCTGGACCTGTTCCTAGACTCTGGAATTGATTTCTTGACCTGGACTAGATCCTGGGCCTGTAGTCCAGGAAAACCCCAGGTCCAGGAAAAACCCAGGAAGGTCAAAAAACGCCTGGGCCTGGACTCTGGGTACAGGAAAAACCCAAGCCTTGGTCCAGGTCCAGCTCGATCTCTAATAGGGTGGAGGAGAGCCTCACAAGCAATAGCCTCCCAACCTATTTAAGGTGCACCTCCTTGGACGATTTCAGTCCGAGGGTGTATTTAATAACAAGTCTCGACTTAAATAAGATTAAAGAAAAATACCTAGAATCACAAATACAATGTTTTTCTTCTACTTCTTCATCGTCAGTATCCTCTTCCTCATCATCAATAAAGTCATCTTCGTTTTTAGGCTTTCCTTTTCGTGAAGTCTCTACGTCAGCCATCACAAATAAACTTTAAAAAAATATATGAAATTATTTAACGAAGAAACAAAAGAAAATAAAAAATTTAATTTTCAACTAAAAAGTTAGAGAATAAGAATTAATTATGTCTAACTTTAATTTCCATTTTTCTCTTTTTCTCTAACTTTCTTTTTCTCTTTTACACTAATTACAATTTGTCAACTATAAAATATCAAAAGTCAAAATAATACATAACGAGGATTTGCCTGTTTTGCCTTTCGTCATTTGCTTTTTTTTAATTTCGGTACACTTTAGAGATTTTCCAAAATTTTTCTTAGAATTTTTGGAATTTTACAAAAATGAAGAAACAAATTTCAAAGAAAAAATTAAAACAAACTTCACAACAAAATTGTTCAATTATTCGAAAACGTTTAAATATTGAAGTGCTTGATGAAACAAAGTTTTTTGAAGAGGCTGATATTCCAAATTGTAAACATGGTAAGCCTTTTAACTTTAATTAAAAAAATTTCTTTTTCAAGGCCCTTGTTTATTATTCTCAAATTCTTTTGGTGAAAAATGGGGCAATCCCGGAGAATTGGGGTCCCTGCGGAAAAAAATCTTAAAAATAAGAAAAAGGATTTTTCTAGGGTAAAAAAATATGCTGATTATGAATCTGAACTCAGATTTTGAAAAAGTCGAATCCCGAACCCGAACCAAATTTCGAACCCTGAACCCGAATTTCGAATATGCAAATGATAGCTCATTCGAAAGGGCTCGTCGAGCTGCATCGAATGACACCAAAAACAACGCGATCGGACCTGTTTCGACAAAGTTATGACATAAAGTAAACCTCTGGGAGTACTGTAAGAGTCGGCGACTTATGTCATAATTTTGTCTAAACTTGATCAATCACTGTAATTTTGGTGTCATTCGACTCAGCACGACGAACTCTTTCGAATGAGCCATCATTTGTAAAAACTTTTTTACTCCAAAAGATCACCCCTGTGGTTTTTCAATATTTAGGGGTCTGTATCTCGGTTCAATCCGGTCGGATTTAATTGATTTTGGTGTCATTCGACTCAGCTCGATGAGTTCTAGATTCTTTTGAAAGACTGGCCATTTTGTACAATGTCCGTCAATGTTCGGGCCCAAAATCCTGTTCGGGGGCAAAAGTCCGAATTCGGGTTCGGGATTCGACTTTTTCAAAATCTGAGTTCAGATTCGTAATCAGCATATTTTTTTACCCTAGAAAAATCCTTTTTCTTATTTTTAAGATTTTTTTCCGCAGGGACCCCAATTCTCCGGGATTGCCAAAAATGGTTTTCCTGTGCTATTTATCGTTCGTCTAAATTGTGTGGATTTAAAGTGAATTTGTCTAAAGATGGGACTTTGCTACAAAATAAGAAAATAAATAGACCGAAAATTCAGACTTTGCCAATTGAAGAATATGGAAGTTTGAGATTGAGGTTTTTGTGATTAAAAGTTAAAGATAGTCGATCTTCTTTATAAGATTACCCCCAATATTATATACATCTCTATTTAAGAGACGATTTTTTGAATTTTGATCAGTCATCACGTGTTGAACTAATTAAACTCGTTCTAAGATACCTTCTAAAATTGACACTAATCATTTTGGTGGAGCTGCCTAAGCAATACCTTCTATTTAATATCCACCTCATTATATAATACTTTCTATTTAAGATACCCTCAATACTAGATGCCCCCAATACCCCCAATACTAGACACCCCTCTATTTAAAAGTTGTTTTTAAAATTTGGTTGGTTACTGGATGGAGGGAGTTTTCTAAGCGATACCCTCTATATAAGATACCCTCATTATAAGAGACTATTTTTTCAGTCTCTTATAATTAAATTAATAATTTTTTAAAGATTTGATGAATTAACTAAAATTGGCATTAATCCATTTTGGTGTAAACAATGTTTTAATTTTGTTTCGAATGAACATGAACACAAATTTGACGAAAATTGTTTTGATAGTTGGCCTTCTCCATTTCAAATTATTGACGCTATAAAAGACAATTTTGGAGAAGCAGTTGAGTTTTTTTGAAGTAAACTATTAAAGCGGTCCAATAAAATTTTTAAAATTTATTGGAATCAAGGACGTATCCAAAAAAATTTTTTGGGAGGATTGTGTTTATATTATACTCTGATCTAGGGTAGCATGCCGTTCCCCGGAACCCCGACCGGAACCCCGAAGACTCTACCCCGGCAATCGATCTGATCCCGATCGAAGACTCCACCCGATCCCGCCCCTGAATGCCGGGGTGTACTCTAATTTAATCTGTATTAAAAAATTATTTTTATTTTTCTTTGATTCTTTCTAGAATTTTTAACTTTTTCTAAAATTATTTTTATTTTGCTTTCAATTCTAAGCGGTTTTTTTTATATTTTTCGTATCATAGAGGAAAATAATTTTAATATTAGGATTTTCCCTCAAAAAAATTTTTCCTGATACGTTCCCGAGTTCATATAAATTTTCAAAAATATTTCTTGTTCCGTTTTTAATAAGCAGATATGAGCAAAATAAAATGCTTAAAATTTATTTCAAATTCTTAACTTCATTTTTAGCAATTTTGGTTTACAGAAAATGTTCTCTCTTTAATTTCAAATTTAATCAAAGAAAATTCAATTAATTCAATTCTTTGTGTTGGCACTCCAATACTTTTTGAATGGCTTAAAAAATTGGATATACAAAATTTGTTTTTATTGGATTTTGATGATAGATTGGTTTGTTTGTTTTTAATTTTTTAAAATATATTTTTTGTTCTGGATTAGGATATTCGTGAGAATTTCTCAAAAAGGGTGTTTTTGATTTCCCAGATTTTTTTATTCTGCTTTGGGTTCCGTAACTGTTTTGTTTGGAATTTGTTGACCACTAGGTCTTGGGCTGAGATGATCGAAATAAAAAAATTTTTTATTTCGAAACGAAAAAAAATTTCGATCATCCCTAGGCTGTGTAAGCCTGTTGGTAGTAATTTTATAATTTTCTGAAATTAAGAAAACTTTGTAACTAGTCAAGTTTATACATTATAAATCTGTGCATATTGCCCCATACTTCTTGGCCACCGGTTCCAAACAAGAAAAAATTTTAAAATCTGGAAAATTAACTAGAACCTTTGTGGAACGTATACATTCCAAAGAGGCATTCATGTCCTAAACCAGAACTTTTTTCTAATTTTTTTCAGTCAAAATTTTATTTTCCTCAAGAATTTGCTCGTTTTTCAATTTTAAATTGTTATTTTTATTTAAATGAAGGCAAAGAAAATTTAATTAAATTTTTTGAAAAATGTGATCAACGTTTACTATTTATTTGTGATCCTCCTTTTGGTATTCAAATAACTCCATTAATTCGAACAATAAATAAATTGGAATTAATTTTTAAAGAAATAAAGAGGTTTATTAATTAATTAAAGGCTTGGCGACATTTGCGGGCAAAACTAAAATTTATTGAAATTGGACAAAAACGGCATTGAGTCTTGTCCGTTACTATGGCCTATATCATAAAATATTTTGATGATATAATACTCTGGACAAAAACGAGATCTCGGATCGATATTTTTTCTTTAGGATTCCTGCAAGACGTTCTAAATTTAAGTCTCTACTCATCACAGTTTTTTATAAAACAAGAGAGTTTCGTGGGTGTCCGCAAATGTCGCTCCATCATTTTATAGTTAGAATTTAATATTTTTTTCTTTAAGTTCATCCTTCAATAAAATATTGTTTTTGCCTTACTTCGCTGGGAAATATTTAAATAATACAAATATGTCAATGGTTGATTATAAAGTATTTTTTTAATTATTAAAATTTTTTTATAAAAATATAGTCGGAGCTCTCCGTCGCTGGGGTGTTCTGTGACTTTTTTAAATTCCTTGCTCTAGGAATTACTGGAATCGGAGCCAGACCCAGCAAGAAGCTCGCCTCAAAGGAGAGCTTAAGTTTAACTCAAACTTAACAACCTCAAGCTAGTCTCAAGCTTGCCTCACTCTCTCCTACCTCACCTCCCACAACCTCGCCTTTCCCTTGTTCAACTCGGTCCCAATACGTGACGTTATAGAGAGCTTTGACTGTTTATTAATTTTCTATCTCCATGATAAAATTATTTTCAAATAGGTAACATATACAAATCACAAAGAATTTTCAAAATTAAATAAATCAACAGTTCGAATATTTACAAATATTTCAAATAAATTATTTAAATTACCAAAAGAAGAAGGTTATCATTTTTGTGAAATTTGTCAACGTTTTGTTTGTAAAGAAAATAAACATTGCTTCAAATGTGGATATTGTACATCTTTGGTTAGTTATATTTTTATTTTATTTTAAGATCCACTTCTATTTAAGAGAGTTTTTCTATAATTCGTTTGTTATTGGGGGGGGGGGGTAATTACCAGCATGGTGCCCTCCTATTCTCCACCTTTTCCTACTTTTTCCTTCCTTCCTCTTTTTCACTCTATTCCCCTGTGACAGATTCAAGATATGGGACTACCCAAACGATACCCTCTATTCAACATACAGCTCATTATAAGAGACGATTTTTAACCCAAGGGTTATAAAGGCAGTCCGACCTTCCTTATGTATCCATAATGAAGTCCGACTGTCGTACCCGCTGAGTATCCGTCTCTTGATTTTTTGATATTCAGATATTTACTTAATATTGTGATAAGCGGATAGGCTGTCAAAATCAAATTTAAAAATAATTTTTAATTTTTTATAGGATGGAGGCTTATACAAACATTGTAATTATTGCAGCAAATGTGTAAAAAGAAAATATATTCATTGCAAAAAGTGTTTTAAATGTCATTTAAAAGAACGTTGTTGTATTTTTAAAAATGATTAAATAAAACTGTTAATCAAATGAGTGCAACCCATTATATAATGGATTGTTTCATCCGTTACCGATTTGAGGCAGTCAACCAATAAACCAAAATAATGATTTACTAAAGAAATCATCAGCAAAAAAATTTTTTATTGGATTTCAATCAAACTACCTAACTACAATTTTTTCAACAATAAATACAACAGATATGACGACATTTATTGAAAATATTTGGAACGTTTCAATAACTTTATTACATTTACTTCACCAACAATAATTTCTGGTACAAATGGAACAACAACAACAAATAAAGGATTTCTTTTTAATTGTTGGGGGTATTATTGTTGGAGTTATTATTTTTAAGTTTTTTTTTAAATTAAATATACCAATTTTGATAATTTTAAGGGTTTAAATTTTATTAGTTCTCATCACATTTTTAAATTATACATAATTATCCCAAAAATTATATACTGGAAATTGGATAAGGAAAAAACTCTTATTTTCTTTTAAATTATTTAATTTAAATTTTTATTACCATTTAGAGCTCCTTTGTTTTTTAATGCAGAGATTGCAAATACTCCAACTGCGGAAGTGCAGCTATAACCGCTTTTTTTTCTGTGTAAGACTAAATACATTTATTTATGAATTTAAATTTAAAAAAAACCGGGAGAAGATTTTGATGTTGTGGAAGGGGTGTTTGCAAAATTAAAAGCAGCTAGAAGGGGAAAAAGATTTAAAATTCTTGTACCAGAAATAATGAGAGCTGGTATTGAAGCTTTGCCAGCCAAAAATAAAAAAAATCTTTATTTTATTTATGTCAATAATTTTTTCGATGATTTGAATATTTTATTCCCAGAATCAGAATGATTTAATTAATTATTTTTTGTTTCAAAATATTTATTCTTAAGTGTTTTAAAATACATTTTTATTTAAATCTAAATATTTTGAAACAAAAAATAATTAATTAAATCATTCTGATTCTGGGAATAAAATATTCAAATCATCGAAAAAATTATTGACATAAATAAAATAAAAATTTTTTTTTATTTTTGGCTGGCAAAGCTTCAATACCAGCTCTCATTATTTCTGGTACAAGAATTTTAAATCTTTTTCCCCTTCTAGCTGCTTTTAATTTTGCAGGCACCCCTTCCACAACATCAAAATCTTCTCCCGGTTTTTTTAAATTTAAATTCATAAATAAATGTATTTAGTCTTACAAAAAAGCGGTTATAGCTGCACTTCCGCAGTTGGAGTATTTGCAATCTCTGCTTAAAAAACAAAGGAGCTCTAAATGGTAATAAAAATTTAAATTAAATAATTTAAAAGAAAATAAGAGTTTTTTTCCTTATCCAATTTCCAGTATATAATTTTTGGGATAATTATGTATAATTTAAAAATGTGATGAGAACTAATAAAATTTAAACCCTTAAAATTATCAAAATTGGTATATTTAATTTAAAAAAACTTAAAAATAATAACTCCAACAATAATACCCCCAACAATTAAAAAGAAATCCTTTATTTGTTGTTGTTGTTCCATTTGTACCAGAAATTATTGTTGGTGAAGTAAATGTAATAAAGTTATTGAAACGTTCCAAATATTTTCAATAAATGTCGTCATATCTGTTGTATTTATTGTTGAAGAAATTGTAGTTAGGTAGTTTGATTGAAATCCAATTCTTTAGTTAAATCATTATTTTGCAATGTTGATTGACTGCCATTAATTGGCAATGGATGAAACAATCCATTATATAAAGAGGGTTTGCACTCATTTGATTAACAGTTTTATTTGATTATGTTCCCAAATTTTTACGAGTATTTAAAAATATTTAAATAAAATTAAATTCTAAAATCCAACATTGTGTCCTTTCATTTTATTAAGATTATGATGACGAGTACTTGTATCGGCAGAAAATAAGAAGACAATAATTTTTTAATTTCAAAATCCTCTCTCGTAACATTAACAGGTACTTTTCCGTTTTGTTACACCCCCATATATTAATGCTCAAAATGTCACATATAGGGTAATTAAAGGTGCTGAGTTGGTCGGTACCCTTCTTTTTCCCGTGAGATGTCTGTGAACTGAGATAAAGGGCTCGAAATGGTCAAAAACCATTGGGCCATTTTGGGGTAAAAAATTCGCATATGCAAATAATAGCTCATTCGAAAGAGCTCGACGAGCTGAGTTGAATGACACCAAAATCATCGTCTTCGAATAAGTTTGGACCGAGTTACGATACAAAAAATTGTGTGGTTCTTCAATATTCAGGGACCTGAATCTCGGTCAAATCAAATCAGATTTCGTTGATCTTGGTGTCTTTTGACTCAGCTCCATGAGCTCTTTCGAATGGGGTATTATTTGTATATTTGAATTTTTACCCCAAAAATGAACTTACTCCCCTCTATGGTTTTTGACCATTTCGAGCCCTATATCTCGGTCCACAGACATTTCCTGGGAAAAAGAAAGGTATCGTTCGACTCAGCACCTTTTATTACCTTATATGTGACATTTTGAGCATTAATATATGGGGGTGTAACAAAACGGAAAAGTACCCATTAACAAATCCAATAAATATCTAGAACGAGAATCTCGTTTTTAGATACCCACATCTCTGTCTCATGAATTGAGTTGACACAAACAAAAAACTTATTCTTTAAGTCACAAGACAGTACCCAAACAAGACCAAATTCAATTCTTAAGCCTCGCCACTAGGGCAAAGCAATTACAAAATTTATCCACGCAGCCTCTTAATAGGGCAGGATACAATTAGTACCTTAAGCTTGGGTAATTAAACCGAAAAGTCATCCAAATGCAAAATATACAAGCAAAGCAAAATAATAAATTTTAGACGCTGTATAAAATAAAATTAATTTTAATAGAATGTGTAAGAGTTTGAAGCAAATACTGCACACTCTCATTTATTTTCATTTCTCTGCCTGACTAAGTTCTCTATAGTTTTTCTCTTTCAAATACGAAAATGCCCATACGCATAAAAATAACGAAATCTCTACATTGTAGTGATGTTCAAATTGGTCATGAAGGGGAAATATTTAAATTCGTCACAAGTCTCGCGAACAAATTAGTTAAAATCTAACTCATTTCTAAAATTGGAATTTTTATTATAAGCATGAATAAAGGCCAATGAGTACTGAATAAAATGCCAACTATTATCGTTCAATCATTCAAAAGCTCTCGAGAAGCTGTATATTTTTTCCAACTGGATGGATCAAGTCTGATCACTCATGTGAAGATATGCTCTATAATTTTCAAAAAATTATGTAATTTTTGGTTTCAAAAAATGTTTAGAATTATTTATTATTCAAAATCCTGTGTTTTTGTAAATACCAAAAAATTTCGTTTTTTTCATTTCTTTTAATTATTTTCTTTTTCTTTTACAAAAAAGTAATTGAAAAAAATAATTATTAGTATATTTCCTTATTTATTTGTTCCATTCTTTTAAATTCCAAAAATAACTTGATATTTAATGCACTCTAACCGGACTTTATTTTTACGTGAAAGAAATTTTCGACTACAATTTTTAGAAGAAGAAACAAAAATTCTTAAACATTTTTTATTTATGTAGGTATTTATTTTTTTGAATTACAGTCGAACCTCACTTTTAAATACTCTTGGGTCTGAAAGTGTATACCTTATAACGAGATGTCTCTTAAATAGAGGGTATCACTTAGGCAGCTCTCCCACCCAGGCCAATTGATTTTTAAATAATGTCTCTTAAATAGAGGGGTATCTAGGATTGGGTGCGTCTTATAGAGGGCGGTACGACAATTGCGGATACGCACGTGCGGATGCGACGATTGCGGATATAAAATTTTTAAAAAGTTTAAGATTTTTTAAAGTTTTAAGTGCCACATTAGTCTAAAAATGATTCGGAAACCGTCAGAAGTCGGAAACTGACAGCCGGGACTAAAAAACAGAAGATCATTTCAATCATTTTTAAAATTAAAAAAAAAAATTTTAATCCGCAATTGTCATCCGCAATTGTCGTAACACCTTATAGAGAGTATCTTATAACAAGGTGTTATCTTATATAGAGGGTCTTGCTACGAAATTTTTAAATAACATCTCTTAAATAGAGGTATTCTAATATCGGGCGTATTTAAAAATGAGGTTCGACTGTATACCTACATAAAAGATATTTTTCTTACAATCTTTTTTTCTAGATCAATCTGTTTTGCTCTAATTTCATTGTTGACAATTGCTCTTCTAATCCCTCTATTATTTAATTACATCCAAAATTTAAATATTTATTTAAAAGAAAAATCTGACAAATGTTTTTATAAGATAACGCAACTTTATAATAATTTAAGTTTTGTTGTTGGTGAATTTAATTGTGGAGGAGGATTTGAAGAAAGACGTTCTGTTAGGCATGTTAATGCTATGACTAAAATAAGATTGAAACAAGCGATTAAAAGGAGAAGTAAAAATTAAAATAATTTAATCAGATCTCATTATAAAATAAACCCTTGGGAGTGAAAAAATGACCTTATAACAAGGTGTATCTTAAATAGAGGGCATCGTTTTGGAGCTTCCCCAGCCCAATGCCCATCAAAAATTTTAAAAAATAAATGGTATAATTTCGGAATACTGAACAGAAAGCAAATGGGTCAAGTTATATGTCATTCGAAAGAGCTCGCCGAGTTGAGTCGAATGGTGAAAAAATTTTTGTGCGGACTCATACGGGGGCTGAGATATAGGCCCCCGAAAATCGAAAAACCATAGGGGGGACCAAGCACTTTTTTGGGGTCAAAAATTCAAATATGCAAATGATAGCTCATTCGAAAGAGCTCCTCGAGCTGAGTCGAATGACACCAAAATCAACAAAATCCGACTTGATTGGACAAAGTTATGATCTTTTATTTTAGCTCCTTACCTATGGCATCTATGGAGATTTTTGCTGCTACGGAGGCCCCAAATAAGTCCAGAGCAAGGGAGATAGGAATAGGTTTATGTTACGAGCCCAGACCCATCGCCCGTAGACTCCCCGCGAGGCGCGTGCCGCAAAACCCCGCGCGAAGCGCGGGGTTTTGCACAAGCGCCTCGCCGACGCCCCATAGGTTTAGGTTTTAGTTTTTCTATCGTAACTTTGTCCAAACTTGTACAATCACGATGATTTTGGTGTCATTCGACTCAGCTCGTCGAGCCCTTTCGAATGAGGTATAATTTACATATTCGAATTTTTTTGACCCCAAAATTTTCCAAATTTCGGGGGTCTGTAACTCGGCCATATGAAGTCGGATTTTGTTGATTTTGGCGTCATTCGACTCAGCTCGACGAGCTCTTTCGAATGAGCTATCATTTGCATATTCGAATTTTTCACCCCCAAAAACAGCTTGGTCCCCCCTATGGTTTTTCGATTTTCGGGGACCTGTATCTCAGCCCCTATATGAGTCCGCACGAAAATTTTTTCACCGTTCGACTCAACTCGACGAGCTCTTTCGAATGACATATGGTTTGACCCATTTGCGTTCTGTTCAGTATTCCGAAATTTTTCCAAATAAATAGAGGCAGTCGATCCTCATACTCCCAGGTGGCCTAAAAAGATGGTCTCTTATAGCGGGTTGTGTCTTAAATCGTAGGTATTCCTTCGGCACATCCCCAGCCCGATGTCCATCCAAACTTAAAAAAACGTCTCTTAAATAGAGGTTATTTAATATTGGGTGTAGCTTATAGAGAGTTCTGTTTATATATACTAATACCGAGTAAAAAATATTTTTAAAGGAAAAACTCGTTACTTTCGAAGAAAATTAGCAGAAGTTTCAGCCTTATTAAATTCTTTTGAATTAACAAATGATGAACAGGGAGGATTAAACGGTGCCACAAACAGTGGATTATATAAAGAAATGTCAACAGAAAATATGACAAATTCTGATGAGTCTTTTGAAGTAGATTTTAATTGAACCTCACAAATAATATTAGACACTCAACATCAGGTAACCTCTATTTAGGAGACATTTTTTAAAGTTTGGTTGACCACTAAACGGGAGGAGCTGTCCGCCTAAAAAGCTATTTTATTGGGTTGTACATATTATGAAGAGGGTGTCCTATAATGAAGTGTCTTAAATAGAGAGTACCTCCCTCTATAAGAAACCTCCAACACTGGATATACCTCATTTTAGGACATTTTAAAGGCCACTGGCTATCTAAGCGGTACCCTCTATTTAAGGCACCCTTCATTATAAGATAAAAATTTTCTATCCCTCATGAGGTGTCTAAGAGTGAGGGTTAATTACTTAATAATTTTTATTAGGAGGAAGAGATAACGAATTCATCTTTTGTAATAAATCAACAGAGAAAACTACACAAGTTATTCATAAAGTATCAATTAAATTGAGAAAAATATTTTTTAAGAAATCCAAATAAATGTCAATCATGTTCATGTTCAATAGGAAAGCCTGGACCTCCCGGTTTAGACGGAATTGACGGAAAACCAGGAAAAGATGGGCAGCCAGGCCGAAATGGATTTAATGGGGAAGATTCCCCAACAATTTTAGATTTTTGTTTTCAATGTTCTCCAGGCTTAATTGGACGTTTGGGTCCACAAGGGTTCAAGAAACAAAAATTTCCTTTGAAAAAAAATTTTTTTTCAAGCCCAAAAGGAAGTAAAGGAAGACCAGGAAAGAGGGGAGATGATGGAATACCTGGAATAAAAGGAAAGACAGGCAAAGAAGGTCCTGTGGGTCCGAAAGGAGATATGGGGCAAAAAGGAAAGGAAGGCAGAATTTTAGGTTAATTTTCTATTGGAAACTAATTAAAAAAAAATAATTTTTTTGAGAATTACGAGGACCTCCAGGAGTGAAAGGAATGCCTGGTTAATTTAAAATTATTTAAAAAATTTGAATTTAAATTAAAGGAAAATGTGGACCTCCCGGTCCTGTAGGTGATCCAGGAAATAGAGGACGTAATGGAGTTGCTGGAAAAGTTGGAATTGATGGAAAACAGGGAAATCAAGTAAAGAAAATTTTTTTAAGAGAAATTTTTTTTGTAAAAATTTTAGGGAATTCCAGGAGGATGTGGACATTGTCCTAAACCTATTATAGTAACGAATAAGTTTATTGATAATTAATATAATTTAATTTTTGTTAATAAACTCCTTAATTTTAAAGGAAGATTTAATAGGCTAAAAATTTAAAAAGTGTTTAAGATAAGATAGGAAAACTAAAAGTTAACAAGAGCATTTAAAAAGGATGCAAGGGCTGATCGGAAATAATGAAGGTGCCTGTAATAGAAACTATCGGAAATCGGAAATAACTCAAAAGTCGGAACTCTCGTAAATTTTCGGAAATCAGAATTTCAACCGAGCTCTGGTCAGAAGGTCGCAGGCTTTGGACCTTGGAACTTATATATTAGTAGTGTGTCGATTCCTGCCCGGTTTTATTTTTTAAATAAACTCTCTTTTGCTTGGATTTTAACTCAAATTCTTGCAAGAAAAACTTTTACTCTCAATAAAATCTATCAAGCTTTATAAAATAACTGAGGTAATTTAAGTAATAATAACCGGGAGTATTTTTCTTAATTTTTTTAGAGATTGGACTTTAAGTGGTAAATTGACAATATTAATCAGACCTGTCCATGGACACGGATATTGCTATCCGTACCCGGATATATCCGAGAGGTCAATCAAGGGCGTATCCAGGGGGGCTAGAGTGGAACGCCAAAATTCTGGCGCACACCCAATGTTAGCCCCCCCCCCCAAACCGACCCCTGGATTCGCCCTTGAGGTCAATATCCATCCGTTTAATTTTTGAGGCATATTCATCCGCGGGCATCTGAATAATATCCGTATCCATGGACAGGTCTGATATTAATCACAATAATTTGATTGAGATTTTGTTTCGGTTGAGATTTTGTCTCAGTCCAATCCCTCTATATTTAATTTTATTAAACAAAAATATTTTTGAAAATCTCCGAAATTATTTAAAAAAAATAAAATTTTCCCTACTGGCACTTTTGAATTTTCACTTACAAAAAATTCTCTCTTTTCAATCTATATCAAAAAGTAATTGTTCAGAAACTCTATCAAAATTGGCAAATTTAAATAAACGCATAATTTGATAAGATTCTAATGTTGCTGAGGCTAATAAAAAATTTTTTTGAAATTTTAATTCTCCTTACCTGCAGAAACAATTCCAGAAATTAATAAAATAACATTTCCAAAACGTTCAGCTGCCGATTTATGCCCAATAGAACGATAAAATTGAAAGAGGGCAGCAATTACTTTATTTTTCCATTCTAAAGCAATTTTTCTAGATTCGTCACTGATAAATGAAGTTGCTTCTTCTAAAATAGAATTTTTTTTAAATTATTTAAGTCGTGTCTGGTGATTTTGCAAGTATCAAGGTTTATCGGTGTCGTTTCCTGTCATCGTTTCCCCCTTTCGGTGTCGTTTCCCCCTAGTTCAAATTTTTCAGTTAAACTAGTGAAGGCTATTTGAAGAGTCGAGTGATACTATGTAGTTTAAGAAAAAAGGCCGTGGAAAAAAGTTTTGACCGTTTTGAGTTGCTTTTTAAAAAAAAATGCGGCTCTGGACCTTTTTTAAATTAAGAGTGTGTCGAACAGATTCTAAAAGGCGAAAGACAAAACACCAAAAAGGCGAAATTAGACTGGTACGTCCCTGTTATATATATAGGAAACCCGAAAAGGTATTGGACATGGAAGAGACCTCGTGGAAGAGACCTCTCTCTTCAGTCCCTAAAAGAATCCTGAGGGCACGTTTTTCGGGGAGCGTTAGAGGATGACTGTCATAAATTGTGAGTGTTATTCTGTCAGCCATCCTCCAACGCTCCTCGAAAAACGTGCCCTCAGGATTCGGGGTCAAACTCTATTTAAATTTAAAATCCCTTTTATTCAAAAACCCCCCAACCTTTTTGTGTATGATTTCCACAGCTAAAAAGCAAAAGTATTTTTAACGTAACCAATTCTTCAGGTGTTAATTGTAATCTTCTTAAAGGAATAACTAAACCATCAATACATCTATCAGTCATTTGTTTATATAATTTTTCTTGTCTCCATTTTCTATCTTCTGTTACTAATGTCTTTAAAAATTTCTTATTAAAATTCAAAAAAAAATTAAAAAAAAAACCTTGCTTTCATCAGGCAAAACATTAACACTTCTAGGCATACAAGTACCATTAGAAATTAGCCAAACATCATCTAGTCCAATTTGTGCAGTAAAATATCCATATTCTATTACATTACAAGGCATAGCAAATCTAGAAAAAAAATTTTTTTGAATTTTAAAAATATTTATTTCCATTCAATTTTGGCTCTGTAGGAAAAAATCCACAAAAAATTGGCAATAGGAAGGGGACCAAGCTTTACACGATAAACCAAAAAATATAATCAATAACACAGTTCGGATGGGTTTCTGAGTTTTTTTTAATTATTTTTGTAAATTAAATTCATAGTATTCAAGTATCCAAAAAAATCAAAAAAATTTTTGAAAGGGAAAAATGAGAAAGATTTTGGGGTTCAGACGGTCTAGAAACCATCATTACTTATTTGTTTTAGTCGTAGGTAAAAAATTTCATTTTTCGATCACACTTATTTGTCGTTTTCCCATTTGAATGAATGAGGGGCTTGATAATATTATTTATTAAAAAACAAACATTTAAAAATAAAAAAAATATCATTAGGAAACCTTTTAAGTAAAAGCATTTTGTCAGGTAAATGAAGTGATGAAAATGCTGGGATTGTCTAAAAAATTAATTTTTCAAAAAATTTTCAAAAAAATTCCCAACCTGTACCCATTCAAGCATTGAAAACATTTCAATTTGAGTAACATTACACAAATCAGAACACAAAACAATTTTCATTAAAGTATCGTGTTGTTGAACTACTCGAGAACCTTTACTTGCAACATCTGCCAATCTTTTTGCTTCCGTTCTAGCTCTAATTAATTCAAATTTTCTTGCCCGAATGGCTTTATCTGTAGCTGCTAATGAAGATATTAGGTCCAAAAGATTGTTATTTCCATCAGAGATTGAAGAATATAAAATGTCGGTTTGGGGAGTTAATAAATGATTTGTTGGAGATGGAGTTACCTACAAAAAATATTTAGGGGACACGACCAAAACGGCGCGCGGCCATAACGGCGCAATATCTTGCTTCAAGATTTAGTAATCTTATCAAATTTAGTATCAAACGGGTCCTCTCATCAAGCCAAAGAGATTGGTACCAAAATGGTTAAGGGCCAGACATTTTCCAGCAAGTTCTGGCTTTGCGCCGTTATGGCCGTTCTGGGCTGTACCAAATATTTAGTTGAAAATTACTTCATTCCTTATTGTAAGATACACATTTGGGGATCAGTTATGGGTCGAAAACGACAAGATCTAAAATTGTCTTCGAATCTAGTTTCAAGCTGAAAAGATATAGGTTTTGAGTCTCGAATAATCCAGTCCATCCCTGTTGGGGCAGATAAGGTTCTATCTTATCTTATAATGAATGGCATAGTAGATAGGCCTCCTATGGAAATATTCCAGCACCCAGTAAGCAACAAAGCCTAAGGAAAAATAATTTAAATTTTGAGGTATCTAGTATTGGTTGTACCATTATGAAAAAAATTTAATAAAAAAATTTACTTCGCTCCCAGAAGTTGAAGGAATTAAAGAGACACAATTATTTTGATAAAATTGTATTTGTGTTGGTCTTTTCTTTCGTCTTCCAATTAAATCCCTTCGAGGTTGTAATGCTTCTCTAGACATTCCCATATCCAGACATCTAAAAAAAATTTATTTTTTTTTAATTTAAAATAAAAAACCTTCGAAAACGACAAGATCTACAAAGTCGTCTAGCACACACTTCTTGTTCACAAATATTCGGCTTTTTGCAAATTGTATCCTGACCATGCATTACAGCTCTATAAAAAAATGAAAAAAATTTTGGTAGATAGAGAGAAAAGCAAAGTCAAAAATACATTAAGGTCAGGGCCAAAAAACAGCCGAAAACTGGCAATAGGTTATCAACCCGCTCTACACGCTGATGCAAAAAAAAATTCAAAATTTATGGTTATAGTTCAAGATGTCTCCTTGTTAGAAGGGGTCAAGACGCTTAACTTGACGCTTAGTGCTAGAGTTTTACGAGTCCAGGTGCCCTACCGGTAGAGCTAATCATTATAAAAATTAAGAATTACTTCACCCTACTGGGAGAGCTACTGGGAGATTTTCTTTTATAAATCTCTTAAGCCTTCCACTTTCTTAGAAAATTATCACTAAAATTCTTCAAGTCACCTAATATCACCTAATAAAATAATTTTTTTCTCCTAAAATAAACAAACCTTCTAAAAAATGTTTTGCATCCAAGACAGCTTAAACAACCTAAAAATAAAATTTAAAAAAATTATTTAAAAATTAAAAACCATAGTGTTTTCCAAAAGAAAGTTCACCACAAATCAAACAGAGCCCTACCGCGTCTGAAAAAAATTTTTTTAAATAATTTCTTAAAAAAATTTCTCATACCTTTGTGTGCCATAAATACAGCCAAAACGATGCAGAGAATTAAATTAAAAAAAATTTTTTTTAATTAAGATTTCCCCTATAAGATAAAATTTAGTAAATTGTTAAGTTTAATGAATAGACTTTTTTGTAAAAAAAAAATAAAAAATTAATTTATTAAAAATAAATTAACAAATTAATTAACAAATTAATTTACTTTCCTTTCATTTATAACATGAAAAATATCATTGTCAAACATGAAAAGAAATAATGTAAAAACGAAGAGAATAAACCCGATAAACTATCGATTTCTTTTTTGGTTCCTTATCAGAGAGACAATTATGAATGATGTCAACAAAATTATTAAAAAAATTTTTTCGTAAAATAATTTCAGGTTTATAACACATTCTGAATACACTCCGTTCCAAAAGTATATAGCCACTCAATTTTTTTTCTAAATCTCCAGATAATTAAATTTTTAAATGGGTTATGATTAATTAGAAATATTTTTTAGACCCATTTTAAGGAACTGATAATGTTATTTTATGCGTTATGAAACTATACGTATAGAAATTAGGGGATATTTGACTTTACCCGAAATTAATGCGTTCCAAAAGTATATAGCCACCTTTGATTTATAGGTTTTTAATGGTAGGAAAAATCCACAAAAATTTTTGTAAACATATCTATCAATATAGATACGAAACACAAAAGAAATGAAGTTCTGATGTACTTCCATCATCGAGATCTTGAAACCCGAAAATCAACGGTAAACCGAGGTAGACTTCTTTAAAAAATATTTTCGACCCCTTAGAGGTGAAATAAAAATTTTATTTTGAGCTTATTTGAAAGCCCTTAAAATTTGCTACAAGATAGCATTAATTTTATTTGCCGAAAAAAATTTAACTGTAAGACCTAATGGCATATACTTTCAGGTCATATAAATCACTCAAACGGACCCCAAAAAAGTGATAAAAATGTAACTTATAAACTAAACTCATTATTTCACAAGGATGAATTCTTTCTAGATTATATGATGAAAACTATCTTGTAGCAAATTTCAAGGGCTTTCAAATAAGCCCAAAATAAAATTTTTATTTCACCTCTAAGGGGTCGAAAATATTTTTTAAAGAAGTCTACCTCGGTTTACCGTTGATTTTCGGGTTTCAAGATCTCGATGATGGAAGTACATCAGAACTTCATTTCTTTTGTGTTTCGTATCTATATTGATAGATATGTTTACAAAAATTTTTGTGGATTTTTCCTACCATTAAAAACCTATAAATCAAAGGTGGCTATATACTTTTGGAACGCATTAATTTCGGGTAAAGTCAAATATCCCCTAATTTCTATACGTATAGTTTCATAACGCATAAAATAACATTATCAGTTCCTTAAAATGGGTCTAAAAAATATTTCTAATTAATCATAACCCATTTAAAAATTTAATTATCTGGAGATTTAGAAAAAAATTGAGTGGCTATATACTTTTGGAACGGAGTGTAGGGTTGTTGTGGTTTTCGAGTCGGGCCGATGTTCGAGTCATTTTTATCGAGCCTTCCAGGCCGAGTATTTTTTGGGCCAAAATTCAATGCCCGACACATCTTTCAGACCAGGCCGGAACGAGCCCCCAACCCTAATTCTTAATCAAGACGTAATTACCCCAAGCAAAAAAATTGGGCAGAAGAAATCCGCAATTAATTTAAAAAATCCGCAATTAAAAATGCGGACAGTCCGCAAAAAAATTTTTTGAATTAATTTTTAAAAATTCTGGAAAAAAAATATTTTTTTAGTAATAAATACTAATTATTTAAGAAAAAATATTTTTTTAATAAATTAAATTTATAATATACTTTTTTGTAAAACAAAAAAATTAAAGCTCGAATTTTGATGTTTTTTAAAACCCATAATTTATTTAAAATCCTCCTCCTCTCTCTCCCTTCCTTCATTTATTCTTCCAAAAATATTTGTATTTTATTCTTTTTATCAATCTTCTTTTCTCTCATTTTCTCAATAAATTTAATATTGGCAATACATTCTTGTTGATCCATTTGTTTAGTTAAGGTTGAAAAAGAATTGGTTAAGGCACTGTACATGTCAACCTATAAAAAATAATTTTTTAATTAAAAAAATACTCTCAGACCTCTCGCCACATATTAAATAAGAGGGATGGGACTTGAGGATTGATAAAGAGATTCGAAAGTGCTATTTAAAAAAATCTCCCATCTTGCTTAAAAATTGAAATTTTTGACCAACCAAATTTTAACAAATCGCATTATAAATTGATGGCGAAAAACGCGAGATTTTTTTTAACAAAAACCCTGGGTGTTTTGGTCTAATTGCTTGCTTAAAAACACCTCAATTAAAGATACACCTCAATTAAAATTTGGCTGACCAACGAGATAACCCTCTCTATATCTCATAAAGGCAGTACATTATATTTGTCAATACCACAAAAAAGTCGAAAACTCACAATATTTCTCATATTAATCGGTTCAATATTAAAATAATCGTCTTGAATATTTTGCCAAGTTCTTCCCCTATCCCCTCCTGGACGCATTTCATTTAATTCATCTATTTGATCTTCACGTTCCATAGAAAATAGAGAAGCTCCAAGTTGAGGTAAATAACAATTTGAATATTTCACAATAACTCCCCATTCTTGATTACCACATTGGCCACATAACCATTTGGCACATTTTGTGAATAAATGGTCTTTCTAGAAAATATATGAGAGAGGAATTTAGGGAATTATTAGTAGGGTTGTTCCCTGATGGGGGGAGGGGGCCACGGAGATAACTTCTCGGGGAGGCAGCGCCACGGAGGAGGGGGGGGGGTCAAAAAATTAAAAAAATCTCAAATTCTCCACTTTCAGGTACGGGGAACAAACCTATTTTTTTAACCAGATTTTCAAAAACTCTAAGAAAAAAATTTTTCCTACCGTCGGCTTTTCTCGAATGTCAATTTTTGAACGTTTCCAAACAGTAGGATCACAAACCACAAAAGTAGAATAAGCAATAGAACGAACATGAGTGCTCTTACAAATCAAATTATTACAAGATCGACAGCTTAGTTTATAACTAAAAAGGTTTAGAAAAATGTTTAAAGGAGAATTAATTTTAAATCCAATTCTGTAAAGATATGGAATAATTAGAAATCGAAATTAGACGAAATCTAGCAAAAATCCTCAAAAATCGAAATTTCAAAGCAGATCTAGTACGTACGACTTCTCAGTCTGGTAAGAAGAGTTTGGCAGTAAAATTTTGGCAGGAATTCCCAGAATATTATTTAGTCTAAATAATAAAATGAGATTTACCGTCTATCATTAAGTCTTAAACGTTTCATTTCCGAAACTTTAAGTTTTCTTTCCTCGATTTTTCGGCGCTCTTCCCGTTTTGCATTAATTTGAATTTTAAGACTTGTTTCACTAGTTTCTTGTAAATCCATTAAACAATGCATCATCTGTTAATAATTTAAATTAGTTACTGATATAATTAAAAATTGCGGAGGGAATGAACCCGAATCCTTGTAAAACAAGAATATCGACTGGCGCAAGGAGAGGGAGCAGTACCAGCAGTACCTCTGAGCAGTACCCTCCCCTGATTTAATTAATATACTACTCAATCTACGTTTTTTCAACCCAATTATCTTATAACGAGATTCAAAACTATATAGTTAAAAAACAGACCATAGCCTCCTTTTGCATATTCAAATATTCAGCTTGTTCAACCCCCGTATCTAAAGCTAACAAAATAGATACACTATTTTTCTGTCTAGCACGTCCTCTTCTTTGAATCATTGAACGTTCAGAACCAACATTATTATATTTTACAATTAAATTACAAGCAGTAATATTTACACCTTCTTCAGCAACTGATGTTACTACCAAAACTTTTACTTTTCCAGTATCAAAATCTCTAATCATTTGTTGTTGTTCTTGTGTAGATTGTCCACCGGCAGTTAAAGTTTGATTAGAACTGACCATATAACCAACATTCTATTAAAAAAAATTTTTTTTAATAAAAATATTAGGGTGGTAAGTAGGTATGAGGTTTTTAGAGTGATATTTAGAGACTTTTACTTTTCCAGTATCAAAATCTCTAATCATTTGTTGTTGTTTTTGTGTAGATTGTCCACCGGCTTTTTACAATCTACAATCTTATGTAGATTGTCCACAAACTTTCCTATTCCAGGTAGGAAAGTTTGGGGTCGTTTGTCAGGTTAAAACTTTTGGGATCGAGATTTAGCTAAGAAGGTCGGGGTTAAACGAGATCGGGGTCCAACGGAATCGAACCGAATAGTCGAGGATTTTTATGTTAGTTCTTCTTTCACAACTTTCTCTACTACATATATTTACAACCCATTCAATATTTGAAAAAATATTTTTCTTCTCTATAAATAAGAAGTAAAACCCATTTTTTTAGAGGCGAATCAAAAATCCGCCGTTTCCTGTTGGGGGTTGTAAAAGATTTCCTTATCATTACATCTTGGACCATAAATTTGGGGCATGTCCCCTCGATGTGGCTCTTAATGGTCTCCCCAAACGGGTGTATTCGGTTGGAGGTTTTTGTTTCGCTCAAATTTTTTTTGAAAAAATTTCTCGAAAGAAATTCAACAATTCTTGAAAATTTCTATAGGTCTAGACGTTTAAAAAAATTAAAAAAAATTTCTCACCTCCTTATTGTAAAAAATTGGCAGTTCAGGCACTTTTTTAAGATGATCAGCAAGTTTAGAAGCACAATTTCTAGTAGCAACAAAAATTAAACAACGAGAATCTCGATCAGATTTAAATTGTTCTCGAAGAATCTTTATTTTAAATTATTTAAAAAAAATTTTTTTTAACTAACAGAATATAATTCTTTAAGAATTTCCTTCTTTTCAAGTTGCTCAGTTTTAACACACTCGTACAATTTTGAGTATACTTCTGAAAAAAAATTCTTTGTAAAAAATTAAAAAGAATAAAATTTACCTAAAAAATAACCAAGTAATCTTTGATTAATTAAATCAATTGGGCTAGAACTATCACCAGTGTTCTTCTTATAATCGTTCATTTTTTCTTGTAAATAGGAAAAAGCATAAGATCTTGGTAATAAATCGTTAATTAAAATGGCGTGGAAATAATGCTGAAAATTAAAAGTAAAAAATTTTAAACATTTTGAAAGAATTCATATTTCCGAAAAAATTTTTATAGAGAAGGGATCGCGCCGACAGAAAATCAAATTCCCGATTTTCGTGAATTTACGAGCCAAAAAACGATTTTCGAAAATCAAGAATCAGGTTGGGCGCGATACCTGGTATAGACTTGCCAAAAAATTCGATTTCAGTCGATTTTTATTTCGACGTTAAATAAAAACTTGGTAAAATAAATTGTCTGACAATCAAATATTTAATAATAAAATCTGACGTCAAATTAGAAATTCGACTAAAATTCGATGCTGGCACAAATAAAATTCCTTAAAACTCACAGATAAATGGTCAATCGATCTAACCAATAAAAACCGCATTTCAGAATCCTGAACTCGTTGAGCACATTTTTTAAGATTACCCACAATTGTTTGATAACGAGAAATGTTTGAATGAAAGGGAAATTCAATTTCCTCCTAAAAATTTTAAAAGAAATTTTTAAAAAATTATTTTTAAAAATTACTTTTCTCAATTTACACAGTTCAGCCAATTTTTGCAAAGGTTGCTTCATTTCATTTTCAATTTTATACATTACACCTTCTACACAATCAAGGAAAGGATCCTCAGCTGGACGTTTGACACGTGTAACTTCTTAAAAAAATTTTAAATTTTTCGATTAAAAATACTTTTCCTCCTTACTGTCAACAGGAGGCATAACATGACTTTTCAAATTATCTAATTGATGTCTAACAGTAGTTATAGTTTCTGAATGTAAATTGGAGCACAAATTAAGCATATGTTCACAACAAGCTTTAATATCCAAACTTGTATCTCCTACACCCATAGAAGCTGTTAAGCCAACAATTTGTGGTTTTTCTAGTAAATTGCTTTTTTCGAGCATTTCCATAAGTACTAGAAAAAAATAAAGAATGAATAAATAAAATTTCCGAAAATAGAACATTTCGGAAAGAAATATTAAATTTCAAAATGATTAGGGTTGCCAGCTCGCTCGACCCGAGACTTAAAGATAGAGCGAGTCGAGACTGTCTAGCTCTAAAAAATACGTGCATGACTCGAATCGAAAAATCCCCCAAACTCGAAAAACTCGGAAACAACTCGCTCAGAAAATCCTAAGCTTTAAAAAATGAACAGAACGTCAACCCTAATCGAAAACGGCAACCCTACTGATGACATAAAACATCTTCCAGCAAATATAATCACTTTCCGAAAAATACAAAAAAATATTTTTAAAAAATACATAAAATACCAACTTTTATATGGATGCAGTTTTGTCTATAAAAATAATTAAATATTTTTAATTTTATTTAAAAAAAAAGTTTACCGCATGGTGACACTCATCAAATATAATTAAAGTAAAATCAGCAAAATAAACACGTTCAGAACGCAAAATACTTTCTAACATATTTCTAAAAAATTTCAAAAAAAATTTAATTAATTAAAAAAGAAACATTAATATTTGTGGTGTCATAACCAAAATGTCTGCAGACAATAAACGATAAGCCCGGCCTTCCAAAATATTTTCACAACCACTAAAACCATCTACCCAATAAGCAATATTTGGACGATAATTGTCTCTATATTCTGTGAGAAATTGAACAAAATGTAGAGATTGTTGATCAACTAAAGGAACTGTTGGTACAAGCATTACACACTTTAAAAAAAATAAAAATTAGTAGAAAGAAGTGTTTGGAAATTTAAAATTTGCTCGTATTTGTGTAGAGATCGAGCTGGACCTGGACCAAGGCCTGGGTTTTTCGTGTATTCAGAGTCCAGTTCCAGGCATTTTTTGACCTTACTAGGTTTTTCCTGGGCCTGAGGTTTTCCTGGACTACAGGCCCAGGATTCAGCCCAGGTCAATAAATCAAACTCCAGAGTTTAGGAACAGGTCCAGGCTTTTCAAAAATCTCGATCTCTAGTAGACAGGTACGAGTACGATTTTTTGGCTTTCTAGAAGGAAGCCAAAAAAGCAAAAAAAAATTTCTAAACTTCTTACTCTCCCAACTTTTCCAGCACGATGACGATTAGTTAAATGATTTTTAATAATATCAACAGCTACCAAAGTTTTTCCACTTCCAGTTGGTGCACAAATAATTGTATTTCGACCTCTGAAAGACAAGAATTAAAAAAAAACAAAAAAAATTTTATTTAAAGTCTTTTTAATTTTAAAACGAGAGGGAACAACAAAGGGTAGAACAGGGACGTGTCAGTTTTTAATATTTTGAAAATTAAAAGCTTCCTCTTTTAATTTTTCTAAATCAATTTTTCAAATAAGCTAATAATTCAAAAAATCTAATTATATTTTTTTTTAATCACAGGTACAAATAATTGTACTCTTACTCGAAAATATTCCAAAATAAAAACCTCCTTTATTTCGAAGGAATAATAAATCATCAAAATTTTCCGAAATTAAAAATTAAAAATAAATTTAAAATTAACTTGTTAGCATGCAAAACCAACTCATTTTGATAAGGTCGTAAATCATAAGTTTCAGGTTCATATTCCAACACATTAGCTTTAAAAAAATATTTAAAAATAATTAAAGAAAAAACAAAACTGCAAGTTTTATATTTTAAATAATCTTTTTGGTCTCTAGGAGTAGTTGGCTCTTCTTCATTATTAACCAAATCAGCAAAAAGTTCAGCAGAATTTGGAAGACCAGCATCAACAATTAATTTGTTCGCCTTCCATTTATCTAAAATAAATAATTAATTAAAAATTAAAAACAAACAAACTTAGATCATCCAAATAATCTGGATCAATAAGTCTAGGAAAGAAACGGCAATCTCCATGACTTAAAAGAGCTTCAAAAAATTCATAATACCAATCCTAAAATATTTTTATTTCTTAAGAAAATTATGGGATTATTGAAGAGTGGGCAGCATTTCAGGGGATTTTTTTTTGCAAAAATACTTTCAGAAAAAAATTTTTTTTAGAATTTTGCAGAATGGTAATATTCAGTTACCTTGTCTATTTTCCCCCCTCTTTACTCTATTTTTTCTGAAATCTATAATGGAAAAAATGTCAGGAAAAATTAGAGAAAAAATTCTCAGACTTTAAACTGATCTAAAATTTCTTTCAAACAAATTTGATTATCCTTACTTCCTTCGGGAAAAATCCTTCCTTCCTCTCTTCAGGAAGAAAAATGAGAGGAATGAGGATTTATAAATTTAAAATCAATCTCCTTCTTGAAGGAAGGAAGTCAAATAAAATTGCACATAAAAATCCCGCTCCCTCTTCACTAATCCCAAAATTTTAAAAACTTACTCCAAAATTTTTTGTAGAATCGGCCACATCTGTACAATGAACTAATCCACGGATAAATAAACAAGCTGCCGCTTCAATCTCTAAAAATTTTAAAATAAAAAATTTAAAACTACAAAAAAACCTCTTTTAGTTGGATCATTTAAAGAATAAATTCTTTCAACTCTTTCCAATAAATGATCATATTCATGTATATTTTTACTTGAAAACCAACGAAAAATATGCTTAGGTTCAAGAACACAACGAATACGATCCACTTTAAAACGATCATTGGGAGAAAATAAACGGATATAATAATCAATAGTTGCAAGACCATTCAAATGTAATTCGGCATAAGCCACTGGATCAGCTGGAAAAAAGCGTATTAATGTGTAGAAAAGGAAGGTAATGTGTCCTCATTTCACTTACATCTATTTTTGTTTTTTACCGAATATTTTTGGATCAGATAATATCGCCTGAATTTGAGATTTACATCTGGGCCTGGGGTGAACCGTTAGGTGTACCATTTTAGGCTTTTCTTACTTATTGTTAGAAATTTTTCAGACAAAAAAAAGGACGAAAAAGTGCAAAGCTTTGACGTCAGCTTGGAAGTTCCCTTGTAATACAGCATGGTATCAGACAACTGAAACCGCTAGTAAGAGGAACTCAATGTTAAAACGCAAAATACGCGACAAAAAATCAAAAATAAATTTAATTTAAGTAAAAAGAGGGAAGCAGTTAACAAAAATGAACTTTTAAAAAATAACTAATTTACCATTTTTACAACGAGCAATAATTGCCAAAAGAATAGGTAAAGAATCAGGAATATTTGAACTTGAAATAATTTTGAAAAGATTTGCCTTTGTCGCTTTCAAAGCATCTCGTTCTGCTTCTGTAGCTTCTTTACCCAAAACTAACGCCCTTTCCAAAGCAATTTTATATAAATTATTTAATTCGTCAACTTTGTGATCTATAAAAAAATAATTAATTTTTAAAAATTGGTATGCGTTCTTACCTAACATGTCCGCAATTTTTTTAAATTTGCGGACAATTAAAAAAATTTGCGGACAAAAATTCTTTCCTGCATTCTTTCTCCTTTAATAAATATTTAAAAAGAAAAAAACAAAAAAATTTGCGGACAACATTTGCGGACATGTTAGAAGAAAAATCCATAGCACCAAAAAATTTTAAAAATTAAAAAAATTTACTTGCAAAATGTTTAACCAATTCATCAAAATCATTCCCAACATTTTCAACAAATTCAAAAACAAAAAGTCGAATATGTGATTCTACTGTTATTCCTTTTCGACGTAATTCGTTTATCCAACGATTTAATTTTGCTGTTTCTTCTTCATTTGGTAAAAGTCCATTTATTTCAGGAAATTTTGCTTTTAAAGAAAAAAAATTATTTTAAAAAATATTTAAAAATACCTTTAATTCGCATTGATTAACAAAAAATATTTTATTTTAAATTAAAGAATTTACTACACTTTTAACCCCTAAAATTAAAATTTCAATTAAATTTTTATAAAAAAACTGCTCCCGCAATCCCGCATTTTTTTGATTTGCGGGAGTGCGGAATTATTCCCACGGGATCCCGTCCCGCAAACGTTTTTAAAAGTTACCCCCGCCTGCGGGATCCCGCAAAAAATTTTGTATTTTGGGCGGGGTTTTGGAAAATTAGGAATTTTGGCCCCTTGGCCTCTAAACTTCAAAAGATTTTCGGTAGCGGCACAAAAAAAATATTAAAAAATATTAAAATAAAATACATATAATATTTAGAAATAAAATAAATGAAAATAAAATATATTTATTAAATTTTCTGGGGAAAAAGAAAAGGACAAAAAATTATTATTTAAATTATTTCTTCAAATATTTACAGAAGCTGCCCGTTCATTCTTTAAATTTTTACTAAAATCATTATAATTAATTGGTCCCCAAGACGGAAGAGGTTCAAATATATGTGAAACCGCATGTATTTTTGCAAATGCCATCAAATAATGAATTAAAGGAACAAGTACAGTTCTTTAAAAGAACTGTTTAAAAAATTATTGTGGAATTTATGAAGAATGGGAAGGACAAGCAGAAACTTTGTTGGTGAGTCAAACCCCCTAACCGAGAGCTATATAAATTTTGTTTGGGATTTGTAGGAGACAATTTATTAAATTGTCTCCACTTGATAAAACGAATTGTGGTAATTTGAACGTTATCCCTTTTTATTTTCGCCCAACTCTATGATTAAAAATAAAATGAATTAAAGGAACAAGTGTTAGAACCTCAGCGTGTTAGGACCTATGGTCCGGTTTTGTGCAAATATGTGGGACCTATTGTAAATAGTAGTGGTACACCCCCAAGTGGTGGTACACACCCAAACGTTGGCATAGGTCCTAATTGCAAAAGTTGGTAATTTACAGCATGAATTCTGTTACACACGCATAATACCGGATCATAGGTCTTGACACGTAGATACTTTATTCATAAAATAGATCTGGGGCTAGAATAAAAAGGGGTCATACAAAGTTCAAAATTACACAAATTGTCCTAACAATTTAAGAATATTTGCGAATAAAATTAATTTTTAATATTTAAGTGAAAGGAAACAGGTCCTCAAAAACCCCTCCCCCTTCCAATTCCTCACAAATGCCAATTTATTATTTATTATAATTTAAATAATTTTTACATTGCAGCAAGTATAACCACCATCCACCCATAAAATTGAAATCCACTAGGAAATGAATATTCCAAAACTTTTATTGATTTATTTTTGTAAACTTTAAATAATATAGTTACCTTTAAAAAATTATTTTTGAAAAATTATTTAAAAAAAATTAAGCTCTTACAACAATAAATGTTGGGGCAAATAAATAATACCAAATAGCAGAAAGTGTATAGAGCAAATGAGATTTGTGTTGATGGTTTTGAAGCATTGTTTGGACATTACTTTAAAAATAAAAAAAATATTTTTTGGTTTTTTAAGTAAAGTTGGGCTTCACTATAAGATACACTCAATATTAGATATCAATGATGGTACTTGCCACTAAAAAGTTTTGCGAAAGACGGAAGAGAGAGAGAGATCCATATCAGATACACCCTTCAATTTAATATACGGCTAGTTGACAATTGGGTGGATGAAGAGTAAGGTTGTCGGATACTTGAAAATCTTCGGATATTCGGAACGAACCGAAATTTTCGGATATCCGGTCTTTTTTCGGATCAGGATTCGAAAACCTTAATAAAGAGCTGATACTCCCAATTTATAAAATACAAAATTTTTCAGCCCTATATATCTTATAGTGAGCTTCAACAGTAAGAATAATTTTTTTAAATTTACGCCAAATATCGTCTAAATCCATAATGTATATTTATAGCAAATCTAAAAAATTAAAACATTAATTTTTTAATTAAGAATTTCCTTACATTTCAGAAAGACTAACCAACATAAATCCAATACTCGAAAATTCAATCCAAAGTTTACTAACAGTAATACCATTCGGCCCAATTAAACCAATCGAAGCAATAATTCCAAAAATAACAACACCACAAGTAGCAGAAAATTGAATTTTGTTATCTTCATCATGTCCCAAAAAAGCTTCTCTTTGTTTAAATTTAAGTACTAATTCTTCAAATGCAAATTTAACCATATCAAAACAGACAACCTTTTTTAAAATTAAAATAAAAAAATAATAATGCTCTCATTTTTAGAGGTACACAGAAATTGGGCATCTTCAATTTAAGATACCACTAAAGGGTACTGAGTCCTGGACCCTATAACTTATGAAGGGATGGTCACTTTTTTATGTTCTTGGTACCATTGGATAGAGCATTAAATAGGCTACAATATACCAAAAATCAAAATTCTTGAACGGCTGGTAAAGAAGTTATATGATCGATAAAGTGATGCACCCTTCTTGAGTTATAGAGCGGGGACTCAGTTGAACTGCTCCGACTACTAAAGATATTGTTTTTGTCAAATGAGAGGAACTGACTAAGAGATACCCCCGAAGATTACTTAACCAAGTTATCTCCACCCCAAATTTAAGGTAAACATCAATAAGGAGTTTTTCAGCTCCAAGGTGAATCTAAAAGTGAGATCTAATTAAAATTAAATTTTATACAGTGTGTGTAATTCCAAGAAATCCAATAGCCAAATAATGAAGAACACCAAAAATCCAACCAAATTTAGTACTCCAAATTATATGTTCTGGGAACATTGTGATGGGCTAAAAATAATATTTTAGAAGGGGCACATCAATAAAAATCAAATTTATACCGTTACATGTTCATGTGTAAACATAAACTTAATTCTATGAGGTATTTCATCTTCAGGATATATTCTATGAGCCATTGAAGCAATTGAAGAGAAATGAGTAATTCCAGATATTAAACTAAATAATCTAAAAATTAAAAAATTAATTTAAAAAAATATTTTCAAATTAATTTTACATATCAGCAGCACTCGTAATTAAAGCATTATAGAAAAAATTTTCATTAAAATCAGACAGGCTGCTAATTTTTTGTACAGAACCAGTACCCAAAGCTAAGGAAACAATTACAAAACCAACAGCTAGAAATAAAATTTTTGAATTATTTTTTCTTATTAAAGTCAAACCTCATTATTTAGATACCCCTTGAGAATTAAGGTTGCCAAAATGGCCCGACTCAGACCGAAAGATCGAGTCGGCCCTAAGATATTTGGCCCGAAAAAGACTTGTACGGTCCGCTCGATAAAAACAAGCCCGAAAACAAACCCTTATTGAGAATGAAAAGAATCATGTTTTTATAATGGGGGTATTTTAAATATGGGGTATCGCTAAATAGTAGCTCTCCTCGCCCATTGTACAACCAAGTTAAGAAAACAAATTTTAAACTGAGGTTTTGGGGTGAATCTAAAAAATGAGGTTCAACTGTGTATTTTAAAAAACCGTCTGCCCAAATTCCAAAGCTTGATAAAGGAGACAAATCAAATTTAAAAAATTCATGCCAATCTGCATCTGCTGGTGTATAATACAAACCTTTTTTAAAATTATTTTTAAATTAATAAAAAAATTTAAAAAATACTCATCAACATATTCAAAAGCATTGCAACACCAATAATTCCTTTTAAACAAACAAATGTTTTTCCCAATTTTCTGATTCCAATATAAATTAAAAATCCCGTAACTGTCCAAATAATGAGTAAAATCGCGCCTGATTTAAAAGGAAAGAACCACTCTTTTTGATGCCAGATTGGCTAAAAAATTGGAAAAAATTAAAAAAACAATCGGACCCCACTAAAAGATAACCCCAATACTAGATGACTTCCATTTAAGAGACGTTTTCTTCAATTAGTTGGGCAATGGGTGGGGAGTAAGGTTGGCGGATCCGGATGCGAAAAAGGCCGGATATCCGGAAAATTACGGTTCGGATATCCGAAGATTTCCAAGTATCCGACAACCTTAGTGGGGGAGCTGTCTAATTCCTAACAAGTGATAATCCGATTAAAATACAGCTCATTATATGACTTTTTCAAATCTCAAGGATGTATCTTATAGTAAAGTCCGACTGTATTTATTTTTAAAAAATAACCATATAAACATTTGCTGTAATAAAATCCAAATGAGGCGGTCTCCACATTCTCCATCTTTGCTTTGACGAAACATTATAAATTATATCTAGACCACGAATCCAACCATGACAATTTAATGAATTAAATTCTGCCAGTGTATGGGAAGTGTTGCTTTGAATAATTTCATAACATTGAGTATAGCTACTGGAAAAGGATAATTTTTTAAATTAAAAAAAAAAGATTCTGAATAAACCGTCTAAAGCAAAGATGACTAGAACCAGAAAATGTACAATTATTCCATAAAGGTCCTCCACTTCTAAAACCTTCACGTATTGTATATAATGCAGACAAAGTAGCTTGAGTAGAATCAGCAGCCATTGAAATTGCTTTAAACATTAATAGAGCTAACATAACTGTGCCGATTCCTGAGGGAAAATTTTTTTCCTTTTTAAATTTTTAAAATAACCAGCAAGAGACGGGCACATTTTTCTAAACAATTCGACAGGAGGAACCGAAGCAAATTGACCCAAAGCCATCTCAACGCACAATACTGGAACACCAACAAACAAATAAGCAGAAACATAGGCAAAAATGAAAGGAACTAGAAAAATAATTTTTTATTTTAATCAAGAAATATGGTAATAGTTTGGAATTCGCTCCCCTTTTTCCTTTTTATTTTTCCTAGTTTTTCCCATTTTATGGCAAATTATATATCATTCGAAAGAGCTTTTCGAGCTGAGTCGAATGACATTAAAATTAACGTAAACTGACTTAAGTGAACAAAACTGTGACCGTTTATTTTATTCCCTTGCATTGGCACAAAAAGTCTACCCAACTAGGATTTAGCTGCATAATTTTGGTACGAATCATCAGATCTAGCCAATCTTGGTATCATTCGATCAAACTCTTTCGAATGATATATAATAAATTATATATCAAACAAAAAAAGCCCAAAATGGTCAGGGAAACGATGAAAGGGGGGGGGGCGAATTTCAAACTATCACCGAAATATTTTTCTCTAACCTCCACCATGAAGTGTACATACTAAAAATAAATAAAAATTTATTTTTAAAATTTAAAAAAACTTACAATATGGAAATTTAATCATATTACTCTGAGAGAGTATATGAGAAAAGTGGATGAAATGGTGATAAACGCCTTTCTTTTCCCAAGGCACTCGAGTTCGTAAAGAACGCATAGATATTCCAGACAGCATTCTTTCACTTTCAATACTACGTGGATATTCATCCCCTTCAATGCTTGATGGGGGACTGCTGGCCTAAAATTAAATAAAGATTAAAAAATAATTTTTCTTTTAGATTTAAACCCTTTTAACGCTGACATCCTCATATTCAAAACTGCTTGTACGAGTTACTTCATTAGATGATCTCGAAACCTGTTGATAAATTAGAGTAATTAAAAGTAAAATATTAAAAAAGATTACCCCCGAAGAAGACATTTATTAAGAAAATAGACTTTAAATGATGAAAAATAATAAGCGCTTTTGCTGTTTTATAAGATTTTTATGGTTGCTAAAAACCAAATAAAAATTAAACAAAAGGATTAGTAACGTCTTATTTAGTTTGTAATCAGGGCTCCACGCAATTGCGGATTGCGAGTTGCGGATTGCGTAAATTGTGGGGGGTTTTTGCAATTGCGAGTTGCTTTTGCAATTGCAGGGGTGTGCCGAAACAGACTTTAAAAAACGAAAGGCGAAAAACGGAAGTCGAAATGGCACATCCCTGCTTTAGAACAATGTTGATTTAAAAAGTTCGGACACAGGCAATCTTAAAAAATACGCCAGAATCCTAACGGCATGATCCCTAAATCTAAATCAAGAAAAAAATACAAATTGTAATGGTATAAAAGCTTAACATTGCGACTGCGTCTTAGCGATAAGACGTCAACTGTTTATTTTTTGAAGGTTAATTTTTGTTTTTAAAATTTCTCTCTGATTTAAACACAACGCCAATTTTTCTTTTATAATTTAGAAATTCAAATTTGTTGCCCGATATCACGTTTAAGTGATTGCAACTTTCAATGGTCTTTTGTTGCTGTTCAGGCAGTTGTTGTTCAATAAATTGTTGTGAAGATAAGAATGGCCATTCAATTCCTAGGCTTACAAAAATTGAAGAGAAAAATTTATCGATGGAAGAACAATTAATGTTGGCTATAAAACGCTCATCTCTACGATCAATTGTTAATTGCTATATTAGAGGTGTCAATGCAGATGCTGTAATAGATCCAACTAATGGAGAAAATCCCCTACATCTTGCTGTTAGAGTGAGTTTTTCGGGTCTTATGAGACTACCGGGGGGTCAGAGAGGTCACAGGTTATTAGACTACCGAGGGGTCAGGGAGGTCACAGGTTCGATGCCTTCCCGGTGTCTAATTTTTTTCTCTCTCTATTAAAGACTAGAGTTGTAAACCGACCCGAACCCCGTTCCCGAACGATTTTTTCACGATTCTCCCCGACCCGAACCCCGCCCCGAAACAAATCGAAAACCTCGTACCCAGCGTACCCGCCCCCAAGCGTTCGGGGTACAACCCCAGTAAACACCAGACAATTCCTAACAATTTTTTCAAATTAAGACAAACCTTACAACAGTACAAGCAGTCCTTCTCCTTTACGCAAATGAGCAAATGTTGACTGGACGGAACAATAATGGAGATCAACCGTTACAATTAGCAGGCAGTTATTCTTCAAGAATACGCAAATGTATTCAACTTTTTATCGACATTCATTGCAAAAAGGATAAAGAAGACTCTGACGATGAAGGAGAGAATGAAGAAGAAAAGTTGCCGAATAATGATGAAAGAACCAAGCCTCCAATTCTTCTCTCTCTTGATGGGGGTGGAATTAAAGGACTTGTGCTAATAAGGGTTTTGGCACTAAAATAATACATAAATTATTTTTAAAATTTAGGTGCTTTTGATTATCGAGAGAAATTTGGGCAAAGATTTATGGCCTCTAATCGATTGGGTTGCCGGTATGTAAATTTTAACATTTTAGGACAATAAAAATTTAAATATTTTAATTTTAGGAACCAGTACTGGGGCAATTCTCGCTTGTGCACTTGCTAAAGGTCATCCTTCTTTTTAATTCTTTAATTAAAAAATTTTTAGGAAAATCATTAACGGATTGTCAAAAGCTTTATTTACAATTAAAGAATATTGTCTTTAGAGGATCTCGACCATACAATCCTGTAGTGTTGGAACGAATATTAATTCAGACATTGTCCACAGATTTTATTTCTTCTATTGAAAAGCCAAAATTATTACTAACCTCTGCTAAAATGAACATTGCACCTCCTTCATTGGTTCTCTTTCGCAGCTATCAACTCCCAGAGGAACTTACAAAAGGGGAGGACAAGATGGAAGAGGTAATTTATTTTAAACAAATTTTTTTTAATATTTTCAAACAATAGATGGGATATGTTGACAGAAATGTGACTACTATATGGAAAGCAGCTCGTTGTTCAAGGTGATTTAATAGATTTTTTTGGAAGGTAAATTGCAGTCAAACCTCGCTAAAGGGTAAACCCCCGGGATATCAAAACAGTGAGTCATCTTAAATAGGAGGTATCTAACGGGGGCCCTCCCACATTTTAGAAAGCGGAACGCGGAAGTGTCAGAGCGGAATTCTACGGAAGCAGAAAGACAGCCCATCCGTGGTAGTGCTTCACCGGAACCGCAAATTTGGCCGGAACCGGATCTAATTTTTTGGTTCAGGACCGGAACCGGTACTTCCGGCGAAGCTCTAATCCGTGATATCTAATAATAAGACTCGACTATAATTTACTTTAAATTCCTTTCAATTTTTAGCGCCGCTCCAACATATTTTCCACCGTTTGACGACATTTACGTCGATGGAGGCGTTATTTGCAACAATCCAACAATGGAATTGCTTACAGAATTTGTAAAACTCCGTCCTTATTTTAAATTGCCTAATCCACATTGTGTTATATCAATTGGCACAGGAACTCCTCCCTCGAAGAGCTTAACAATTCATAGATCTTTTATTTGGAGACTTCTTCAGCGAGTTTCGAGGAATACCGAATTTATGCGGAATATGGCACAAGGGCTTGTGGAGCAAGTAAATTTTGTTTTAGAAATCAAAATTTTTAAACCTTAATTTTTAAAAGATTACCGAATCAAACCGTCGACCTGTTATGCATTGTAGTGCTTTCTGTGCTGCTTTAGGCGTCCCCTTCTTTCGTTTCTCTCCGCGTTTGAGTGATGATGTGGTGAGGAATTTGAAAATCTTAGCAGAAAACTTTGATAATTTTATTCAACTTTTTAGCGTATAAACGAAGTCGATGATGCCTGTATTCTTAAAATGCTTTGGGATGTTGAAGTTGCAATGTATGCAGCAAGGAAAGATGTAGATAAACTAGTTAAAATTCTTAAAAGTCGAATTTAAATTAACTATTTTTATTTTTTTTGTATTATACATGTATATGCTGTATTTTTATTAAATTTAATATTTGTAAAATAAATATTTTGTTGGTTATTGTTTTCCTTACAAGTTTAATTAGCTCTATTTATTTTTATTTATTTCATGTGAACACTTTTCGAATTTGTCACGTTGTTTTTTCTCATCAGTTAAAGCTTGAAGAGTCCTTATTCGAATCGTTCACCCCAAAATCACAGCTCGGCCCCAGTACGTTTTTTCGGTTGTCAAGAACTTTCATGTTTGAATTTTTCAACTAGAAAATCAGCTAGGGCCTAGTGCGGTTTTGATGTTTTCGAAAACATGGAATTCTAGACATCCAGACAAACTGTTACGTTTAAACTCGGATTTGTTTCGAAACTTTACTTATATGTAGTATTCTGTACTATATTCTCATTTTTTTCTAATTGATACTTTTTACTAGGGTTGGACACGACCGATTTTAAAACCGGAATTTTTGATATTTTTGCTAAAAAGTACCCGTTTTTATAAAATTTAGAAACCGAAAATTTCTGAAAATGAGTGATTTTATTAAAAATTCCCCCCAAAATAAAGCCTGTATTTGACCAAAACTCAAAACCGAACCCGGGAATCTTACGGTTGTGTCCAACTCTACTTTTTACTATAAAAGCTCTACTAGAATGTTACTGTTTTCGCATACCATCGTCTCATAGCACAAACAATCAGCGGATAACCGGCGTTCCTGGTTTTCACAAGAAGAGATGTCAATGCTGAAGAAGACTCCACTCTTTTGTGCAAAGGAATGCGCCACTTTTCTCGATCTTCTACTTTCAACTCGGTCTAAGGAATCACAGGTACTTCGACGCTTTTTTTTGTTTAATTCCTCTCATTTTATTTAGGTTGCTGCTTCTCTCTACTTCAGAAAAAAACTCGCAGCGTGCCAGGAGCCTCCTGAAGAGTTGGTTGAAACAATTGTGAGTTTGCGATAGAGCATTAACGAGTTCTAATCCTTCCAACTTTTCAGATCCTCGAGCTTATTAACTGCCTCCGTCGTCCTTCAAACGAACTTCAGTTGAACGCTTCTTGGGCTCTGACAAATTTGGCCTGTGGCTCTCGTCAAGAAACGCATAGGATTATTGCCAGTGGTGGCATTGATGCGCTTGTTCACGTTGCGTCGACGACAGTGGGAGAAATTCGGGATCAGGCTATTTGGGCACTAGGAAATTTGGCAGCAGATTGTGCCTCGTGTCGACAACAAGTGCGAGCTTCGGGACTTTTGGCCTTATTAATTGTAATGCTGGAAATGCCAGACTACCAGGCTCACGATCCTCGCAAAATTGTTATTTGGTGCTTGGCTAATTTGCTTCGTGGTGGAATGAATGACATTGAGCTTGATGTGAGTTTGCTTGGTTTTGTGTAAAAAACAAAGACTTTCCTTCCTTTTCAGAGTGTCGGCCGACTTCTCTCTTCACTTCATGTGACTCTATCCCTCTACGATACAGGCGAAATTCTCTGTGATGCTGTTTGGTGTATTGCATATCTCATCGACCACGCAACAATTGAAGGAGAAAGAGTTTAGTAAATCTCTTTTTGAACGATTAATCCTTCTAATCACCTTTTCTTTTGCAGATCGATCTCTTGTTTGCTCAACCAGGCCTAGCTGCAAGTATTGTCAATCTACTCAAGTCGGATTCTCTTCGTGCGCTCACTGGTGCTCTTCGCACTGTTGGAAACATCATCACCGGAACAGATGAGCAAACCACTGCAATTCTTGACCTTGGCGTCCTGGAAGATTTGGTAAAATATTTTCAAAAATGATTTTTTGATTAAATTATTTTCATTAAGAGTGATCTAGTTAACTCCAACGTCCATCAAATTTCGCGAGAATGCCTTTGGATCCTCAGCAACATCGCTGCCGGCACTTCAGAACATGTCACTCGCCTTTTCTCTGTCGATGGGATGGCACAAAGCGTTTTTCAACTTGCCTACGATCAGAGTCCAAGAAAGCGAAAAGTTGGTTTCGAGTCTTTTTAAGTGAAATAATTCTTTAAATTGAAGGAAGCCTATTGGGTTGTTGTGAATGCGATGATGGGAGCGCCGCCGTCTCTTTATGAATATTTGATGAGTGGAGGTCTTGCACAAATTCTAGTGCAGCTGCTTGAAGAAAATTTGGACGCGGCACTGCTTGAGCGTACTTTGGTTAGTTTTTTCGATTATTTACTTTAAAAAACACCCTTTTTTCTTTAAAGAACACAACACAGCATTCACTCCAAGACAGATCCCGAAATCGTTTATACACTATTGCATTGTTCCGACGCGTTGGCTTGGTAGAGCAAATTGCTAAAATTGCGTTCAACAACTCAACTTTAAATGAAGTTGATCCGGCTTCTGTAAGTTGAAACTCCTCCTATTTTATATAAGTAAAAATCCCATTTTTATAGAATTTGGCTGCTACAATTCTGCAACAACATTTTGGAATCCATATCGGACGGGTGGAAGGGGGCGGAAATATTAGAGGAGTTGGGAGAAGGAATGAAGAAAATGAGGAAGATATTGTAGGCCAAAATGTTGTAAACCTTCGCTGTGTATATGAGGAATCTGTGGAACTTGCATCAGCAGCGTCAACATCGAGAAATGTAAACCAAAATTCTTCAGAGGAGCGAAAGTCGATTTTGGTCAGAATCAAAAGAATGGATGAAACTTGTGATAAAAAATAAAAATACACCCATTGTACAAAATGCCTTTTTGTGTGTTGTGTATATGTATTTATATAAATAAATCTAAATAATCAAGTTGATTTTTAAACATTTCCATCGTAAATTTGGTTGGCTGAAAATACCAAAAATTATTTTTTTCCCAGTTATTTTTTTGAATAAGTCCCGATTAGGGTTGTTGGTTCTGGACCGAAGTATGGGCGACATGATTTTTCGGTTCATTTTCGGATATCTGAGGAATTTCCAGGAACCAACAGCCCTAGTCCCGATGATTCGTTGCTCAATTGTCCTTTGTCTAAATGGTTGTCTCACATTTGTCTCACTGTTTGATTGTTGGGTACACGCCAAAGTAGGCGCGCGGCCATAACGGCGCAGCCACAATTTGCTGGAAAATTTCTGACCTTTATTAATTTTGGTACCAAACTCTCTAGCTCGCTGGGAGGAATCGTTTAATACTAAATTTGGTGAGAATCGAGCATCTTGAAGCAAGTTATAATTTTGCGTCATTATGACCGCGCGCCGCTGTACCTGCCACGTTAATATCTTTTTACCTTGATTCTGATTAAATTTCTTTTTAATTTTTTTCATTTTTCTAGACAAATCTGCACAATTTTCAAACTTTAATTAAGCTGTAAAAATGCTTTCACTTTATCAAATTCTTGAATTTTCTTTACTTGTTGTGAATGGATTTGCGATTATCAATAAAGAAAGAGTTTTAAACAAAGTTAATTTTCTAATTTTTTTTAAATTAAATTTATTTTCAAATAATTTTTAGTATTTAAAAAGTAGACAACACAGCTTTCACGAGGACAGTGAAAATTCAATTGTTTTGAGATTGGTTAATCTTGTTTTGGCAGTTCAAACAGTGCTTAGATGTAATTGATATTTGGTAATTTTGAATTTTATTCCTCTCCTTTTTTTCTTCAATATTATTTTTAATAAATCAAAAAAGGATTGGTATAATCTGACATTTAAAATTAAGAGATGAAGGTCCAGACATTCCATCCATCATGGTTCCAGGTCCAGGAAAGCCCGGGTATTCAGAAATTTTAGATTCGGGTCCGTTGACGACAAGAATTTTCTAGAGAGCGAGATTCTCAAAAAAACCTTGATTTTGGATGGTACCTTGACCCTGAGTCAAGGAAAAATCAAGGAACGCTGAAAAATGCCTTGATCTGGGCTCTGGATCCAGGGAAGATCAAAGTAGAATTTTCCCGAACCTTTTGGTAGAATTCTCTGAACACCTGTAATTTTTGCACGGACAGAGAGGATAGGATCATCTATCACGGAACATTTTCAATACTTTAATTTCTGAATTAGAACAGAGGAAGAAAAAAGGGGGAGTGAGAGAAACGAAATTCAAGATTACCATTAACGTTATTTTTTTAATTAAAAAATTTTTTTTTATTTTTAGTTCCACTTATCTTCCTAAATATTATTGCAATCATTTTTAAACTTTTGTTTGGCTAAAGAGCTGATTTTTCAAAGGAAAATATTTACAAAATTTGTGAATAAATTATTTTAAATAAATTTTTTTATTCGTCTTCATCTATAATTTTCCTTCTCTTTACCTTCTTTTCTGTTTGTATAATTTCAGAATTTTCGTCAGAATCTTTTTCTATCATTTCCTCATCTTTTTGTTGATTGTTTTGTGTAGTTTTTAAAGAATCCAAATATTTATCCAAATCATCGTTGTCCTCGTCACTAGATTCAATCAATTTTTTGATCATCTTTTGGTCCTTTTTATGAGTTTGTTTTGAATTGATTGTTGGGGTATTCTAAAATTTAATTACATTAAAAAATATTTTTAATTTTGAAATTTAGTGACCCCTTATATTACTCGTTTTTTATTTTACTTTTGGCGATTAGATCGGTTAAAGAATTATTAGAAAATCGTTTCATGAGGGTAGGTTTTAGGTCTTCATATTACAAAGGAGCTTCGTCCTCAGGAAATCGAAACCTCTCGAACTTCGAAATTTATGAAATAGTTTGCCTTCCACAAGAAGGTCAAAGCTTTTCGAGACATATAAGGTAAAATAGTGATAAAAATAGAAGCCAAAATAAGTCCATCCCTGAAGACCTACACTCTGACACTCACTTGATAAGCCCCTCGTAAAATATTTTATTTTAAATTTCCAATAACATTGTGTCGATCAAAAGGTTGTGTCTTCAGGGTCGACCCCTCAAAAATTCCCAAAATATTTCGTAAATATTTTCAAAAATCTTTTAAAAATTAAAAAAATTAACCTCATCCTTTTCAACATTTTCCTCCTCAACCATTTCATCATCATCTTCCGCTTGAGAAAATCCAGGGCGAAGTCTTTTCATTGTTGCCTTTAAAAATTAATTTTTTAAATCAAAAATCCCTAAAAACCTGTACTAAACGTTTCCTTCCCAACTTTTCGATTTTATCCAAACAATCATCAAAATTCATTTTAGGGAAGAGATTGTGTGCCCAACACTCCATTTTATTTAAAAGTATATCCAATTTTTGGTACTAAAATTAAAAAAAAATTTTCTAAAAATTTTCTTGGTCTAGTTTGTGCGTCCAACGAACTTTTATGAGTCCAATGAAAAGTAAATTGGATTTTTCTTGGCTTTGCAAAGTTGGGGTATGGTTCTAAAACATTCTAAAACTTTCAGAAAAACGATTTTAACTTTCAGAAATTTTGCGGGATAGAGAAAGAAATGGTCCCAGACCAAGTGGGCGTAGGTCCCGAAAAAAGTTCACTGGACGCGAAAACGCGTAAACTAGAATAGCGCCATTTTCTCTTACAGGATCATATTCTTTTGGAAAATTAAAATTATCAAAAGTTGCTTTTAACGCTTCAATCCCTTTTTCAGAAGTTAATTCTTTTTCTGATAATTTTGGTTGAGGCCTTCTAATTTTTCTTTTTGAATTTTTTGTTTCGTCTTCTTCTGTTTTTTCCCAAACATTTTCCAAATCCTTTGCTTTTTGGGTACTTTTTTCTTTAAAAATTTATTTTTTAATTGAAGAAAATAAAAATAACCTTGTTCAATTTCATCTTTCTCAACGTCCTTTTCTTCCATTTCGAGTACTTCATCTCCAAATAAATCTCCAAAATCGTCAAATTCCATTGCTTTTGTGTAAAAATTTTCTTAAAATTCTTTTCAGATTATTCAAAATTGAAAAAAAAATTAAATAGACAGCCGGTACAATAGAGTACTCTCAATTGTCCTCTCGGCCAGTTGTATTTTTTAACGGGCATTGATCAATTGTCCTATTTATTATTCATGCCATTTGTCGCTATGCCATTTGTCGTTAGATCAATTGTCCAGATCCGGAAAAGACTGGATAACCGGAAATTTTCGATTCGATTAATAAAAAATAGAGAAATCTGGCTCCTTGGCCTATCAAAATTCTCAACATTTTCGCCTGTGGCGCTCAAAAAGGAAGAAAGATTTGTTAAATTTTACTAAAAATATAGAAAATACAAAAAATAAAGTACAAAAATTTGTTTATTTCTATTTATCCGGTTGTCGGACAAGAACAATACTTTGCATCTTCTCCATGTATTCCATTTGCCCCTCTCTATAATTTAAATAAATATATAAATTTATGTATTTTCCCAACCTCTCCAGGCAATCCGGGCACTCCAGGTGTTCCAGGTAACCCAGCATTGCCAGCAGGCCCGGGTGGTCCTGCCAAACCAGGAAGACCATTTTGCCCTTTTTCTCCTAAATTCTTTCAATTTATTTTTATTTTAGAAAATAAGTCTTTACCTGGTCTTCCGGGCAGACCAGCTTTCCCAATTTCTCCTTTCGGGCCTGGCTCTCCCTTTGAAGTAAATCCGTCTCTGCCGGGCTGTCCCGGCTCACCTTCCTTTCCTCTCTCCCCAATAGGGCCTAAATCACCATGAGGTCCTTGAATACCAGGATGGCCGTCTCTTCCAGGATGTCCATCAACGCCTGGCTGTCCAGGGACGCCGGCCTTTCCAGCAGGACCTGGCGGGCCGACTGGGCCTGAATTCGTCATTTAACGAAGAATTATAGTTTTGGAGGTTACCCGGCGGACCAGTCGGGCAGCGAATACAACCAGCCTCCCTTCCATCCAAAAGTGAATTAACACCAGCAGCTCCTGGTAATCCGGGCACGCCTGCTTCTCCAGGCTCTATTAAATTATATGAAGTTAGAAATGAAGGTTCCTCAAACCTCCCTGTTCTCCTCTTGCCCCGGGTGCGCCGGGAAGTCCACGAGGGCATAATTCACTTCTTGACTGGCAATCTACATTTAATTTAGTTTTTAAATTTAAAAATAAATTTAACTGCATTTATCAACTTCATCAGCCAAATAAAGATCTCGAGGAGAACGCCTTTTAGACTCCAAAATATTTTTATTTTTGGAATATTTATTTTGTAAATTTAAAATATTATTCCACGCTTCCTTGTTTGTCACCTTTTTTTAATTGAAAAAAAATTTTTTTCCAAAATTTTTATGAACCAAAGTTATTTCCAGATCAGCAACAATTTCTTCATAAAGAATATTTAATTCATTAATTAACATTATCCCCACAAATCCACAACTAAAAATAATCCCAACAGAACAGAAAATTGCTATAGATGCTGCCAAGCTGGAATGACATTTAATTGGAGAATTAAAATACATTTTCTTAAAATTTAGTTAAATAATACAGTCGAATCTCAATTATAAGATACCCCCCTCCCCCCTATGCATGACAAAAATTGTCCCCTATAATGGAGTGTATCTTAAGAGTGCATCTTAAATAGAGGGTATCGCTATAAAGCTCCTCACGCCCAATTGAATACCAACTTCCAAACGAGCGTCTCCTAAATAGAGGTGTATTTTTATTGTAGGGTATCTTATAGAGTAAGGTTGGCTGATCCTGGGAAATCCTGACGGATCAAAAATTTTCGGATATCCTGTCATTTTTCTGATCGGGATCAGGGCTGTCCGCAATTCAAAAAATTTTTCGTAGCTGTAATCCGCAACCCGAAACTTTAATTTTAAAATACTCAATCCGCAACTGCGGACAGCCCTGACCGGAATATCCAGATCCGCCAACTTTATTATAGAGGGGAGTCATAATCGAAATGACTGCAGTATATTTTAGATCAAGAATAGATCATCAACAAACAATAAAATTGTCCTTAAAATTCCCTTACACATCTCATATAAGGGAGAACTGTCCTAATAGAATATTTCATTATCTAACCAAAAATAAATTGGACAAAAATGTTTTTAGCCTAAACACTGTTAACCTGTTTATTTATTTATTTTATCAATTCCAGTTTATACATAGAAATATTTATTTTTATAAAAAAATATTTTAATTTTTAATGAGATCAATTTAATAAAAGATTATCTTTTTTAAATTCAAAAATTCTTTTTTCTCTTTCATGTACAAAATAAACATAAATTCACATTAATATTTAAAAATAATGTAGAGTGCATGAATAATTCCAGGAATATAACCACAAATTGTTAGAAGGCTTAAAATTAAATGAAAAATTAATTTAGGCAACCTTCCTTTTTAGATACAGTCTAATCTTGACAAGGCTACTTAATTTGGACTGAATTATGGAGACGTGATATGGAGAGAGACGTGCTATTCAGAGGCCGATCGGGATTCCGATTTCCGAAAATTTGAGCTGATTTCCGAGTTCCGACTTTTGAGTCATTTCCGATTTCCGATAGTTCCGATTTCCGGCACCTTCGTCATTTCAGATCGACCTCTGGTGCTATTGACGGTCAAATCTCTCCAAACAGATTCCTGGGATTTTGTAGACGTACTAAAGAGAGAGAAGTGCTAACGGGGAGGCTTTCTAACTGTATTCAGCCCCTTTATTGAAAATCGTCTCTTATAATGGGATGTATCCTGAATAGAGGGAATTTTTGAGTAGCCCCTCCACTTCCTCCAATAACCAAACAAATTTTGAAAACGTCTCTTAAATAGAGGTTTATCCCATATAAGACACACCGCTTTAAGATAACCTAGTATTGGGGGTATTTCATATAGAGGGTTGACTGTATTTATAAAAATAAACAAACATATTTATCAACAGATGAATTGAACATCCTTTCTCTACTAAAACACCAAGTGGCTTAAATTTAAAAATGTTTCTAAAAAATCTCCTTTTAAAAACTTACAGGAAATATAACAGCACAAATAATTTTAAAAATATCCGAACACGTACAGGGCATTTTGAATTAATTTTTGAATTAATTAAATATTTTAAAGAATAAACTTAAAAATAATAAATGGTTATTTAAAGCTATAAATTACTTGTTTCCAAGGAAATCCAATAAAAAATGGCAAAAACAAAAAAAAATTTTTTTGAGAAAGAAGCCAACAGATATGCTTAAATGGAGATATAGAAATGTGACTTTGAAAAATATAATTATAAAAATATTTGTCCCTCACATTGTTATGCTTGGTTTAAAATGGCTAATTGTTTGAGGGAAAATTTTCGTAGAAATTTATTTTTTATTTTGTTTTTTTTACCTTCTAACTGTTTTGTGCCAATTTGTGGTCACGTTTGAACAACATTAGAAAAAATTAATTTTATATTTTTTAAATTAATCTGCTTTAAGAATTTTACAATTTTGAGAGCTTAAAGACTCTCTCTTATCATTTTAATCGTTCGATAAAAAATTTTATTTTTTAAATTTAAAATAAGGGTAAATTAGGAGCAACGAAAAACGATTTTTAACAAAAGTGAGAAAACAATGAGGAAAAGACGAAATTCGGAGGAAGACTGACAAAACTCCACCCTCTTTCCCAACTGCCCTCTTTCAACATCCTGAATATTAGAGGTCGAACGGAATTCCGATTTCCGATAGTTCCAACTTCCGGCCTCTCCAGTTCTGGTCGGTCTCTGATGAATATGCGTACCATGACGGAAACTACCAGCTTTCCGTCTTTCATGGATTTTCAATTTTCAGCGTGTCTTCTCTTTTCGCCTTCAATTTTTTAAATCTCGTTTCGGCACCCCCCCCCCTCCCTCGTTTTTTTAAATTTCTAATAAATAATTTATATTTATTTCATCATTTATCCGTTCCATCATTCGAAATATTTCATTTCAATTTTTAAATGAGTCACACAAACAAACAACCCTCTCCTCTTCTCTCCTCGCTCCTTTCTCTCATTTCCTCCCCAAAAAACTAGTATACATATTGTTTATTTACACACAACATGCACACATTTTTCTTCATCTTTTTATTTCCAACCGCCCTCTTTATTTCATGAAAATTGATTTTTTTCGATAAAATATTTACTCCATTTCCGTTTTATTTATTTTAATTTTTCATCAATTTTTATTTTTAAGATAATATACCTATAAATCTTTAAATTAGTCAAATTTAATTTTTAAAAATGCCGTTGACTTGCTCAGATTGTCCAAAGTTGTGTTGCTCTTTAATTATTCCGGTAGGTTTTTTATACTCCCAATATTAGGTGGACTTCTATTTAAGCTACTTTTGCCTTAGAATTTGGTTGCCCGTCGGGAAGGGAAACTGAAACTGTAACAACCGGAGGTTGTTTGATTATGTCCGAGGGTTGTCATTAGTTGATAGAAATGTACAATGTAGGCGAAGGGATTGAGGCAAAGGGAATCAGTAACTAGCCTGGCTGGTATGATCCAACTAGACTGACGCTTTCACTGGCTTTCATACTATAACGATACCATTACACAACAGAAGCTGTCTAAGCGATACCCTCTATTTAACATAAACTCATTATAAGAACCTTCTATATAAGGCACGCCCAATATTAGACACCCCTCTATTTAAAAATTGGTGGGTATAGGTGGAAGAGCTGGAAGTGGTGGAAAAAAAGAATAGTGGGAAGAGCTGCCCCAAGGGTTTTGCTCTAAGATACACCTCATTATAAGAGACGATTTTTTAAACTCCAAGGGGCATCTACAAGGATGTTTGCCTGTATTTTCAACTTTAGAAAAATCTTTTTATTATTTCAGCCAATCGGTGTTTGGATTGAAAAAGGCTGTTCAGTTCATTTGCTCGCCAACATAATACTTACACTTTGTGGCTACTTCCCTGGCTTAATTCACGCAATAATTATTATTTGTTATTATTAAAAAAGAAAAAACGAGAAATTTAAGAAACAAAAATTTTTAACAAATTGCTTATTTCACAGCCTTTGGTTTTTTAAAAAACAATTCCATTTAAAATATTTTTATTATATCCTTGGCTGCTTATATTGTTTGATATTAAATAAATTATATACATATGTGATTGTTAAAATATTTAAAAGTAATGTGTAAAATGAAGCATTATTCCTTAATTTTAACTATTAATGTTAATTAGGGGCCAAACCGTTCCGATCATCTAAATCGAGAATTTATCTTTCTATGTTGGTAAACCTAAATAAAAATACCGTATTTTCTAACGGAGCGGCGGCCTCTGTTTGTCTGGAGAGGGAATTCAAAAATAGAGCGGCATGCCGCTCTATTAGAGAAAATACTCTAGACAAAACAGTGCAAGTAGGCGCGCTGCCATAGGCGCAAAGTCGTAACTTGCTTCAGGATTTCCGAATCTTTCAAAATTTAGTATTAAACGATTCTACTCATCGAGCTAAAGAGATTGGTACCAAAATTGTTAAGATCCAGAAATTTTCAAGCTGGTTATGGCTTTGCGCCTGCTTGGCCGCGCGCCTACTTGGGCGTATCCCACGAACAACTTCTGGTTCTTTGATGATAGTTTTAGAGATTGAATACAAAAAATAATTACTCGAGATCACCTAATCATCTCTACTTAGAAAACATTTGTCTACAAAAGAAATAATTTATGCTAACTTTAAAGCAAATAGACAACATTTGATAAACAAAAAGAGGTAACATTTTTAAACACAAAAAAGACATTTCATCCAAATCACATCTTCTAAACATTATTATTCCTTTACTTTTTAGGTTCTTCCCCTTCCTTCTTATCTCCTTCCCCTTCCTTCTTTTTATCTCCTTTATCTTCTTCCTTCTTTCCTTCTTTATTTCCTTTAGAAAAGAATAATTTGTAAGAGAGAAAGATAACGCCACCAATAAGGCAAACATTCAAAAGTCCCAAAACAACATATACCGGCATGAGCGTTTTTGAACAAGTCTAGAAAAAGAAGGGGTTTTCAAAGAAAATTAGGAAAAATTTCTACCGGTTCCTCATTCCCCTCCACAAATCCAAAAACAATAAACACCAAAAATGTCAAACGAAGCAAACTCCCAACAAACAGAGAAACAGAACTAGAAGGCATGTTTTGCGAAACAAAGTTGATTAAACAATTAAAGTTGGCAAAATGTTTTGTTGATATAGAGCAGAATTAAAGAAGAAATGTTTTAAAGTTGAGCTTTTATAGTAAAACTTGGGAAGACAATTTGTTTTGACTGATTTTGTTGTTTTTGAGGAATTCTTCTTTGAAAAACTCTTTCAATAAATCATTTGACATATTTCGATATTTCTCAAAATTCATTCTTCGTGCCGACTATCATCTACGTGTATTTCTGTTTGCAAGTTACGTGGAGTCTCGAACATGACAGACGTCAAACAGAGTACATTTTTGATTTTTGAAAGTTGCAGAATTTATCCTCACAATTTTGCGTTTAATTTAAAACCTCCATTGGTTCAACATTAGCTTGATATGATTTGTTTGAACATCAAAAATGAGTTGAGAATATACAGTCGAAGCTCATTATAAGATACACGCAATATTAAATGCACCTCTATTTAAGGTACGTTTTTTCAATTAGGTTGGCAGGATCGGGGTGTTATTCAAGCGTTGAGAAAATTTCTCAATCCCATTTTCTCACTCTTACAATAAAGTTTTATTTTTTAAATTTGTTTCACAAAAATTTTATTTTTACTCCATCCATATATTAAACAAAATACATAAATTTTAAATTAAAAATTCATCAAAATTTAGCTGATCTGTCAGACTTATTTTTTTTCTTTCATCCTCCCTCTATTTTTTATCCAATTTCCTTTCATCATTTTAATACTCCTACTCCATTTTTAAGGCCTAACATTTTTCCTATGCATTTCCAAATTTTCTCATTAAATTTTGCCTTCCATTTTCTTTGTCTTTTCTAATCGGCTAAATTGTTTTTGCCTTTCATTTTCTTCCAAAAAAATTTTTTTGGCTGTAGTGTAGTGTACCGGTGGTAAAAGTTCGGAACGTGACATATGTCATTCGATTCGTCTCGACGAGCTGAGTCGAACGGTACTAGTCCCTACTTTAGGAAATGATTCTGGACCGAGTTATGGGTCCCGAAAAATTGAAAAACCAAAGGGGGGAGTAAGCTCGATTTTGGGGTGAAAAATTCGAATATGCAAATAATAGCTCATTCGAAAGAGCTCGGCGAGCTGAGTCGAATGACACCAAAATCAACGAAATCTGACTTGATTTGACAAAGTTATGACCGTTTGTTTTAGCTCCTTACCTATGGCGCCCGTGGAGGTTTTTGCTGCTACTGGAGCCCCAAATACATCCAGAGCAAGGGAGATGGGACTAGGTTTATGTTACTGACCCAGACCCAGCGCGCGTAGACTCCCCGCGAGGCGCGTGCCGCAAAACCCCGCGCGAAGCGCGGGGTTTTGCACAAGCGCCTCGCCGACGCCCCATAGGTTTATGTTGTTTGTTTTTCTATTGTAACTTTGTCCAAACTTTTACAATCGAGCTGATTTTGGTGTCATTCGACTCAGCTCGACGAGCTCTTTCGAATGAGCTATTATTTGCATATTCGAATTTTTCACCCCAAAAAAGTGCTTGGTCCCCTCTTTGGTTTTTCAATTTTTCGGGACTTATAACTCGGCCCAGAATCATTTCCTAAAATTAAGAGTGGTACCGTTCGACTCAGCTCGTCGAGACGAATCGAATGACATATGTCACGTCCCGAACTTTTACCACCGGTACACTACACTATATCCATTTTTTTTCATTTATTCTCTTCCCTTTTGCGCTTTTTTCAGTTAAATTGGATTTTCGTGCCAACCACTAAATAACCTTTTTTTTAAAAAATATTTTTTTCCATAAATTTCTTTGTTTTGACGGTGACACGACTCGGGCACAGTGATCCATTTGCACAGTAAGACTTTTGCACAGAGGGCATCTGCACAGCGGACAATTGCACAGTAATTTGTGGTTAAGTGGATTTGTGTCAGGTTTTACTTATTGTTATAAGGGAATAAATGTTACTAATTATTAATACTTTTACAAAAAAATCTTAAATTGTATTAGAATTCATAATTCTTTTTCTAACCTAAGTATTTCTTAATTCTTTTTTACATATTCTAAATTTTCGTTCGCTTATCAAGTGGACAAATTCTAGCAGATTTTTATTATATCAAAATTTCCCTCGCAATAAATGAAGAAAATCTGGCTTTTTGTCCCTCACAAATTCTCAAATTTTTGCCTGCGGCGCTGAAAAAGGACAATGATATACGGAAGATTTGGATGGATTAAAGCGAATTTTGAGTGATATCGTGTGATTTCAGGTGTCATAGGTAATATCCAGGGATTTCGAATGATGTATAATTTGCATATTCGAATTTTTTACCCCAAAATTGGGCTTACTCACCTCTATGGTTTTTCGATTTTCGGGGATCTATACTTCGGCCCATAACTGAGTCCCCAAGCTAATTTTGGTGCCGTTCGACTCAGCTCGGCGAGATCTTTCGAATGACATATCATTTGTCCGAATCGGTTTCCGAGTGACATGACGGAATTTTTCCTTAGTAACATTTATTCTAAGTAAGTAAAACCTAACACAAATCCACTTAACCACAAATTACTGTGCAATTGTCCACTGTGCAGATGACCTCTGTGCAAAAGTCTTACTGTGCAAATGGATCACTGTGCCCGAGTCGGAGCGCCGTTTTGACATTATATCCCCCTACTATTTTTGACAAATAAATAGTAAGAGAAATAAATAAAAAACAGAAAGAGAAGTAGAGTAATATGATGTAGATGATTGGGATTGACCCAAAAGATCACTTCCCTAGAGGACAACGTTTTAGGCTCCCGGACAATGCGTCAGTGGAAAATGCGTCAGTGAACAATCGGTCAGTATTTATATAAAGTGATTAAAAGTGATGATATAAAGAGATAAAAATCCACTGATATCTCTCTAAATAGGCTGATCTCCATCTTAATCCAACCAAATAACTTAATATCTTTGTTAATCCTCCCAAACACGAGATATCGGCCTTAACCCCAACAAATCCCTCTATATTTCTTTTAAGCCCCCCAAAATCCTTTTAAATACTCTTAATAGGTTTATATCTTTACATCATCACTTTTAACACTTTATATCAATGCTGACCGATTGTCCACTGACGCATTGTCCGGACAAGAACTTTAGAGAGCAGTTGATTTTTAGGGAGGTGATCTCTTGGGTGTGGAACTAGATGATTCATAAATAAATAAATAAAATATATTTATTCTCGCCCACTTTTTTTAACTTCTGTTTTTTGTTATTTATATCTTTTTTTGGCTACGTTCTTAAATTTCTTTTTTTTTTCTTATTAAAAAAAACTATAAATTAGTTTTGTAAAAAGAAACAATTTCCAAAAGAATAATCATTGCATATGTTTAGATAGTTTATTTTAACCAAGTTTCTGGTGACTAATAAAAGTTTTAAAAAATATATAAATGTTTATTACATTTATTGACATCATTTTTTGTTAAATAATATAGTAATCTAAAAATTTTTCTAATACACCTCCATTTTTAAGGCCTAAATTTTCTTGTGCATTTCCAAATTTTCTCATTAAATTTTACTAAATTAAATTCGTATTAACGTTTCCTAATTAAATTTTACCTTCCAATATGATTAAAAAAAATAACCTATTTAAAAAATTAATAAAATTATTTTGCAGTCGAACATCGGTATTATGACTCCACACAATTTAACAAAATCCTCGATACAACTAATTTTTTCTTTTGATCCCTTCGATTTTGTAAATCGAGATTCGACTTTAAATCAGAGGTGAATCGGAAATGACGAAAGTGTCGGAACTCGGACCTGTCGGAAATCGGAAATAGGCTAAATTTTCGGAAATCGGAATTCCGATTCACCTCTGCTGTAAATACTTCTTCGTTAATTTTTTAACTTTTCTAATTTTTGTAACGGAAGTCTATCTCCTCTAAAATTTAGAAAGCTAAGAATGAAATAATGTGTAGGAGAAAAAAAATAAAAAAAAACAAATTCCCATCTGACATAAATTACATTAGTATTATAATTATTTTCATGCCAAATTCTTTTAAAATTCCTCGACATTTTTTGAAATTAAATTAGTTTAACGTCCATTTATTAATTAAAAGAATTTTAATTATCTTTTAATTATTTTATATTTTTTTCTATTTAAATTCCAATTTTAAAATACACACCTCTTGGTGCTGAAAAAATCATATTTAAAAACCGAGGGGTATCTAAAATTGAGGATATCGTTTAGGCACTCTCTTCTCACCCATTTAGGGCTGGACGCAAATGGAAAAATTTTTCCACAGTCCGCAAGTCAAAAACCACGCAATTTATGCAATCGCATCCAATTCTCCTCACACAGCAACCAAACAAATTTAAAATTCATAGCTAAAAGAAGTCGATTTTAATTTATGATTAGTTAATGCGAAAGGGTATTGTCTAAACAACAATACCCTCAATTTAGAATACCCCTCGTTTTTAATACAATATCTTCAACACCAGTGAGTATGCTGTTTTTTTTGGTATTTTAAAAATTGAGGTTATTTAAAAATGAGGTTCGCCTACATATTTTTATTTATAATATTCGTTTACTATCATTTTTATATACCTCTATTTATGTAATAAATATTTTTTTCTTTCCAAAAATATTTATTTTTGTCATCTCCTCTTCTCATGATACAAGTCAATATATAAAAAAGCAATCAAAAAATTCTTCTTAACTTTTTGTAAATAACTTGGTTAACCCAAAAATATTTTTTTTATCATATGCACAAAAAAAGAATAAATATTAGTGGGTGAGTTTAAATATTTGCACCCACAAATTTATCTCTTAAAAATTATTTTTGGTTTTTGGACATTTTGTCGGTGTGGCACCGTAAAAAGAAAGATAAAATAATTTATGACCAGAAAAAAGATAAGAAAATTAAAAATAATATTTTTTCCATTTAGTTTGTAGTATATAGAATTTATTTAATATTTATGTTTTTAATATAGTTGGACCTCAATTAATATACCTCCAATTAATGTGTACACAGCATACGTTTTTTACCATTATATGGAGAAGGACTACCTAACAATAAGCGATGATATCCCCATTTTAGTCTCTTCTAGTATTTGAGTTTTTCAACCCCAAGGGTGTGTATACGTAAAGTAATCCGTCCACTCAACCGACCACTCAATCATCCTTATCACTAGGGTTGCTGGCCCGGTTCGGTTCGATAAAAATGAGGCCCGAAAAAGATGACTCGAACGTCGGCCCGGTTCGATAACGGCAACCCTACTTATCACCAACTTCAATCCCCATATATCGAATAACCCTTATATTATTGAACTTACATATACTACGTGTTTGACTCCTCGCCAAGGGTGGGCGCTTTGTGTTTTCACGATTGCCTCTTGCGCCCACCCCTACTCACTTCCTTAAAATGTGAGGAAATGTTCATTGATACTCAAATATTAACGAAAAATCAGCAAAATTAGATATTTCCAACCAAGTTAAACATAATAACCCTGTGAATTTAAATTTAAAGTGCTCTTCTAATATTTTGTTGATTGATCCCCAAACATTTCAAAAATTAAATTTAACTCCAATTTACTCTAAATACATTTTCCCAGACTACTAAATACTTTTAATGATTCACATAAATTTTGGAATTTTATTTATTTCATTTGGGGGGTTTTATAGGTATTTATATGCAGAATATAAATATTTTGATTTAAATCATTCATTTTTCAAACTAAAATTACAATTAAGAGATAAAAATCTAAACTTAATTTTTTTACAAAATTGCCAGACATTCTAGTTTTTTTATTTTTTTAATTAGAAATATTTTGAATATTTTTTAATTGATGTAAATCGTGTCACGGCAAACTCCGTCCAGACAAAATTCCGTACAAGACTACGGGGAAGGTTGTTCCGACCAGGCCATGGATACGGATATGGATACAGTTAAGTTTAAAATGCCTGAGGATATCCGTCTATATCTGCCGTAAATATCTGGATAAGGATATCAAAATTCATGTCCATTACCTAGTCTGGTTCCAACTCTGGGGAAGAAATATTTGAAATAAACAATTTTGGTTGGAATAATCTTCCCCGCAGTTGGAACAGATTTTTTTCTTTGAACGGCATTTTGAACTGACGGATTTTTGTTGAGATATGGTCTTGCCTCTCACCCTACGTAAATTTAAATTTCAAGTCGTTTCTAAAATATAGTTGATCTTTCCAGGTTTTATCCGGCTCCGATTTTTTCGATATTTATTTAAAAATCGATAGCAAATTTTCAATTTTTCTTTTTTTATAATATTTTCAATCGAGCATTCCCACCGGGCTCTAATTTAAATATAATAATTTTTCGGGGTCCTAATCTGATTATCTATTAAAATTTAAAAAATAGCCCCAAATAATCTCTCAAATATTTGCCCATTCAAAGTTTGATAATGGCCACTAATAAATAAATATTTAATTTTCTTTTTTCTATATTTTCTCTCTCTCAATAATTATTTTGACCATTCCCTTCCCCCAAACTTCCCCCAATGGCCGCCACCAACGGAGAGTTGTTCCCCCCGCTCATTCAGCGCAATCTTTGTCTTCATTTTCTCTTCATTCCCCTCTTGATCTTTTTTTTCTTCCTTTCTCTTTTCAATATTTATAGGAAGGACAAAGAATAATATAATATAAAATATCCCCCCTATAACACCAACATTGAACATATTTTCATCCCTTTTTCTCCTCTCCATTTACCCCCCCCCCCCCCCCCTCCATTCCTTTAGGCTAATCCCTTTCTATATTACATTGTCAATAATATTTATACACACATTCCACTCATTCATTTCCCCACTTTTTCATTTTTTTTTCATAACTAGAACGCTTTCCCCAACTTTCATTTACTTTTTTTAACACAAAAATTAATTCAAAAAATATGCAGTACATAAAAGCCATTGAAGGCGAAATGCTAAAACCAACACGTGGATTATTGGTGCGTAATTGGACTGAAGATGTCGTTAATTTGGTTCAATATCCGCGAACTCATTCTGTTGTTAATGCATCTCCGTTTTGTGTAAAGTTGGAAACTTGGTTGCGTATCACTGGAATAAAGCACAAGGTAGAGCTGAATTTAAATAGGAGCTTAGCAAAACATGCGGAGGTACTTTTCTGTTCTGCCACACCCCCCTAAATTAATGCTCAAACTGTCATATGTAGGGTAGTAAAGGGTGCTGAGTCGAACGGTACCACTCTTTTTTCATGGGGATGCCTCTGGACCGAGATATACATACGTCCCCAGAAATCGAAAAACCAGGGTGGAGTAAGCACAATTTTGGGGTGAAAAATTCGATTTTTTGAATGATAACTCATTCGAAAGAGCTCGTCAAACTGAGTCGAATGACACCAAAATCAACTCAAGATATTGATTCTGAGCCAAGATAAAGAGGCTAAAAATGGTCAACGTAAACCTATGGGACGTAGGCGAGAAGCTTGTAAGGAGCTAAAACAAACGATTATAACTTTGTCGAAACTTGTTAGATCGTGATAATTTTGGTGTCGTTCGACTCATCTCGTAGAGCTCTTTCAAATGAGCTATTATTTGCATATTTGAATTTTTTACTTAAAATTGAGCTTACTCGCCCCTTTGATTTTCGATTTCTGGGGACGTATATCTCGGTCCAGGGGCATCCCCATGAAAAAAGAGTGGTACTGTTCGACTCAGCACCCTATACTACCCTATAAATGACATTTTGAGCATTAATTTAAGGGGGTGTGGCAGAACGGAAAAGTACCCATGCGGATATTTTGTGTATTTACTAAGCTTGATTGAGAATTCCAAAATATGTACATAGTACATTCATATTTTCCACTGTTTCATTGTTCAAACTTTTTAGACTAACTTTTATAAATTATAAACAAATAGAACCATTAAAGCGAGATACAAAATTAAGCAAGATGGAAATTTTTTAATAGAAGCTCGGCAAAACATGCGGTGATTTGAACGTTTAGCCAAGCTCTAAGAAATTAGTTTGAAATTTTATTTTTTATTAATTTAAGAATACCGACAACGAAATGACAAAGGCATCATCAAAAGGTCAACTTCCATTTATCGAACTTAATGGAAGGCAATTTGCGGACAGCAATTTTATTATTGACCATTTGAAAAGTCATTTTAAATTAACAATAGACGAAAATTTGAGTGACCGGGAAAAGGCTGATGCTCGAGCATTTACTCTTCTTATTGAGGAGTCGCTTTTTAGGTAGAAAATATTTTTTCACTTTATGACCCTTCAGAAGGAATATCCGGAAATTTCTTAAACACTGAAATTCTTCCTTTTAAAATAAGCCGAAATCTTCTCTCAATAAACATGTGAAAAACATATTCTAGGTGTACTTTGTTCTTTCCTTCCTATAAAGAACATTATTCGTATTTCCAGCATAGATTATTGTATTTAATGGATGGTAGATAATAATTTACAGGCTGAATTGCTTGCCGATAAAGAGTAGGGCAAATATTTGAAAAAATGTTTTTTGCCTTCTTTGTCAGTGATAAAAGGCAAAAGCCAAGTATGGGAAAAGTTGGGTTTTTGCCTTAGACGGAGTTTCGCCTATTCCGACGCTCACCATATTAAACCCTAAGAAATCATCAAGGAAACAATTTTAATTTTTAGATGTTTGATGTATGATCGAGCAAAAAGTTTTGGATGGTTAGCAACAGATAAGGGTATTTTGCCTTTGCAAGCTCTCCAAAAATTCTTTTTCCAAAAAATTCTTCTCAAACAATTGGAGAAACGAGTTTTGGATTATTTTTAGATCTAAAAAAATCGAAAATTTTTTTAGTTAAAGAATCAATTACATGCACAAGGTTATGGACGTCATTCCCCTGAGGAAATTGAAGACATTGCAAAGAAGGATTTGACAGCATTGTCTACACTTCTTGGGGAAAAGTCTTTTATGTTTGGTGATATTCCGTCAACTGTGTGTTTTTTTGTTTTTCAATATTAGGGGAATCCACTTACTAATTAAAATGTCCTCTAAAAACTAGTCACGGTTAAAAAAAATTAATTCGTGTTGTTTGCCCCACTGAGCCATTGCAATAAGATGCCCTATAATGATGGGTACATCTAAGATACGTTTTTAAAATCCGACTGGGCATGTGAGGAAGAGTTTTCTAAACGATGCTTACTATTTAGCAAACAGCAAGATTAGAGACCGGACCGTGACGAGAGCTTGAACAGATCTCTCAATTATAGCGATTGATATTCTTCGTGATATCGTATGATTCTCGTAGGACACTCGTAGTCAGGTCTCTGCCCAAATACGATTATTTCATTTTCAGGGATATACTGAAGCTTTTAGTTCTAATTCCCTAAGGATACTTTTGGGTCGATTGAATGATTCATATTTACTTGTCCGTTTTTAACCTAAAATTTTTCTAATTTAGTTGGATGCAACAGCTTTTGGTCTTTTAGTTCAATTTACTGATGCTCCAATGAATTCCGATAAAATTAAAACTTTTATGGAACAGAATACACCAAATTTAGTTGAATTTGTTAAGCGAATCAAAGAGCGTTATTGGCCAGATTGGACGCAACTTTGTGAGACTTTGGCGCTCAATCCTGAGGATATTAAAAAGGAAGAGGAGCAAAAGAAGGAAGAAAATAAGGAAGTGGAGAATGCTGAGACTCCAACCGCTGCTGTACAACAACCAACGGAGACTGCTGTGCCTACTCAGGCTTAAATAATTATAATTCCAAATAAAAAATTCATCGAAAAAAATAAATAAAAATTTTGTTTTTATGAATGCAGTTGGACTCCCTTTTTCTAACTTTGGGAACTAGTGTTGAGTCATGGGCATTTTGTGGGGTTCAAGTAAATGTATGTTAAAACTGATTACAGCCCAAAACCGTGCGAGATCATAACTTGCTGGAAGATGGCTAGACCTTTGCAATTTTGGTACCAATCTCCCTAGCTCGATCAGAGGAATCGTTTGATACTAAATCTTGTAAAATCAGGAAATCTTGAAGCAAGTTATGGCTTTGCGGCGTATTGGGGGTCTCGTCAAAACCCTCCAACTCCAGAAACTAATTTCCGGAGCCATGCCTAAAACTGATGGGGACTGAATAAATGGTGTCTAATAATTAGTTTATCTTACATAGCTTAGGAAGGATACCGCTTAAAAAGCTCCCCTCATTAATCTAAAAAGCTGACGAGTTTCAACTGTATTTTGCAATCTTTAAGCCTTTTATAATTTTTTTCATTTATATCAGCATTCGAATTATATAACTTTTAATTTAACAAATATAAAACTTTGTTTTTAAAATATATTTTTGGCATTAAATAAAGCTTAGAATTTAAATAGTTTTTATGTTACTCCTCGGAAAGTTAGAAAGAATTAGCTTCAAAAATTTTTCTCTATGTTCTCCCTCATGTTTTTCCCTACGTGGGTTTGAAGATTAGAAATAGTAGGTATTTTCGAAATTGGGAACAGTTTTTAAGATATTTTTGAAAATTGGTTAGGGCAGCGGTCTTTCAAGTTTCTTCTCCATATGGCAAAATGAGTTTGAGTGTTTTTTAGTTATTCTTCTAAAACAATTGGAGTAATACATAGCAACACAGCACTTCCACCCTGTTGACGCACGCGTGAAAACTACTTAGTTTTCTATTTCTCCTTTCTTTCGTTCTCTAACTGTCTCTCTTTCTTTTATGCACTCTTTTTTTGCGACTGCGAAAACAAATTTTAATAAAACTTTAAAATCCCATATCTCGAAAACAATCCCAAATTTTTGAAATTCTGTTCCAACCATTTCATAGATAATTGTTCTAAGATTGTGTGGAAAAAATTTCGTAAATTTTTATATGTTCAAAAAAAAGTTAATATGGGCGAAGTTTCTCAACAGTTTCAGCTTAAAATTATCTCTAAATTTCTGGTTATTTTCTTTGATTTTGGTACCATCCGATGCAGCTCGACGAGTTACGTCGATTCATGCCAAATCTGCATTTATTGGGCCACTTTTTGCTGAGTTATGGCCAAAAATTTATAAATTTTTACCGATTTTTAAAAATCCATAACTTAGTCCAAATTGCAGATTTTCCACTCAAATTTCGCAAAGTTGTATATCAATTATAGTACTACAATTTGGCAAATTTTGAAGGAAATTTTGCCACTTGGGGTTATTAGTTATAGACTCCCGAATGTCGACAAAGTATACTTCCGAATTGGAAAACTCCCGAGTATATGTGTTATATGTCATTCGAAAGAGCTTGTCGAGATGAGTCGAATGACACCAAAATCAAAGACCGATCTTGATTATGAACTGAGATACAGACTCCTAAAAATTGTAAAAATTGTGTTTTCGAAAATTCGTAACTTAGCCCAAAATGCATATTTTCCGTTCAAATTTTGTAAATTTATACATCAATTGTAATTCTATAATTAGGCAAATTTTGATAAAATTCTGTTCCCTAGGTTCATTAGTTTATAGGTAGTGGGTGAGCAGTATAACTGTGAAAGATATAACTGTGAAAGATCTATATAAGTTTTGTTCGTTTTTCATCGCTGAATCGAACAAAACAAAAATTAGCGAAAAAGAACAACTTTGGAGAAAGTTATGGCCAAGGATATGACGAGATTTACCAATTTTCAAAAATTCATAACTTCGTTAAAAATGTATATTAGCTTCCCAAACTTTGTAGGATTGTTTAACTATTTTAGGACTACAAAAATACAAAATTTGAAAAAAATCGGATCAGAGGATAAAAAGTTATAAAATTTAACTAATTCCCCTTACGAATGAGAGAATTGACCATTTTTCTTCACTCTGACCATTTTATAACTTGTCTCCTTCTGACCCTTTCTCTTGTTTCCAATAAAGTCAGACGCACGAGAGATGAAATAGAATTTGGAGAATAACAGACATTTAATTTAAATTTTGGCGTTATGTTCAAGGAAAAGAGTTAGCTAGTTTTCACGCGTGCGTCAACAGAGTGGAAGTGCTGTGTAGCAATAATTAGGGCTGGCGGTTCTGGGAAAACTGGACCCGAACAGGAAATCTGGAACTGTCCGCAAATTTCCAGAACAATTTCCTGTTTTTTCGATACTAAAAAGGTAATTGAAAGGATTAACCAACTTATTAAAAAACCAAAAAATATTTATCAGACTTTCATTTAAAAAATATCCAGTTTATAATAATAATATAATTATCAGAAACAAATTATGGAATATATAGAGAAAGAAAAAAAACAAAAAAATAAATATATTTATTTTTTAAAATATATTTTTTTAATTAATTAAAAATTTTCAAGGTGATAATTCCCCTCGTTGCAATTTATTGTCACTTGAATTATTCTCAATTTCTGTCGTCGTTTCTGTTTTAGTAATTGGTTCGCAACCACCACCACTACCATTATTACCATTTAATAAAGGAGGAGAAGAATTGACAGGAATTGTTGGAATTTGAAGAGGAAGTTCGCTAAGAAAACGATCCAAATCTCTATGTTTGTCCAAATCATGATAACTGTCAGCAAAAGTCTTTTTAATTTCTTGGAAAATACGTTCGTCATAAATTGAATGAGCAGCATTGCTTAATGTAAATGGCTCTTCAATACAAATACAATGCCATTGAGAAAGTGTATTGAATGGAGACTTAAAAAGAAAAAAAATTTTAATTTAATTATTTTAGAATTAAAGATATGTCGTTCTATCTCACAATCAGTCATAATCCTAGTTTTGAGACTTTTGGATTCGGAATCTACAAGAATTGGATATAGAATTGATCGGGAATCGGTCAGTGAATTCAGAACGACACGCGGATATATGGGGACGGAAATATCGGGATATTTCAATAATGATTTCAAGACCTACGGCCACTGAGTCTTGTATAGTATACTATTTTAGAACAAACGTAACAAACGTTTTTATATTTTAGAACGAACGTAAACACGTAAGAAATTATTTTTATCACCCCAATCCCGATATGTCCGCACACCTTCAGAACCATTTGTTAACTTGTTTGTTTCTTTTTTGATATTGTACATAATTTTGGAAATTCTAGGGACCAGAAAAGTACTAATAGGCTAACTGATGTCCTAAACAATGTTACCAGACCTTAACACAACCAAAACTCAGTAAATCAAAGAAACTAAAAAAACTAACGAACATCACTAACAAAAAAATATACCAAAAAATGTATATTTATATACCTGATTCTGCATTGCTTGTGCTCTATCCATCTTCCGTCCCATTCGAATACTTATTGCATCAGTTTCAAAACTAAAAAATTATTTTAAAAAATTCTTTTTAAATTTTCCTACTTAAATTCATAAGCATAATAATGAAGAAATCCAAGAAGTAATTCTCCAAGAGAAAGTCGTTGATCAAAATTCCAAACTTGGCTTGGAAGAGGATCCAATGGTTGCGAAACATTAAGAAGACGAACATCAATTTTTTCAGAAAAACGTTTAGGATATAACATTTGAAGTGAAGGAAGTACTGGAGGATTAGCCCCACATTGTAAATAATGAATAACCATTAAAACAAGCGAGTAAGAAGTGAACGACGATTGGCTTGCATTATTTATGTTTCGACGTTTTGCCCATTCTTTAACAACCATAACAATTAAACGAACACGCCAATCAACTTTAAAAATAAAAAAAAATTTTTTTAGAAATTTTAAAAATTGTAAGTTTTGGGGTATTTTAAAGGTAAAAAACATTCTCAATTGCCCGATTTTTTAGAGAAAGCTGGAGACAGATTAGTCTACCGCAGAGCCAATAACTAAACTTATACATGTCATATCATGTCTTTTTTCGACGCAGCTAGATGAGATAAAATAAATCATGCCAAAATAGACTAGCCCAACCTATAAGTTTAGTCAAAAGCTTTCGCGGAAGACGGACCACGGTAGATAAATGTGAACAAAAGACCACTTCATTTTTTAGGATTCGAATCAGAACAGGATCCTGGCACTTTGAAAAAAAACAGGGGTTTCAGGCCTTCGATTCTTTCACAAAATCCAGATCTGCCCACGTAAAAATCAGAATCGAGGCAGGTTCGAAGTGCCAAACTCAACAATTTTTAAAAAGTAAAAAAAACTTACAGGCACTATAATAACAAAGTAAATGAGTGTTCCTAATTGCCACAGAATTATTAACATTTAAATCAACAATAATATCAGAGAAAGCACCCCCACATTTAATTCGAAGAATTGGCACTTTAGCTGGAATTAATTGTTGATCAACAACCAACATTGTAGTTTTCAGTGTTCGCATAACAGAAGAAAGAACAACAACAGCATCACTCTTTTGGTCAATCTTTAATTAAAAAATTATTGTCAAATCTTATTTATCAATCATCAATGATACACGTAATTGATGACATTAGATCTCCTCCCTAGGAGAGGGAGGTTTGAATAGGGTGGACTGTCTAGAAAAGTGCCCAATTAGTTGGCCATCCCCACCCAGTGTCAAACTAAATTTAACAAAAAAATTCTAGAGAGGCACATTAGTCTTGGATGTAACTTACAATGAGGGGGATTGACATAACTTGTAATTTTTGAGATAACTAAAGATGATATACGACTTTTAGGGGATAAAATCTATAGTGTCTAAAAATGTTAAATTTAGTTGGCCATCCCTACCCAATGGCCAACTAATTTTAACCAAAAAAGACATCTTAAATAGGGTTGTACCTACTAATGGGTGTATCTTAAAATGAAGGGATTGACTGTTTTACTTGTAAATTCTGAGAAATCTGAGAGGTTAACCTATTCAAAATTCCCCAAAAATTAAAAAAAGAAACAAACATCTCTATTTGTAATCATTAAACAAAGATCCAAATCGGAACGTAAAGTGCCGAAACCATTCAGTGAAGAGCCAACAATATACAAACCACACACTAAAGAAAAAGAAGTTTTAAAAGAAAATAAATTTAAAGAAAATACATGGAAATATTGGTGATATAGCATAATAAAGTTGATCACGCAAAAGCAGTTTGCGATTCAATTGCATTTGATTTTGCTCTGTATTTTGATGAAAGTCATAAATGCGTTCACTCAACTTTAAAAAAAATTTTTAAAAATATGTTAGCATGTTTGTGTTCTACAGGGAGCTAAAAGGCTGTCGGGTTTCCTAGCCGTCGGGTTCATAATCCCTTTTGTTTCGGTTTGACCTCAAAGTTAAGGTTCTGGTCCTTTAGAGTGGTTAAATCGGAGAGCTTTTTAACCTCAACCTGGGTGTTCCCTTTACCTCATTTGGGAGGCCATTTGAGGCCCCTTTTTGGCCTTCTCGCCCCTTTTTAACCTTTTCTGAAAATGGAAGAAATTTTGCCGAAAACCCCCAAACCAAAACTCAAGGAAATTTCCCAGTTTAAATTTTCAAGGTTTAAAAATCGTGCTTCAAGTCCTTGTCAAATGTTCGGCCCAAGAAGAACACTAATCTAATTTAAAAATAAACTCACAACATCCATTCGGGAAATCCCACTAGGACTTATTGGCACTTTGGATGAATAATGCTGAAATTGTTGTTGAAGCATATTATTGCCCTTTTCAGTGTTTCTAGTACTTCCGCTACTTGAATGCCGAATACGGAGAGCCATTTGCTCATCAGTGAGTGCTGGATGAATAAAAAGGATGGGAATTGTCATTGATTAAAAAACGAAAAAAAAATTTTTTTTAAAGACAACCTTCCGAGCGAAATTTTTTTTTATTTTTTAAATTTAGCCTAACTTTGTACCCCAAAACTTGTAAAATATACAACCATCATATTTTTGATTGACAAAAAGAAAATAATAAAACTTCTTACTAAGAAAATGAATCAATAAATTATTTAATTTCTAGAAAAATCGTATTTATAAGAAAAATAATTAAACAGAACGCCAAACCCTTAAATATTTAAATTTAATACTAGCACTCTTTTAAAAAATGTTCTCACTCTAAGAAAGTTTTTAGGAACCGAGAAATTCACTAAAAGAATTTGGAAGGAACCCGGGTACTTATTTAATATCCCGCCCCCTCCCTATTTGAGTCTCAGATTAATTCTTCAATTTCCTTATTTGTTAGGTAAATGTTGATTTTTGCCTTTGCTGGATATTCTTTCCTTACTAATTTATGATCATTTAACTTACCTTTTACTTAAAATGCTTAAGGAATAATAAAAGAAAAATTAATCTGGGAACCAAATAGAGATACGGCCCGGTCTTATTACACTATTAAAAATTCGATTTCCGGATCAGGAAAAGTTTTTACTACCGGAACCACTTATAGTTAGAGAATGCAAGTCTACCAGCCATTAGGGACCCAAAAATTCTGAAAAAATTTCTGAAAAAATCCACTAACAAATAAGTGATTATTAGGGCGTGTAATTATATGGATATAAAATCGAAAAATATGGCCATAAAATATGGATATAAAATCCCGAAATATGGATATAAATATGGAAATAAACACTAAATATGGATATAAAATCCTGAAATATGGATCAAAAAATAGTCAAAAGATATCTTAAAAATCAGTATTTTATATAGAAAACAGTAATTTTGCCTTAAACTTTGCATTTTAAGAACATTCTAAAGGATTTTATGGATTTAAAATTTCCGTAAAAATTTTTTTGAAAATAAATTTTTCCGAAGAATTTTCAAAAAAATATTTTGACCAAAAATTTCCAAAATTTTGAAAATTTTCGCCAATTTTTAGTAAAATTTACCAAAAAATGACCAAATATGGACAAAATATGGAAAATATGGGCATAATGCCAAAATATGGAAAAATATGGAAAATATGGATTATAAAGACCATTCTAGAAAACCTAAAACAGGCCAAAAACATGTTTTTCGTACGTTTCATAGTTGTAGGAATTCAGGAAAAAAATATGGATTTCCATATAATTACACGCCCTAGTGATTATATGTATGTATTACCTTACAAGTTTTTACAGTACCGTATTTTAATAAAAAATATTTTCAGTAATTGTTTATTAAGAAATAAACGTTAAAGTAAATAAAAATATTTTTCTTTTTCTCTCTATTTTATTTTTAAATTTTTAGAAATTCTATATTTTTCACTTCTCTATAAATTTAAAAAATATACCTATACATACACGTTTCTAATAAATTCAAAAAAAAATAAATGATAGTTGTATTTTTTAAAATTTTTCTCTAAAAAATTTATTCCTCCATTCCCTCCCCCCTATTTTTGTTACAACAATATTTACCAGAATTTTCTTCCTCGTATTTCCCCTCATCATCTTCCTCATCCTTTTCTTCTTCTTCACAAAAACGTCGAGATATTGAAAGTCTTAGGACGGCATTTCGAGTAGCTCTACTCATTCTAACAATTCTTCTGTCAAAAGTTAGAGGAGAGTTTGGGGTACTTGAAGTTGCAGAATTGGCAGCACTGCTGCTACCTGCTTGGTCGTCATCAACAATTTCCGAATCTTCTTCTTCAAAACAATCATTTTCGAGTTTTGAAGGTTCTTGTGTTGTTGGGGTATTTGTGCCGCTACTTCTTGTTCTTGTTGGAGGTGTAGATGTCCCCGTCTCTGTTTCACCCGAATACATCGACTCAACACCCGAACTACTGCTAGGACAACAACAAACACTGTCTGGCGGTAAAGGCTCTTCTGTTTCTGATTCGCTAGACGAATAAATTGTTTTTGTTGTTTTTGTGGAAGAAACTAAGCTGGGTAAACAATTAATGTCGTTATTGTCGTTTTTCTCTTCTTCATATTCCTCTTCTAAAGGTAAAAACGCTGCTCTCTCTGCTTCAATAATACCTTTTATGTCCAACAATCCCAACAAAATTATTTGTCTAGTCCAACTAACGCTTGGAGCAACTGAAAGCAATGTTCTTTCAACAGGTATTGGAAGAAGAGGGATAGTTAGAGGAATTGGTGTTAATCGACGATCGTCTCCAAAAAAGTGCCAATTTGGAAGTTTTCTGAATAGAGGGTTATCGAAAAGGAGTCGACGATGACAACGATCGTTGTTGCTTTGGGTAGTCTTTTTTGTTGTGTCAAAAATTAATTTTTCTTCTTTTTCTTCTTTTTCTTCCTCATTTATTTCTTCCCCATTTTCTTCTTCCTCATTCTTCTTTACTATAAAAGGAATATTTTTATTACAATTTTTTAGTTGTACAAGAGTAAAACTAAGTTTACTTTCTGTTGCTTCCTCAAAACTATTGCCCTCATTTATTTGTTGTCCTAATAATCTTTTATGTCCACCCATGGGCAGAAAAGGAACTAGACTATTTTTGTTATTGAAAGGTGAAAAAGGGGTTGTTGTTGTTGTTGTCCCTCCTCTCTTGGTCCATTCAATTGGAATTTTACTAGTTTTTGGAATTGTTAAAGGGTTAAAGACTGTGGGTAATTCAAAAACAACAAATTGGGGGTGTTCTGTTGTTTCTGAAGAAGAAAGGGGAGTTGCCTCTGTTGTCATTTTTTTGTTTAAATTTTAAATTAAATCGAAAAAGTTTTTAGTTGTTTTAATAAAAATAAGAGTATTTGTTGTCTTTTAGGTATCCTTAAATGTTCTCCTTCCCCTCTTCCTTTAATTATTGTCTTATTATTCGGCAAATTAATTTGTTTTTTAATTTTAATTTCTTTCCTGGTGGTCACTTTTATTGTTTGTACAGGCCGGATCATTCGCCGTCAAACAAGAAAAGAATAAATAAAAATATTTTTTTGATTGTTTAAGAAATCTAAGAAAAAAAGGAATGTAAAAATGATCAAATTACTGGGGCTGCAAACGAGCAAATCAACTAACTCTCTCTAAAAGTAAACCGATCTTCCGTAGATTCTTCGGTCAATCGGGGGGAGAGAGGGAGAGTTTTGTTGCTCGATTAGTCTCTCAAACGAGGAGAGGGTCTCCAAACGCACGCGCGACTTTCGCCAATCGAGAAGGAATCATTCCCCCAATATTCCTCCTATATTGGCGTTGTTTAAGAAAGAAAATATAAAAATGTGTAGATGATCTGTGGGGCCTTTTTGGCTTTTAAACTGTAATAAATCTATGACGATTAAAATAGAAGAAAATATATTTATTAATAAATGATTGACTGGAAGAAGGCGGAGGAAGTAGTAATTAATAAAAAGAAAATATGTAGGTGAATAAAATAGAAAAATTAAAAATAAAAAGGCACATCGAGAAAAGAAAGAAGAAAAATTATTTAAAAATTATTTTTCTAAAAATTCTAAAATAAAATAAATTTATTTAAATGTTTCGGTAAAAGATAAAAAGGCGTGTAAGGCTTAAAAAATTTATTGGGCAATAAACAGAATTTTTATTTTTTAAAAAAGGAGCAGAGTTAAAAAAATGAATATTTTTATTTTATTAAAAATGTGTAGAGAAACGTTTCAATGGAAAAATTTTTTAACACAAAATTTTTGTAAAATAAAGAGGTGTGGGGTATGTATATTAAAGGGATGGTGTGACTCTTATTTTAATACAAAAGCATATTATAGACACAGTTTTTGGAAAGGTGTTTCTCGACTGGATAAAAGGGCAAAAATAGGCGGTGGCGCAAAAAGGACGGGGAAAAGGGAGAGACAAGGCTTAGAACGTTTTTTGGTAGATAAAAACCGTTTTTTAATAAAAAAGGGGAGGCAATAAAGCAGCAAGCCAAACACCCCCCAACAACCACCGGTTGAGCAAACGTACAATAAAAAAATATCAAAAATGGTTTAAAGGGGGAAAAAGATTTTTTTTCTTTCTCTTTCCTTCCCTTATTTTTTAGATTCCAACACTAAAATAACAAAAAAAAAGTAGACAGACGCCAACACTGATTTTTCTTTATTAAATAGAAAAATCTGAAAAAAAATTTTTTTTATTTAATAGAGAAGGAGAATTTTTAGAGAGATTTAAGGAAAAAAAATTTTTAGTTATTGTTTATTAAAAATAATTTGGCCAATATCCAATTTATTTAGACAAACAAAAAAAATTTATTTTTTTTGTTGTCTGTCTATTACGATTTATCCGAAAAAGGGCGTTTTTACTTTGTTAAATTTGAAAGGAAAAAAATTTTAAAAATTATAAAAATTTTTTTATAGGTAAGCCGCCTTATTTGAATGCGCGAATATTAGTAGGATATAAATAAAAAAATATTTTATTGAAAGGGTGATTCATCTGGCAATAGTTAAAAATTCTTAAGAGGGAGGACAGGAGGGAGAAGGGGTAAGAGGGTTAAAGATCTTTAGGAATGAATATAGGAAGCAAAATTTTTATCGCCCATATAATCATAATCATTCGGTAAAGCGTCCACAAAAGTATAATCAAAACCTAGACTGTCCGAGAACGGATAAACACTTAATAAAGTTTAGGGTTGGGGTTTTCGAGTGGAGCCGAAGTTCGAATCATTTTCTCGGGCTTAAATTTTATCGGCCTTCCCGAACGAGTCTCTTACGAGCCAAAATTCGATGTCCCACCTGATCGTTCGGACCGGACCGGACCCCTAACCCTACCAAAGATATATAAAATGGGTATTTATTCTAAAACCTTATAGAATAGAGAGTCCCCGACCGGTCGCCGACTCTCCCTTCCGTCCTCCCTTCTAAGCTTTTTAAATTGTCGGCAAGGCCACAGGTTCAATTTGTATCTAAAATTTTTTTTGGCTAAATTCTCTCTTTTACTTTAAAGTGTCAATATTCAATCAAAGAAATAAATGGGTTTTTGGAGGTTAAGAATTAAAGAACAAAAATAAGAAAAAAATATTTTGAAGATTTTCTCACATTTTATTTGTTCACAAAGAGGAAACGGAAGGAAATAAATATTTAAATTTAAAAAATAAACAAAAAAAATATTTAAATTTATTCAATAATTCCTTTCCTTTTTTTATTTTTTTCGAGGGTCGTCCTCTATAAAAATATTTAAAAGAAAGTGTCCACATTTATTCCCTAACTGCGCGTGGAGGGATTTCTTTTTTTGCTGTTGTTTAATTTACGTCCGCGCAACGAACACTTACAAAAGTTATATAAAATGTCATTTATTCTAAAACCTTTTCTCATTCCTTTTTTTAAAAAAAGATCTTTATAAGATAACCTTGAGAGAGAGAGAGGAATAATTGATGAGGGAAAAAGATGAAATAAAAAAATATATAAAAATATATTAAATGATTCATTTCTTCAAAAAAAATTTTTTTTATTTGATTAAAATTGCGCAACTTTATGATAAATAATAATTTAAAAAGTTAAAAATTTTAGAAGATTAAATAAGATAAGGCCAAGAAAGCCTAGAATAAATTAAATAAAAATGAAAATGATTAGTAAGTGGTGGGATAGTTGGACGGTTAACCAGCAGGATCATGTCCTGTCCAGTTAACATAAGATTAAATTAATTAATTAATTAATAAGACATTATTAACTAAGACAGCATAAAAAACGAACCAAATTATGGATCACCATAAGGTTAAATAAATAAAAAATGGGCAATCGTTGTTTGGCAATTATAATTTTTGAATACAGTTGGATCTCGATATTACATTTAATTTTGGTTCTTGTCCTGAATACGCGTCCAATCGCTTATTATGCGTCCGAACAAATGCGTGTTTACTATAGCTCTGGGTTAGTAGAGTTTTCTAATTTCATGGCTTTCATGATAATTAAAGTAGAAAACCGTGTAATTATCGGCACTGATGGGACGCGTAATACTGGACAATAGCTAATGTTTACGCTAGTTTAATTTCTACTCCCTTTCACCTAATTTAACTATCAATTTTGTTACAACTCAATTTAAAATTGAGTTCGGTTATAATTACTTTTTGTTATCATTAAGAAAACTTTATTTAAATTTAAAAAATGGCTTCTAACCGGAAGGGAAAAGAATAAAAAATAAAATAAAATTATTAAAAAAATATTTCTTAAAAGAATTAATTATTATATTAAAAATAAAATTTAATTTCCGGTAGACGAAAAATAAATATATATTTTTCGAGAAAAAAGGTAAGAAAAAACGTAAAAAGAAAAATAAATATATCTCCATTTATTAATCATTTAACACATAAATTCTGCGACGATTTTTTGGACGAAAATTGGGTAAGCAAAAAAACTAAAAAATATATATATTGACAGTTGTCAAATACATGTTTTTTGAAGGAAGAAAAAATAAATAAATATTTTTATGTCATCACAGGAAATATTTGAGGGCTTTTTTAGAGTTTTTTTTTGAGTTTTCTTTTGGTTTTCAAAGTTAAGGATAAGGGTAGGTAATATTTTTTGGATTCAGGAAAATTTTTTAAATTTGGGACTTTGTAGCAGCTTGTTTTGTGACTTTTCAATTTTAAAAATGGAATTTTAAAAGAGCGAAATATGACTAATTTTGTAGGTATAAATTATTTTAGCCCCTACTTACGTGCACACCGTTGGGTTAAAATTTGTATGGTAAAGTTCGGTATTACTTACAAGCTATTGAAGAGGACTGTCAATTTGGGGTCACACTTATAATTATGTAGGCAGCCCTCCTTCACTTAGCGGCCAAAGGTTCAAAAAATTTAATTGACAGTCCTCTCCAATAGCTAACCAAATTTAAAATACACTAAAATGAGTGTTCACGTTAGTAGGGTTCAAATGGGTCCGACTGTAAATATAGTAGGTATCAGGGATCTAGTCGACATCAAAATTCGATTCCCGATTTTCGGGAATCGGAAATCTGGTTGGTTAGGTAGTTATTTAATATTATTAATTAATTAAATTTTAATAAAAAAATAGTAATTATTTAATTAAAAATAAATTTTCTAATTAAAATAATTTTAAAATAAATATTTCGAAATATTTTCTAAAAAAAAAGAAAAATAAAAGAATACTAGAGGAAAAGCGAGAAAAGTGGGAAAAGAAGAAAAAGAATGTCTGTTACTATTAAATATTTTATTTATTTTTATATGAGAAAAAATAAATAAATATTATTATTTAAATAAATACACAAAACACACAAAAGAAAAAATTATTTTTAAAAATTAGTAACTATTTAATGAATTAAAATAATTTAATAAAATAATTATTATATAAGTAGTTTAAAGCAAGTATTTATTTAATATGATTTTTAGTCTTTTTACAAAAATAGATAGAAAAAATAGAAAATTTATTTCTTCTACTTAAAATTACATATTTAGTAATTTATTAATTTTATTTCCAAAAAAATTTTTTTTGTTTAATAAAGAATATTCTTATTTTAATTTAAAATACAGAGATTTATTAAAAATTGAAAATGTGTTCTTATTTTTTGGTTATTTAACAAATAAAAATTTTAAATTTATTTTAGAGACAAATATTGGAAGAACACAATATAAATGACAGAAAATGACAGAAAATAATTTAGAAAAAAATTTTTATTTTATTTTATAAAACACTTTTAATGTTTCCAATTTTTATTTAAATATTAGTTTCTTATCAGTAAAATTTTTTAAAATTATAAAAAAAAATTTTTTTAAAGAAATTTACTACCTTCTATACATTAATTTAAATATGTATAAAGTACTCTTTCTTTTACAAAAAAGAAGGAAAAAAGAGAAATTAATTAATTACCTATACTAAATAAAAACCCGTCTTTTTAATATAAAAAATCAAAACTCAAAACACAAAAAAAATTTCGCTCGTATATTTTTATATAAAAAATTTTTTAATGTGGCCAGTTGACTGAATACCAGTGCTGGCTATTGAGCATTTGTTGGCTCCGACTCCTAGCTTTTAAAACCTTGGCTTCGGAAACGAGCTCCGGGTCGAGCTCCAATAGCCGTACCCAGCACTGGTGAATACTCATAATTCTTCACTAACTTTATAATGAATGATCAGTCTTGACTAGGATTGTCGGTTCCTGGAAATTCTTCGGATATCTGAAACCGAACAGAAGAACTGAACCCAAAAATCCTCAGTTCTTCGCTTCGGTTCGGTCCAGAACCGGCAACTCTAGTCTTGACAACTGACCAAACAAATGATAAAAAGATAGGGCTTATCGAGAGCTTTCGAATGATATAAGATTCATTCGGATCGGATCAAAAAAAGTTAAAATCACACGACTTGGGCACAGTGATCCATTTGCACAGTAAGACTTTTGCACAGAGGACAATTACACAGTGGACATTTGCACAGTAAAGTCTTGTTTATTCGCAAAACGACCTACCCATTTATTCGCAAAACGCCTGTTTAGTCGCGAAACACTCCAAATAAACGCAAGGCTCATTCACCTATAGGTCATAACTTCGTTCAGAATCATCCAATCAAAATGATTTTGGTGTCAGCCGACTCAACTCAAAAAGCTCTTTCGAATGAGCTATAATTTGCATCTTTGAATTTTTTACCCCAAAAAACCGCTTGGTTTACTCTATTGTTTTTCGATTTTCGGGAGCCTATATCTCTGCGAGTTTTCGTCTCCCGCGAACAACTTTTCCAACAACGGGAAAAATTGCTTATAGAACAGGGAAAATTGTTTTTGTTTAAGAAAAACCATTTTATTATTAAAAAACTTATCAGAAAGTCTAACACAAATGCACTTAACCACAAATTACTGTGCAATTGTCCACTGTGCAGATGCCCAATGTGCAATTGTCTTACTGTGCAAATGGATCACTGTGCCCGTGTCGGAGCGCCCAACCGACCCCCCCCCCCATAATAAATTTTTCTTGAAAACATTTTAATTTACCTTCATACTGTATTGGCGTTTCGTTTTTAGTTTCCGATAAATTTGTTGTTGTGTTGTTTTCATTTTTATTGTTTTCCAAACAACAACAACAAGTACAAGAAGAATTAAAATAAAAATTGTTGTTAAATGGTTGGAAGGGGATTGGAGGTGCTGGGGGGTAACCAAGATGTTGATGTGGGGGAGGGAAGTATTTTTTAATAAATGTTGTTGAATATCCATTGAAATCTTTATTGTTTTTGTGTTTATGAGGAAATGTAGAATAACGATCGCCGGGAGGGGGAATCTATTTTAAAAATAAATTTAAAAAATTAAAAAAAGAATTTTCAAAAGAATTTTTTTGATTAGGTATAAAGGCGAAAATTTTTACTAATTTTATTTGTTAGCCAACAGCAGTGGTTAGATAGGTAGGCCGAAACTTGCGGACCGACTTTTGCGGACCGAAACTTGTGGACCAGACGAATTTCTCAAAACATAGCTCATTCGAAAGAGCTCCACGAGCTAAGTCGAATGACATCAAAATCATCGGGGGGGGGGGGGGGGGGGGTTGTACAAGCTTGGACAAAGTTACGATAGAAAAACAAAAACCTAAACCTATGGTCCGCAAAAGTCGGTCCGCAAGTTTCGCACTACCGTTAGATATTTGTTTTAAAATTTGTTTATCGCTAGAAAATTTCGAACTTGGCCTATTCTCTTGAAATTTACTTAGGATTGGTTTCAGGCCGGGACATCTCTGCTATAATGGACAAGATTCGAATCTTGGTACAAGATTCCAAACGAAAAACAGTAGAGCCCGGACCGAGACCAAATCTCAATCAAAAATCTTCGATTATCGAAATTGAGATCTCATACGCTTCTTGTACTCTATTTTTGTACTATACTGTTCCACACAGTCCTATTTCTAGTTAACAGCCAACAAACTACCAACAACCAACAGGAACAATATTATTAGTCATTGATAGAAAAATATTGTTTCCTTTGTATTTAAAGTACATTTTTTAATCAGTTTATAAATGAATATTTTATGAGAATTTTAATTTAAAAATTAATTTTAAAAAATTAAAAACCAATCCAAGACGTGCAGAAAGAGCAGCCAATTGCTGATCATAAATTTGACGGAAAAACAACCTTTGTTGAAAATAAAATTGTCTTAACCCCGGATGGGATAAATCTAACATAAATATTTCTTCTTCATTTTCATTCCTAAATTCTTTTAAATTATTTTGTTCTTCACTTTCATTTTTTATAATTTCTAATTCTTCATTTTTAATATTTTCGTTATTAATTATTTTTGACTGTTGAGAAACTTTGACCTTTAAAAAAATTTTTTGTCAATTATTTCAAAATAAAATTTTTAAATTTTAAATTTTATGAAAGGGGTATGTCAATTTTTGCTTTCTCACGTCTTGCTTGTCATTCGATCTCGTGATTTTCGGCAAGTGAAAAAGACTTTAATAGGATTTACAAAATAAGCCTGTGGCATTTTTTAATTTTTATTTTCGTTTAAAAGCATTGTTAGTGTATGATTTCATACTTGGTAGAGTTGGGAAATTGGAAAATGCCGGATCCCGTTTCGGGATTTATGAATTTTTTCTTACACGGACCGAATTTTTGGAACCAAAATCCCAGGATCGGGACTACCGGATCCCGAAAATTCCGACCCGGATCCCGTCCCGACTGAACTCTAATACTTGGTGTTTGTATAAATAAAACAAAGACCCAATACATGAATTAATACCCAATACTTGGTTTCTTAGAAATTTGGGATTCCAATTTGAAATCATAAAGGGAGATTGAGAATTTAATCTCATGCAGGTTATTCTCGCAAACATTTTTCTAAAATATTGCGGGATTCCACAAAAAACGATTTTGCCGGTCATTCATTTAACAAACTCAAGCAAGATTAAAGTTTAGACAAATAATATCCGACCTTTCCATTACAATTTCCATTTTTCTCATTTTTTTCTACTTCCGTTTCAGAAGAAGACCAGCAAGTATTATTAGTTGATGAATTAATAGCTGTATGTGAACCAATACTTAAATGACTACAACAAATACCACTGGACGAGGAAGATAAAGAAGTTGAAGAAGAAGATAGAGACAACATTGAAGGGCTTATATTAGAGGAGGACTTTATTGAACTTGTAGTAGTTAAACTCTTCTTTTGAGTAAAAACATTTCTTCTTTTACGCCAACGTTGACGAGGTTTTTGATGATAATGTTGATGTTGTTGTCCATTAATAATTGTTGTTGTTGGCATTTTGTTTTTTAAAAAATTAATTTCTTTTTTATTGTCATTTTTTGAATTTTCGTAGGAAAAATTTGAAATTTGTCGTTTTTTGGAAAATGAAGAATTTCGACTTGAAATTGACAAAAATGAGGAAGAGGAAGAAGAAGAGGATGTTGGACGGGGGGAAATTAAATCTGGCATGTTGTTGGTGGTGTTGGTGGTGTTATTTATTGTTAATTGACTTAAAGGTGTTGGAGGGGAAGGAGGAATATTTTTTGAATTTTTAACTTTTTCAGAAAATAAAGGCTTTTTGGAAGAATTTGAAGGAGAAGAATTCATTTTTTAATTTAATAAATTTTTTGGAGTTTTCAAAATTTAATTTCTAAAAAATAAAAATAAAATTTAATTTTATAAAATATTAAATAAAATTTTTTAATTAAATTAAGAAATTTAAAAATTAAGAAATCAAAGACTTTTATTTAAAAAAATTAATAAATAAAGTCAAGTCAGATCACGTTTATTAATGCCCTCTTGGGGCTAAAAAATTGAAAAATCGAATTTAAAAACGAATGAAGCTAAGTTAAGGGTGTTTAATAATGGAGGGGGGGGGGATATCGCCTAGGCTGCGCTTACATACAAATCTCTTTGGCGTTTTGCAACAAAAGAATATGGGGAAGAAAGGAGAAAGGAGTATCATGTGATTTTGTCGGTTCCTTCTTTTTAATTTTATTTTTTGTCGCAAGATGCAAAGCGCTTCTTTATAAAAGCACATATGCACTTAGCATTGGACAGCTTCCCCTAATGGCCAGTCAAATCAAAAAATACCTATTTAAAATTGAGGATTATTCGAGGTATTTAAGACCTCGAATAGTCTTTTCGAATGATATAAGATTCGTTCGGATGGGATCAAGCATAAAAAAGTTGTGGCCGATCAAAATTTAGAAAGATGTGAAGAGGTGATGCGACTTTTGCGGCCATTATATACCCTTGCGGCTCGCCCTTATTCAAGGCAATAGCCGCAAATGTTTGCATCGCAAATTTCATAGCCGCAAGTATCGAACCCGTAAGTGTCAAAATAGGGGCGATCCGCAAGTGTATGGGCCGCAAAAGTTGGCTAATCAGAAGAAGAAAAAGGAAAATTCAGTGATATAAAATAGGAGTAATCAAAATTTGATTTCTTTAAAATTAAAAAATATGTAGCAGAAAAATTGAGAGAGATAGAAAAGGCAATTTAAATAAATTAATTATTCTAATTAAGAAAATTAATGTTTAAATAAATTATTAGACTAGAAATATTTAAAAAATTTATTAAAAAATTTCTAGAAAAATTTCAAAAAAAAAAGAAATTAGGCAAATTTAGGTAATAAAATAAAAAGAGAAATAAATAATTTGAAAGGAATGTTTAAAAAAAGAAGGAAAGTTATGTGCGCATTATTTTTAAATAATTTTATTTTTTATTTTAATTTTTTATTCAATTTATTTAAATAAATTAAAAATAAAATACACAATGTAATCTGCCCTCTCTAACTACGCCCACACACATTGCTTCCCTCCTATGTACGTCGCTCAAGGTGTGCAGTAATAGAGAGAGAATCGACTGGAAATAGCAGGGATGGGTTGTCTTCCGTTTCCGGTTCTTATTTTGTTCCGGTTTCTTCCGACTTCCGCCTTACACATTGTAGGATGCGGCAAGTCGCATCCCTTGTATATATGAGGGGATATTTCAGCGAATTTTTTAATGTTGGTCTCTTATAAGGTTATGGGATAGGCTTACTTCTGCTTCACCTTATATCAATATTAAGAATTTTATGACTTTACCGCTTTCCGTTTCTTCTAATAATTTTTTAATTTTTTTGAGAGGCAGAAGCGGCAAACAAGTAGGTTTGACCATTCTGTACATATTAAGAAAAAACAGAAAGGGGAAAAAAGAAAATAGAAATATGGGCCGATAACAGAAAAGTACCCGAAAAGATGAACATAAAATAGACTTTTTTAATGAGAAGATAGGAAAAATTTTTAGAAAAAAAATTTTAATTTTAGGGAATCCTTTATTTGTCAAATTTAATTTCTTTTCTTTAAAAGAGGGGGTTTTCAATCTTTAAAAAGAAAAATAATAAAATAAGGCTAAAGAATAAATAAAAAAAAAGTTTTTTTGGTTGATTGTTAGTCTTGACAACGTCGCAAATATATTTAATATAAATATATTTACCCCCCTCAAACAATTTTTAAATGCCAACAAGACACCAAAAACAAACAAAATTGGTAAATGATGTAATTAGTTAATTTAATTTTTAGAAAAAAAAGTCGGAAATACTCCAAAAAATTATAGTATATTTAGACAGATTTTTTAGCCTCCACGTTTTTCTTAAATTATTCCAAGGGTTTTGACGTTATAAAATTTTTTTTCTGAAATTAAAATAAAATTTTTGAAAATCTCGTTTTTGATGTAGTTTGTACTACTCTGGGGATTCGGATTCGAATATTGAATCCGAAATTCTAAATATCCGAAGATTGGAAGCACATAATCGCCATCCTTATTTTAAGTCACCATCAGATCGGAAAAACTTGTATCTTATAATGAAAGTTATACAATATTGAAGGTATCGTATAATGAATGTACTTTAAATAGAAGGTATCACTTAGCTTCCCACATAGTCCAAGCAACTTTTAAAAAATCGTCCCTTAAATAGAGGTGTGTTTCTTGTAAAGATGGTAATTATAGTGAAGTCCTTATAAGGTGTATTTTAAATAGAGGGTATTTCATAGACAGGTTCCATATCCAATCGCCAATCCAATTAAAAAAAGTCTCTTAAATAGAGGTGTGTCTTTAAAGAAGGTAATTATAATAAAGTCCCCTTATAAGGTGTATTTTAAACAGAGGGTATTTTAAAGAAAACCTCCCTATCCAATGTTCAACCAAATTAAAAAGACGTCTCTTAAATAGAGGTGTGTCTAGTAATGGGGGTATTTTATAATGAGATTCGACTATATTTTAATAAACTATTTTATTTAAAACCTTTTTTAAATAAACTTTTTAAATACTAAAAAAAATATTAAAAAATAAACAAATAAATAAACCTCAAAAAATACGTGGGGGAAATTTTAAAATGCAACTGGTTCAATAAAAATATTTAAAAAATATTTTTTTCTTTCTCTTTTCCATTATTTAAATATAAATATTTTTTTATTTAAATTTATTTAATATAAAATCAATTTTTAATATTTTTTTTTGTTTTTTCATCTGTTAAAGTGCATTTTGAGGGGGTATTTTTTAATTAAAAAATATTTTTTATAAATTAGTTTAAAGGGCAAAATTTTTAAATTTTAATAAATAAATAGACAAAAAAAAGTTTTAAACTTCTATAAAAGTAAAATAAAGGCAAACCCTCTCTGTTAGATACACCCAATTGTAGATACACCTCTACTTAATAGACGCCCTTTTAATTTTGATTGAACATAGGGTAGAGCAAAGTGTCTAAACAATACCCTCTATTTAATATACACTTCATTATAAGATGGACCTCTCTATAAGATACCCCCTCACTATAAGATACACCCAATACTAGATACACCTCTATTTAAGGGACGTTTTTTTTTTAATTCGTTAGCCATTAGGTAGAAGAGGCTGTCTAAGCATACCCCCAATTTAAGATACACCTCACTATAAAAGACAATAATTATAAGAGATCTATAAGCGAGGTTCAACTGTGTTAATTAATCGAGTGTCCTTAATTAATTATTTAAAAAATCCTTATCAAACAATAGACTTTTTAAAATAATTTTTAGATTATTAAAAAAACTTTAAGAATAATGAAATAAATAAAGGAATTAAAAATTAAATTTAAAAAAGAATAAAAAGAAAAAGTCGGATGCTAATAAAATATTGCGCAATTTAATATTCGCCGAAGAAAAATTTTTAAATGGGAGAGGGGGGGGATAGGCGCTTCCCTTATATTTTTTTAAATTACAAATTAGAGAAAAATAAAATTAAAAATAATAATAAATTAGAGAAAAAAAGAAAGAAAAATTTTTTAAAGAAAATTAATCAATCAATCAATTGATTATTTATTTTTTGTGTGTGATGATCACGTGTATGTTTTTAAATTTAAAAATAAAATTTTTTAATAAAAAAACGTCTACCTATCCGATTATCCTCCCAACATTATCGTCTACTTCCTTGTTTTTTCTCTTTTCTCTTAAATTATACATGTGTTAAAAAGGTGCATAACGGTCAGAGATAGGGTTGTTGGTTATTGGAAAATCATCGGATATCCGAATTGAACCAAAGAACCGAACCGACAAATCCTCAGAATTGGTTCTAAACGACAATACAGAGTTGTTCAAGACCAAAAAGACTCCTCGAGAAAAAGACGGGTCGGGGGAGCAAAATATGGCCGGGGTTCGGGTCGGGGTACGGGGGTTTAGTGGAAAAATTTTTAGAGAAAAAAATGCTCAAAAATAATTAGAAATCGATATATGTATTTTCGTTGATTTATTCAAAAATTAAGTAGGATTTGAAGAAAAAAACTCGTTAATAATTTGTTTTTGTAAAGAAATATAAAAACAAGAGTTCTTTCTCCTAATATGGGTCCGAACCCAATCCTATATTAATGAAATATCGGCTAAAACCAACGACTAAGCCACTCAGCCACAAGTCTATTAGTAAAGAAGGAAGATTTTCATTCATTTTTCTTTCAAAAATAATAAAAGCAAAGTAAAATGGGTGGAAATTTTTTGAATTTTCTTCATTAATTTCTCCAAAAAATGACATTTTTTAGGGGTATAAAACCCCGATAACCCCGAAACAATAAAGGGCATGCGACCCAGATGTCGATTAAAAATTGAACGCGAATAGGCATTATAATAAATCCACATGCCTAATAAAATAGTCAATCGAATTTTATTAATTAAAAACTCGGTCGAGTAATTAAAGTCGGTCAGTTAAAAGGAGTTGAAAAGATTGCGGAGAGGAAAATATGCAGAAAATTAAGCGATACCCCCAATTTAATATACGCTCATTATAAGTTATAATTCCTTTCAGCCGTGTATCTTATAGTGGGAGGCAGACTTGGTAATGAATATGGATACAGATAATTTAAAAATGCCTGCGGATATCCGCCGTGAATATCCGGATACGGATACCAAAATCCATGTCTATTATCAAGTCTGTTGGGAGGTGAATTTAATGAATGAAAATATTTTTTTGTTAATTTAAGAAATTAATTTTAATTAAAATTATTAAAAATTTTTAAGAATAAAAATAAAGTCATAATATTTTATTTAACATTTTGAAATTAATTATGTAAAGTGCAATAAAATGATGAAAGAATTAAAAGATTGTGTAATATTTTTAAATTTATGGCGGAGGTTTAAGATAAA